AAAAAGCTCTTAATTAAAATAAAATAGAAATCTAAATAATATTTTTCTTCTTTATTTATTTCTATTAATAAAGCCTTAAAAATATTATTTACTAATTTATTTTTATTATTTTTATTATTCTTTTTACTTTTAGCTTTAGTAATATATTATATACAAGTATTATTAAAGTATTTATTAAAATTATAAGTATTTCGGAATCTGAATTAATAAATATTTCTATTTTTAAATTAAACCTTTTTAGTTTTTTATTTCTTTAATATATATTTCTATAAATAATATTTAGGTTTCTTATATATAAAATACGATTTTAAAATATAATTATTATAATTATAAGACTTGAAATAGTTATTATAGATTCCGAAATTATAACTGGATTTATATTAATAATTTCTAGAAAAATAATAGCTTAAAGAGTTTTAAGAATAATATTATTAATTAGTAAAGAAAATTTCGGAATTAATTTATTATTTGCTTTTATATATAGTAATAAATAACTAGAGCTTATTAATAAGCTAGCTAAGATTTATAAAAGAGTCTGAAATTATATATTTATATATTTAAAAACCTTAATAAAAAATAATAATCTTATTATAAAAAAATTAGATATTTTATAAATTAGATATAAGACTATATTATAATTAATATAGTTTATTAATTAATAATTAAATTATTTGAATATTATCTTTTCCGGGAATTTAGCTATTATAAAAGCTAATATAATAATATTATATTTATTTAAATTTCGATATTTAAATCTAGGGCTTTTAAAAAAGCTATAAATATTAATATAAGTTTCTTTATATATATATTAAAAGAACTAGTTATTATAAAAATAGTTTTAAGCTAATTTCTTTAATATAATAAAAAAAGCTTATATTAGTATCTTTTATAAAAACTTTATATATTAGTTAATATTAAGAAAAATAATAAATTTATAATTAAAATTATTATTAAAATTATTATACTTTTATTCTTTAATATAAATCTTAATAATTTCTTTAATAAGTCTTATAATTAAAATTAAAAAAAATAATTAAAGGCATTTAGATATAGTTATAATAGTAATAATAGGGCTAATAAAAGTATATTATTTATTTCTAAAACTTCTATACTAGTATATAAATCTAATAGAAATACAAAATATAATAGTAAAAAAAAAAATAGAAATAGTAATAGTAATATAAAAATATTAAAAATAAAAGGTTCTAGATACTTGTTTTTTATAAGAATAATAAAGTCTAATAAATTTAGTTTCTTTTAAAAATCTGATTTATCTAGATATATTATATATTTTTCTTAATAATAGAAAATAAAATAGTTATAATAATAAAAATATTAGTATTCAATTATATATATATATTACTATATTAAAGAATCTTATATAAATATAATATTTCCGGAAATTCAAGCTTATTAATATTTCTTTAATAAATAAAATCCTTAAAATTATATCTAAATAGTTTCTAAAGATTATTATTAACTATTTTATAAAAAATATATTAAAATAGCTTAATATTTAAGAATTCAGAAATTTTTTATATTTTAGTAATATCTAGATTAATTTCATATTTCTATTTTATTATTATTTCCTTAAAATTATTATTTCTTATAAATATAAAATAATTGAATTAAATAAATCTAATAAAAGAATTATTTATTATAGTATATTCCGCTATTATATATTTTATAGGCTTATATATAGTTCGAGATATAGTAATTTATAAAAAGAATAGATTTATAAAAAGAAGAATAGTTTATAAATATTATATCTGAAATAAAAAAAAAATTTATAATAAGAAATTTAGAAAATGAAATATAAGAAATAAAATATTGAGATTTCGGGAGAACTTAATAGTTCTAAAGCTTAAGAGCTTCAGATATTTAGGTAGTTATAAAAAGAGTAATTTTTCGTAAAAAAAATAATTTTATAGGATAGTTAAATAATTAAATAACTAATTATTTAATAGTTAGTAAAAAACAATATCTTTTTTTTCTTATAAAATCAAATTATAAATAAAGGTAACTATTATTACTTTTCTTTAATATAGCTTAATTAGGCCTTAATAAAATTAAATATCTTTTCTTTTTTATAGAACCGAATTATAAGTAAAAGTAATTAATAGTTATTTCCTTTTTAATATAAAATAATAGCTTTGCTTTTAAAAAACCGAATCTTAAGTAAGTATAATTTAATTCTTTTTACTATCTAATTTATATATATAAACTAATTAGTATTAATTTATTAGAAATATATAGTACTATTATATAATTATAAAATACTATTTATATAAGTTAGTAAAGTAATTAATATTTAGAAATAAGAATTATAGATTATAATATTAATATATAATTTCTAAATCTACTAACCCTAATAGAAACTAGCTACTAGTCGAATTATTTATAAAATATAAGGTTATATAACTATATTCTATATCTTATATTTTATTACTTATATTCCGTTTCCCGAGTCTTATAACTATATATATAACTTCCGAAAAAATAGCTATACTAATATTTTCCTTTAAAAACTAATAATTAAATTATTATTAATTACTTTTTTTAATATATTAAAGAAAATAATATAAAAAATCCTATACTTTATTTCAAATTTAATAATTATATCTTTTAAAATTCTTTATTATATTTAATAATTAAACTTAATATTATAATAAAGAAGTTTTTTATTTTAATTAAAAAAAAGCAAATTAATTTATATTAAATTAAAATTTTAATAACTTGAAATCTTAATTTTTTTAAATAATTAAAAATAATGTAATTAAAAATATAAGTTCTATAAATTAAATATAATTCTTTAAATCTTGAAAAAAGATATAAATAAAGAGTTATTAAAGTTTTAATATTAAAATATAAGAATTATTTATTATAATTCTTTTATAAATATTATATTTATAAATTTTTATTCTTTTATAATAAGTAATTATAAGATAGCGAATAAATGAATGAATTAAATACTAGTTTATAATATTATTTTTTAGAGAGCAAAAAACGCCTTCACGGGCCATCTCGCCTTCTCCGAGTAAAGGAGCCCTTCCCTTGAGTCGCGACGTCAAGTCCGACTATTACTCGGGCGCGAAATTTGTCAGCAGCTCCACACATCATCAAAACATTCCTATGGATTGGCTAGACGGGACAAAACAGAATTAGTGCATACTCTCCTCCCTCACTTTGACCCACTGTTACATTTAATTAGGGGGGGGGTTCTACCAGTAGTACTAATGAATTATGCACTAACCTCAAAACTTACTAGCTCAAATTGTGAAATAAACAACTTCCGGGCCAAAATATTAATTAACGAAGTTGGACGCCTTACTGATTAGCCTAAAGATCAGATAAGAGGCTATGCAACGAGTCCTGGGTCTATTGTAAAGTTACTCTCATACCGGTACATCTTCTGGTATTGGGCAGCAATTGCCATATAGTCGGTCCGATCTAAAAGTAACAAAATGGTCGCTCTCTTATGCCTATAATAACTTTTTAACTATAACCCTAATTCTTATTACTAAGTTATATAATTATAGAAACGAACCAGGCGAATAATACTTATTAATTAGATTTTTAATAGAATTCGCGTATAATTAGTAATTGAGTTATAAAGTATATAAATATTTTTTATTTTTATTTTTATTTTTATTTTTAATTATATAAAACGCGAAGATATTTTATAAAAATCACGTATATTTAAGTAAATAATAATTAAACTTAGACTTATAATCTTTTATAAGCTTAATATATATAATAAGAGCTTAAATCTTAAGAATTATTACTAAAAAATATAAAAAGCTTATTATTTTATATAAGATATAAAATATAATTTTTTACTTATATAAAACGCAATTTCTTTTATATAAGCTTATATAAAAATTATTACGTGCTTTATAACTCTTATAATATTAAATATATTAAAAATATATAATTTAAAGAATTAATTATTATAAAATATATAATAATTCTAATTAAGAAAATTTAATTTAATTAATATTTTAGTAAATTAATATTTTATTTTATAACTTTTAAGCTTTCAATATATAAAAGATTATATATAATTAAATTAATAACCTTTATATATTATTATTATATTATAAGCTTTATATTATAAGCTTTATATTTATAATTTTCTAGTATTCTATATATTATTAAAGCTTTTATTTAAAAAAAGCTCTTTAAATCTTATAAAAGAAATAAAAATTAGTTTTATATTAAATTTAATATTATAACTTTATATTTTATTTATTTAATTTATTACTTTATTATTTATTTAATTTATTACTTTATTATTTATTTATTTAATTTATTACTTTATTATTTATTAATAAATATATTATAATATTAAACTAGTATATTTAAAGAATTATTATAGTAATTAATTATTTTTTATTATTATATAAAAGTTATATAAATAAATAAAAATTTCTTTTTTTTTCTAAATAATATATAAAGAAAATAAAGGCTAATTAATATTTTAAAAAGAAAAATTAAAAGTAAAATAATATATTATATAATTATATTATATAATTAAAATAGCTAAAACTCTTATTATAATAAGCTAAAATATACTTTAATTTTGCTTTATAATACTTGTGCCATCTTTATAGTCACGTGAAACACCACGTGACCCATTAATTAATTATATTTAATTAAATCAAGTAAATAAATAATTATAATCTAATTAATAGGGTTTTGGCTTAATTTATTTTGATTACTGGCTGATAATTATAACTAATTAAATTATTTGACATACTGGATCGGACCGACTATAGCTTCCGCTACTTTAAGGGCCTTCGTCGCCTGTACATATCCCATGCCTGATGCACCAGAAATATCCAACTCGAGAGAGGCTTTTCTGGACCTTGAATCCCTCACTTCAACCCATAACTACTTAAATTCGCAGTATCATTTGAACAAAGTTTCCATCGTCTCTCATTCACCCACGACCTAGCCTCCTACTCGTCTTATCCCTCTCGCCATAAATATTGCTCATTATGTCAATCTGGTTTCAAAACAAGCGTACCTCGATACTATTCCTCACACCTGATGTTGATCCAACGGTGGCACAAGAGTGCTCTTTTTCGGCCCAGGCTACGACGTTACCCTTCCCTCCCCTTCAAAACAAGATCATCGCAGAGTACTTGCACCAACAGGGCGCAGATGTCCAGTTTCTCCCGTGGAAGTGTTTCAAAGCAAATGTACCCACAAAAATCCTGTGTTCATTTGACTACATTCTATTCCTCTGCTGCGACAAATACGAGGTTCATGTCGACGATTTCTACGCTTTTCTACGCGATGTTCTCGTTCCACTTCACCGAAACAGTGGAGACATCCATATTATAAATAATCCTGAGGTTGTACTCTGGAATATGGACAAGCGGTATCTGAAAGATCTGGAGAATGCCGGTTTTCCAGTACTTCGGACTACCTTCCTTGCACATAGCTCTATCACAGTTCCGCTACTATCAGCAGCTATTCGCTCATTCGCTGGTGCGAAAAATTTGCCGGTTATTCTCAAGCCTTCGATTTCTGCTTCTGGTACCAATGTCTACCTCGTCAAAGATCCAGGGCAGGTGACAACAGAAGACATTTCGTATATGGAATCTATCGGCTCTCGTCTATCCAACAGGTGTTCACTCATGATTCAAGACTTCGAACCCAGTATCTGTACGACAGGAGAATACAGTCTCGTGTTCATTGGTGGAATTTTTTCCCATGCAACCTTGAAAACTCCAGTCGCGAATGGAAGGGAGTACCGCGTTAATGTCATGTATCATGGTCGACTCGAGGATGTGAGCGGCAGCCAAGTGCCAGATCTCGCAGTCAGTTTAGGCTATGAGATATGGGCTTGGCTGTGTGAAAAATTTGGGAGTAGGGCGATCAGATATATGCGATTGGACGGGATGGTGCAAAAAACGGGCAAATTCATCATTGGAGAAATAGAACTCATCGAGCCGGACATTTGGCTTCATAGGCAGGTTGGGGGAACGGTTTTAGAAGAAAGTGTCCAACGCCTGTTTCAGCGAGACAGCAAGAACGGCGCCAAGCTCTTCGAATGAGTACGTTAAGATTTGCCTCGGTCTCGGAGACGAGGCCGACTAAAAATATCAAAAGCCATAGTCCCAGCGCAGCCAGTTCAAACGGCGTTGTTTATGTCTACGTCGCATAGGCCCTAAATAATCTGTATTTTATATCTGTTCACATGGCTTGGAACCTTCTAGCTATTCAACTTCGTTGTTTTGACAATTGCGTGCGCACTACCGTCGAATACTGCATCTCTGGTTGCATTCTGATTCCTACCTCTTAGCTAAGGGCCCGTTTCGTAAACTTCAAACACCAGCGTTTGTCAGTAATCAAACACTAGCTTTTGGTTATTACAAAAATAAGTATTTCGCATTTTTTTGTATGCTAGCAACCAAATACTAGCATTTGATTACAAATCGCAGTTTTTTCAGAATTACTTATAGTAGGTGGTTCTGAAAATGCTAGCTTTTAAATACTAGCCTTTTACCCTTTCTAATTACCTTTATAGCACTTCTTAAGATATAATATTTTAATTATTATATAAATATTGCGCTTCTCGTATAATTTCGATTATAAATTTTTTCTTAATAAGAAAGCTATAATAAGGTTCGTATGAAACGGGCCCTTATATGAGCATGCTCTTTAACGAGCCTGGGGACATGAATTTGTAAATTACAGGGCACTTTTCAGGCATTGCGAATTAAAAGGCGATTAATTAAATTCAAATTTATTAAAAAACCACAAAATATAATAATATAAAAGGTAAGCAGAACGATAATTAAGAAGCTATAGTTTATTCTCTTAATATAATTAGAAGAGTACTAGCATTTTTTAAAAAGCTGAAGTTTTCCTTTAGTGAAAGTTAGTCGCTAAAATGCCCTATAATTTACAGACTCATATTTATAGGTTCGTAATTAAGAGTACAGAAACGCAGCCGAGGGATTGGCCTATGTTTTCTGGGCTAGCGTGCCTTCAAGTAAAAGTATTAAGTAAAAGTAAAGCCTATATAATATATTATGTATTACTTTTATTTTCTTTATATAATATTACATATAATAAAAGATCCTTTATTAATAATAAAAACACTTCTTAATAATACTAGAATAAGCTTTAATATATTTAATAAGTTTAATTTTTTAATAAGAAATATAAGCCTAGTATACTATATCTCTAGTAATATAAAACTTATATTATTAAAAGTATAATATACTAGTATTATAGCTATTATTAAAGAACTAGCTTTATTTTTATTAATAAAATTATTAATAATTATTAGTAATAAATAATTAGAGTTTATATTAAATAATATTAAATTTTTGATACTATAATAGGGATATAAAATAAGTAGTAATATATAGAGAAGAATGGGTTTTTATAGCATGGAATTATAGTATATAGGAACTGGAATTAGAGAGTAAAGATTAGTTGATTTCTAAAACAGAGAAGGAAAAAGGAGTAATATATATATAAAACCAAATATATAAATATCCGGAGGTTATATAACCGTATCTAGTAATTAATAGAAATAAAATTCCTACTATAATACTTATTAATATATAGCTCTTTTTAGTTTTATATTAATAAAAGCCTAGTTTAAAAAATTATAAATAAGTTATATTATAAGTAATTTGCCTTTTTATTATTATTATTATTATTATTATTATTAATAATCTTTAAATTATATTAGCTTTATATTTATTAGCTAGTAAATAAATTAAATAAAGTTAAAACTCTAGTAATTAAATTAAAATTAATTAGGTAAAATAATATTATATATAATTATAATAATAATATAAGTATTATAATAATAATATAAGTATTATAATAATAATATAAAGTTTATTCTAGCCTTATTATAATAACTTTAATAACTAATATTTTGCCTTTATTTATTTTTATAAATAAGTATTATAATAAGGGTTTTAGTTACTTTAGTTATATAATATAATTATATATTATTTAAAGCAAATAATTCGTATATATATTACCTTATTTTTCTTTTCTCTTTTTAAAATATTAATTAATCTTTACTTTTTTTATATTTTATATATATTATTTAAAGAAAAAAAAGAAAACTTATTATTTATATTACTTTTATATTACTTTTATTTAATAAAGAGAAATAATTAAAATGTAATTAAATATTTTATTTATTTAAATTAGCTACGAATTATATAGGATTTATTTATATTAATAAAAGACTATAAACTAATATTATTAGTAATACTCTTACTCTTACCCAAATTACTAATTATAAAAGAGAATATAAAGTGAGTAAAGGTTTATTTTCTAACTACGAGAAGTGAGGGCTCAAATAGTGTAGTACGGCCTGAATAACTAGGCATTCATTCGTAACGTCCCTTATTAACTTATCCGGAAGCTATTCCTTCCCTCACCACCATCCTATCATTCTTCTCCATCATGGCTGTCAAAATCTGCCCCTTCGCATCCAAGGTAGTCGGACTCTTGAATACATCATACTTAAAATCATGCCACTCCTTGGCCGTCCACGTCTTGCCCGTCGAGTCATTGAAGCTCACATCATCATTCGTGCGGATTAAATACACAATACTATAACGATCCTCGTCTTGCCTCTCCTTGAGCGGAATGACGCGATGCACAATGCTCGCCAGCTCTCCCCCAGACTTGAAGCGTAAAAAGTCGCCGACGTTGACGATGGCGTGGCCGGGCCGAGGTTCGAGGAACTCCCAGCGGTTGGTATCCGGAGAGAGGAATTGGAGACCCCATTGTTCGGCGAGCACCAAGGTGAGGGTACTGATATCGGTGTGTTTGAGGTGGCCTACGTTGGTGGGCGCGGTGGAATCATTGTGCTTTGGGTAGTGTAGGAGGACGAGCGTCGAGAGAGAGGGCCCCGGGTCCGCATGGTCGGCCTCGAAGCGCGAGGAGCCGGTGAGGCCTAACTGCGTTGAGAGGCGCTCGAGGATCATGATGGTGATTGCGTGGGCGTGCTTGATGTAGGAGAAGAAGTAGTCTGCTTCAGAGCAGACCGCGGTGGTGAGGTCAGCTGAGCCCTTTAGAAATTCTCGGCGAGAAAACTAAGAGGGGGGGATTAGTTGGTTTCGAGAATAGGCTGAAGAGATTGTAGAAGAGTATACCATACCTTGAGAGTTTCGTAGCCGTCTTTTGTTTCTGGCTTGGGGCCGGGTTCGGTGCCCACGGGTATGTAGCTGGAAAGGTCAGTAACTGATAACAAAGACCTAGCTGTGATTTGTGAAAAGGAACTCACCCATAATTGTGACTCCCCCGAGCGTCCTGCATCTTAACTTCAAGCGGCTGTTCGAAGTAATCCTTCATCCTCGCTAGCATGCCTTCCCACAATTTGCATAGCTCTGGATCGCTAGTCAAATCGAGATAGAAGAACCCCTGGGTTCGACAAGCGCTGAGTAATTTCTTGCTCTCCGTGTCATTTTCAGCTCGAAGGAGGTCGAGGTGAATTGTCGGCAAAGATGTTGAAACGATATTAGGCTCACTAATAACCATTGGTAGAGATCTGGGGTTGTAATAATGCTTGGTGGGAGTGTGTATGTGGTTATAGAGATTTGGTTTGAAATGTCACTTCGAAGCCAAAAAAAAGTTGCAACTTTAGAGCATCTTATATATCTGGAGAGTTGTCACTTTCGTAACAAGTAAAGTCGGTCCGATCCAAAAGCGATAAAATGAAAAACGGTCTACCAAAATACTAAATGATATAAATCGTATTAATCGGAAATATCGTATATCGTCTAGCAATTAATTCCGTGTTCTCCCGATTTCAATACCTTTAGTATTGCGGGAGTTACAAAGCACGTGATCGCGCTTATATGCGCTCGCATAGAAAATCTCGCGTTTTTATACGTAAAAAACCAGGAGCCGCATTAGCAGGTGCACTCGCAAGTATTACGTGTATAAGGCCGGAAGTTAAAGTATACCAGGGGGCGCATTAGCAAGTGCAAATGCAAATAGTAAAAGCCAGATTTTCTCTCTTTAAGAGAGTATATTGCAATCTTGGGGGGGTCCCGCCCCCCCCCCCCCCTCCCGGATATAAAAGCGCGCAAGAGAGCACCTTTTTTTAATACTCTTAGAGGGAAGATAATAGCCTTTAATCTTAGGGGGAAATCCCTAACCCCCACCGCCCCACCCCTTCACCCCCCTCTCCTAAGATGAGAAGAGAGTATAATAAGATAGGGAAGCCATTTAATCTTGGGGAGAGATTGGCCAACCCCCCCCCCCCCTTAAGCCTCCGGCAAGCAGTCAAATATTTCTCCGGGTCATATAATAGTAACATTTATTGTCACGTGAATATTTTTCCATACCAGCCCACTGCACATAACTTTAACAAGTCAAAATCTTACTTTTAATAAAAAGAAAATCTTTTATAAGAGCTTTCCCTTAAATAAAGCATTTTTATATAGTTATATAACTTATTTTATAAGTGCTATATAACTAAAACATATAAATTTCTTAAAACTTCTCTAGCTTTTTAAGCGTTTTTTATATTTTATAAATTATATAATAAGCGAATTACTTATTATATATAATTAAAACCCAGTTTTTTAAAAGTTTAAATCGGGCTTTAAATTATGCCTTATATAATATATAAAGTTATATATAATTAAAATTATAAACCTTTTATATTTTATACTTTCTTTAATAATAAGTCTTAAAATATAAGTTCTTATTATATATATTAAGTTTATAAAAGATTAAAAGGCCTTATAAAGCTTTATAAAACTAAGTTTAATAAATTATTTACTAAATATATATAACTTTCTTGAAATATTCTTGCTTTTTATATAATTCAAATTTAAAAAAGCAAAAAACATTTATATAATTTTAAACTTAAGTACTAATTAATTCCAAGCTATATTATAAATTTAATTAATAAGTTCTATTTACTTAATTCTTTTATATAATTGCATTATTTAATATTAATAAATTATTATTATTATTATTAAAAAGTTATTATAAGTATAAAAGAATAATTATTTTATTATATTTGAATCGAATTAATTATAGTAGCAAGTATTAGTACAGGTATTACTACTTATAAATATTATAAGTACTAATTAAACTTATATTACTTATATATATTTGAATTATTATTAAAGTTTACTTCTTATTATATTCTCTGAATTTATTATGCAATTGCCTCACACTAGCAAGGGGTCCCTTATATACACAATTATTAGTTTCTTCTTATTTGTTCCTAAACAAGTTTCTCTTATTATATAAGCTCTTTATGCCTCGTGCTTACTAAAAGTACAAAAGGGGGTTATAAGAAATCACTGCCACCCCCCTTATTAGGCGGTGAACTTTTTGGCCAATCAGGCATTGAACTTTTACAGGTTTGCCTCATAAATTCCCTTGTCTAGCAATGGCAGAACCAAGGGGGTGGCGGTGATTTATTACAACCCCCTTCCGTACATGTAATAGTAAAAAGCTCGGTTGCAAGGAGCTCGGTTGCAAGAAGCTCGGTTGCAAGAAGCTCGGTTGCAAGAAGCTCGGTTGCAAGAAGCTCGGTTGTAAGAAGCTCGTATTATAAGAAGCTTAGTTGTAATTAAGCTTCTTGCAATTGAGCTTCTTATAGCTATTACAATATGGTTTTTCTAAAAGATAAGAGAATAAGTATTTAATTCTAATTTATAATATATTTATATTATTAAGAAAAATAATTTATAAAGAAATTATATAAAATTAAAATATAATAAAGTTTTAAAGAAAAGAAATTAAAATTAAGTAAAATAATGAAATAAAAGCTATATTTTTTATAATCTTTTAAAGTTACTAGAAATATATTATTTATTATAGCTTAAGCAAGATATAGCTTACTAAATTATAATATATAAGTGCTTTAAATATTTTATAACTTACTGCTATTATTATTATAAGCTATATATTTAAATAATATTACTTAATTTTTAAAGGCTCTTTTCTTAATATATAATAATTCGATTAAATTAAATATAATTTTTTTAATTAAATATAATTAATTTAATTAAATATAATTAATTTAAATTTAGTATAATTAGAGTAAATTAATTATAATTAAATTAGATTAAAGATAATTAATTTAAATTAAGAATAATTAAAGTAAATTAAATTAAAGATAATTAATTTAAATATAATTAAATTAAGAGTAATTAACTTAAGAATAATTAAATTAAGATTACTTTAGTATAAATCTAAGCTTTAATTAGGTATATAAATTATGCAATTCATAATAAAGAAGTTAATAGCTAATAATTATATAAAAGCTTATAGTGCCCTATTATATTCTTCTTGCTCTCTCGCTCGGCTCATAAATAGCAGAATAGTGGCATAGCAAAACAGTTAAATAGCGGAATAGTGAAATAGCGAGACATAAGGTAAAGAGAGTCTTTTATAGGAGCGCTTTGATAGTCGGACTTCACGTCGAAAGTAAGGGGCCTTTCCCTTGAGTCGGGAAAGTGAGTTCCGCAACTTTATATAAGATTTCACACTAATTTCTTTTCGCAAGGAATACCAAAACTTGCTTTTCCCGGATCGCCTCGCTTTCCCAAACTAAAGGGAAAGGCGCCTTTAGTTTCGACATGAAGTCCGACTATTAGAGCGTTCCCCACCTTTTAGAAAGTAGTACTGCCAGATCATGAGGAGCTGAGTCATATAGTTGGTATATAAAATGCTTCACACAAGACTGTGACACCTTCCTCCAAATGATTAGCCATCGTGATAGTGATTACTGCTTGGAAAACTCAATTTCAATCGCAACCCGTTCAAGAAAGTTTTACTTTTCACGGCCTGTTTCTTAAAACAACATAACACGATGGTACGTACACTATTCCACCTTCAAGTCATTATGTTAATCAGCGTAGCGTGTTGAAAGCTTTGAGCATATTGCCAAGCTCGGCAAGAGAGCCGTTGTCACCATGTTTAGCGGCGGCCTGGACAGCACGTATTTGCTCTTCAGACTTCAGCGGCTCGGCTTTACAAACATCAACGCTGTCGCGGTGGATCTTGGGGCGCCCGTAGACGTGGAGGCGCTTACAAAACAAGCCGCCCATTTCGGTGCCAGCTTCAAATGTCTCGACGGTCGCGAGCTGTTTGCCAAAGAAGGTGTCATGCCAGCCATTCGCGCTCACGCAAAGTATATGGGGGTGTACCCAATCAGCAGTTCACTCACCCGGCCAGTTATCGCTCGCCTGACCACGGACTACGCCAAGGACCTGAACGCGGGTTTGCTGCTCCATACCGCAAACCTGTCGCAGAACAGCCTGCCCCGGCTCAACAATAGCATTGGGCGCTGCGGCTTCCGCGGAGAATTCGGGAGCCCATATGTCCATTCAGTCGTCTCGCGAGAGAAGAAAGCTGAAGAACTGGCGGCAGTCGGACTGACCAACATGTCGGACCGCGAGCTGAGCGGCGATGAAAACCTGTGGTGCCGGGAGTTCGAGGGCGGTCCATTGAATGATCCGGAAGCTTTCACCATCCCGGAAGATGCCTATGAATGGACGCGACGGTGCGATAATGAGGCAACCAAGAAGCTCACACTCGGCTTTGAGAATGGCAGCCTCGTCTCTGTCGACGGGAACAAACTCCCCCTCATCGAAGCCATCGCGCTGCTGAACACTGAGGTGGGAAAATTTGGCCACGGCCGATTTGTGGGGCTCGAGCCTCTTACCACCGATCACAAGGTTTTAGAGGTCCGCGAAGCTCCGGCCGCTGCCATCATCATGGATGCGCTTCGCCATCTCGAAATAGCTACGCTGGATACCAACACGCTAGAATTGAAGCAGCAACTGGAACAGAAATGGGCCCGGGAAGCGATATCCGGCCACTGGGGAAGCATATGCCATACCGTGTGTGACGCTGCTATCGCTTCCGCCTCGAATGGCGTGGGTGGAAGCGTAACCTATGATATCGATCACAGGCGTTACCTGCCCTGCTCTATTGTGGCACACAATCCTCGCTATGTTAGGAATCGAGACGATTGGGAACGAGAACAGTCACAGCTACTCTTCGGCAGGCGCTGCCTCTAGCTTTACACTTCACTTGACCAGAGAACTGTTATTCCGGAGGGACACCAAAACTCCGGTTCTTTGTTTACATGCAAATAAACCATTTAGAACTCTATTAAATCGTTAATTACATTATAATCGCAATGCCAAACGATATTGTATTTGATTCCACTAATAAAGGAACCCTTTAGCCTAATAAGAATTTATTAAATAAGTAAAGAAATACCTTTAAGCCTATATAATTGCCCGAAATTAGCTAAGAAATTATAGTACTATGAAATATTTCTTCCGACAATCTAATCTCTTTATTTATTATATATTATATGCCCGAAATTATTAATTTAATAATTAAGAAAACAAATGCATATAAGAATTAATAACCTTTATACAATAAAGCCAAATAAGAAGTTAATTATAATTAATTAATAAAAGAGAGAAGGAACGCGACTAAGTATTATGAGTAAATAGCGTTTTAGCAGAGTAGTAATAGTAACTAAGTGTATTAGAAAGAAGGGAGGTAAAGGTTCGGCTGAGATTACCGAGAGAACCGGATACTACTCTGTACTTAAAGGATAGCACTTCCGCAAGGTAGCCCAATAAAATATAAATTCGAAGCTTCATGCTTGACCAACGGGCTTCCTTCCGTAGACCACTAGCCTGCGTGCGGCTGGTTAAACTCAATTGCATCCTGTAAGGCGGAATCACTTACACAGGAGCATAACAATGCGTCTTCGTATTCTTCACATCATCTCTCACAGCCGGCAAGTAAGCCTTCACCTGCTCAGGAGTCCAGCCCATGGCACCCAGAACCTTGAGGCTCAAGCCCTCAAGCCCATTCAAAAGGTCCGTCTGCGCATACACACTCATTTCCTTATAAAATTTCCCTTTTGCCCACGCATTTAACGGGAAGTAATACTTCTTCTCCACAACGTCTTGGAATCCAAGCTCCTCAAACCATCTTTTGTAATGAGGCACGTTGTTCCATGGCCTCCCTAATTGTATTGCCCCTTCGTTGATGGTTTGCATCCATTTATATAATGCGGATTCTGTGGGCGGGTCACCCATGTATTGGAACGGCCACACCATGTCTTGCATCTCAAAGTAGCCTCCTGGAGTCAACGAGTTGTAAGCTTTTTGAAATACCGATTTGGGATCTTTGAAACAGGATAGAAGAGCCCGGCCGTGGATATAGTCAAACTGCTCGTTAAAGATCCAGTCATCTTCTGCGTCGTCGATCTCGAACCGACAGTTGGGAGGAACGCTTTAAGATGGTCAGAAGCTAAATTTGGGTAGTCTCAAGGCCAAAATGGCTTACTGGAGTGGTTGGATGGCACTGAGATCGGTGCCTAGAACTTGAGCTGATGGATATTGCTCCGCTAGGTTCAGGTGTCAGAGACTTATTCCTGGACGAAATTCCATTCCTTACCGAAATCAATTGCCCAGTTTCCTGTACCTGAATTCGAGGTCAGATTAGATACGTGAAATATAGGTGCTGCTGTTTCCAAACCTGTTGCGATATCAAGTACGTTCTGTGGTTTTGGTCCGATGGGTGATAGATGGAGCCTCCCGAGAGCAAAATTGAACAAGGCATGTTGTATGTCTGTTATGCGTTAAAATAAGCACTTAATTGGAAGAGCGAATCTCACCAAGCCTTTCTTGTTCTTGCTATAATTGATGAAAGATGTTAGACGGCCACTGAGGATATCGCACGGGACAGGGTGACACACCTCGTCATTCGGCAATACGTACTCTGAGAAATCAGCAGGAAGTCATGAAGTCGATTAAGAGAACTCACTACCCTGTCGAAACCGGTGGTAGGTTCTCCCATTCTCTTCAACGTGCTCGTAAATGCTTGATCGCAGTGAGGTTGTCGATGTTCTGTTGAAGTCTTAGTCATGATATGTCGTGCGACGTTACAGTGGCACAGACACGGTACTCATTCCATCAATAGCAGAACCCGTGTCGCTCTATATAACACTCATAAGTAAATAAAACACCCAAAGCTTGTTGATAGTTCCTTGCAGTAGTGCATACATGATTATCTTGGTCATCCACCGTAGGAATTGATGGAGCGGTACCGCTTTCCCACCGGGAGAGGGGTAGCCCAGGCTGCCCCTTTGCCTCAGGGGCAGAATTAGCAGGTGTCTGGTAGCTATTAGATTCCGCCATTTCAGCAGTATCCAGGTTATTCATGAAACTATCGAGATTGAGGCAGGGAGGGTGAAAGCGCAAATGGGAAAGGGTTTTGAGAGTGACTGGGAAAACTTAGTCTGGAAGAGCGGTCGGCCCCGCGCTGGCGCCCTTGGCGGGAAAGCTGGGCCGTGTCCCCTAATGCAGTTGCAACCACTTTCGGCTGCACTCCGCGTAAAACCCAACCCCAAATCAAGAGGATACTGAGGACTAGGAATAGTCTGTGCAGCTTCTGAGAAGGCCTGCTAACCGATCAAATGGCATGCCACGTGATTGATTTGAGAAACGTGGAGTATATCTCTTCACTGGACGTGTACGGAGGTTCCAGTATAAAGTAAAGAGAATAGGGCACAGAGCCTGTAGCTATCCTATAAGACCCTGTCGCTCTACATTCAGTCAACGAGCCCTAGCCCGTCCGGCTCTCTTTCGCCACGTCGCTTATCGGAACTGCAACGCTTTAAAAAGTCCAAACAAGAAATTTAGCTGATTTGGGTATGAATCAGATAAACAGAACTAGAAGGAATTAAATACGTATATTTACTAGTATTAGGGTGTAGCTTATAATAGTCGGACTTCACGTCACGCTAAAGGGGCCCTTCCCTTTAGTCGGGGAAAGCGAGTTGGCCCGCGAAAGCGAGATGGCCTGTTTCGGCCTTTTTTGCCTTCTAAAAAACAATATTAGAAACTAGCTATAGAAAATCTAATTAATACATTTTATTTGCGATCTCATAGTTACCTATCGCATACTTAAGGGCTAAAGTTTTAAGTAAAAGAATAAAAATTTATAATTAAGCAAAAGTTATAGATCTGATACTCGCGAAACGGTCGCAAATAAATAATTCTTACGATTTTTGTATTTCTCGTAGTTTTATTATTAAAACCTTAATAACTATCTACCCATATATTTTTTTAAGATTTAGAGAATCGTATCTAGTTTATAAGGCTTATATTTTAAATTCTACTACTTAGAATTATTTAAAAAGGTCAATATTTCAAGTTATTAAGGATTTTATTTGGCGCGGGCCATCTCGCTTTCGCGGGCCAACTCGCTTTCCCCGACTAAAGGGAAGGGCCCCTTTAGCGTGACGTGAAGTCCGACTATTAATGGAAAGGTCAAAGTTTTGAAGTTTTGTGGCTGCGATAAGCGACGTGGGGGTGAGAGCTAGATGGGATAACGAGCCCTGCGGAAATCCCGGCTATATTCGGGCGCTGTAGTTGCCCTGCTAGGTAGGTGGCTTACGCCTAAAGTGAAGCGGTCCCAGTAATTGTTCTTTTACAGGCCTCTATAGGCTTGAAAGCCTATATTATTCGTACTTTATGCCGGAATCTCCGTACTCATTAAGCAAATTGTAAAGGAGTAAAATCATGGTACACGTAGCTCGACCTCCGATGCAGTTTCTATGTTTTGATTAAAAATCGTGTTTTGAAGGTGTTTCGTCTACAGTTGTGCTCACGCCAGGAAAAGAGGGCCGGCCGCTACTCATATCCGCATGTCAGAATAGAACCAGCGAAACAACAAGCCGAATATGATTGTAAATCTTACTAGGAGTTTTTATTCACGGTGCTAGTTAAAGCATACCACCAACGTCCAACTCCCTGCTCCCTCAAACGAGACTCCCAATACACCTTGGGATACCAACATAGTATCTAGACCCCACATCCCCACTACGGGCCATGGAAACACAATGCTCTATAACCCTACGACTTTTTCAGATAACGAAGGCTTCAAATATTTCCCCCCCAAAGACGGAGATGGATTTCAGTAACGTCAAGGTAAGGCCATCACATGATAATCATGTGATTGGATACCAGTTGACTTTAAAGTAGGTAAAAGAACCCTTCCTTTCTAAAAGACTTAGTTAAATGTGTGTCAGCCTAGGCTTCTCATTACTGGCTTCACTAAATATACCAAGCATCTCCAGGTCCAAGATCTTGCACTTATCTACCCTAATTCGGTAGTTCGTCTTGCTCGCTAAGAATCAAGATCCTGGTGAGATTAATAAGCAGCGAGCAGCATCCGATCACTATACATTCATGTCCTCCTTCTTTCTATGAAAAATTTCCTCGGGTTCTCCAACCTGGATCTCAAATTCGAGATATTGTAAAGTCAAATTTAGTAACTCGGGGTCGGCATTTCTGAGCCAGCAGCCAGACGTTCTCCAGAAGCTGTCACCTCCAAATGCTCCTAGCTGGAACAATGGAATCAACTTACAACCCTCCCCTCTCTTTAACAATCATAGGTACAATTTTCATCGGTCTTGCGACTCTTGTGGCGGCATGGATTACGTTCGATATCATTGTTCGGCGGGGTTGGGAGACGATGATGGCTATCATGTGAGCTTCCCACTCCCATTCTCTCGTCACTCTGCTAATACATCTTTATGAAGGATTCCGGTGTATATCTTGAATGCACTGTATCTGGCTCCTATTACTCTTTGGACGTACTTGAAATACGGACGACCCGAGAAGATGGGTGGGAAAATGAAAGGGATGGATGTGGGGAGTGAGAAAAAGACTGAAGCTTCTGAAGCCCCGCCTGATAATCATGATATGAAGGGGCATAAGCATATGCAGATGATGAAAACGGAAGAACCAAGCCACGGTATGAGCGGCCATGACCATATGGGGATGAAACTTGATGGCGAACACCACGATATGAGCAGTGAGGCCGATATGTCTGACCGGGGCCATCATCACGGAATGATGGACAATCACGAAACGAATCAAGAAGGCGGATTCCAAGTGGATCACTCGCAGCATATAGGTCACAACATGGCTGGAATGCGCCACATGAATCTTGCTATGGAGGGATACGACATGTCAGCAGGAACCCCAGCAAACACACGTATTGAACAGCCTCCAAACACGCCAGCAAAGCAGCACGACATGTCCCACATGGGCCACATGGACCATGAAGCAATGGATCACAGCGGCATGCACCACGGAGCAATGCACAACATGCACATGCCTTCCCCGGACCAGCCCATGTTCCCTACAGTAACCATAGCAGTCTGCCACTGCGGCGCGGGCTGCCTCCTAGGAGACATCGTTGGAGAATGGCTTGTTTTCGGGACGAACGCTACACTTGGTGGGAAATCCATTGGGCCTGAGTTTCTCATCGGTATAATCTCTCTTCTCCTCTCATCAAAACTTCATCTATCCTCCAAAACGCTAATACTACATGAATAGACTACGCATTCGCCCTCCTCTTCGGCATCGTCTTCCAATACTTCTCCATCGCGCCCATGTCCGGCGGCTACGGGCCCAAAACGCTCTGGCGCGCCGCGAAAGCGGATTTCCTGTCACTCACCTTCTTTGAAATTGGGCTGTTTGGGTGGATGGCTATTTTTCAGTTTGGGATTTTTGGGCAGAGGCTGGGGATGGATAATGTGGTTTATTGGTGGATGATGCAGGTGAGTTTGTGTTATATGAGAGGACAGAGGGACGTGGCTAATAGGGTGCGGACAGGTGGGCATGTTCTTTGGGCATTGGACGGCTTTTCCGATCAATTGGTGGTTGATTACGAGTAATGTTAAGGAGAGGGTGGTTTGATGGTGAGATAATAGGGGTGAGCATTGTGGAGATGTAACGTTGTGCATGGAAATCGAGATTATCACAGAGGTACGAAGTCTCACGCAGCTAAGGGATCACATTCGGGATACACGAATGTTGAATTCTCAATCCGATCCCTAATCCATAACGACTGGTAATCTATAGCGACAGGGCATGCGCTGGCAAACCGCTCAAGGCCCAGCCGTAGCACTTCAGCTCAGCCAACAAAATTAACTGCCTCTCCTGGGTATCCTCAACAAGCTTGTCCTCATACGTCCTTCTCTTTATGTCCAAATCCGAACTCCAGATACCATTCCTTTGCCAGAGATCTTCGCCTAAGCAGCTACTACTTGGTACGATTGCGAGCCTGTCACAATATGGCAGCCGCCGAGAGGGGGAGATTGAGCAATTTGAATAGCGGAACCGGTGCAGCCGGCCGCCGAATATACAATAGCTGAATTGAGAATTGAAGGGTCAGCAGTGCATCAATGAAGATAATTTCAAAATGAGGGGTCATTACCGGTAAAGCCAGGGGCAAGGAACGCTTGGTTGACGCCATTGAATGCGAAGGTGTAGCAGGTGGAATCTGTTGGTTGCAGGACTTGAGAGTTGGTAGCGCAGTCGCTGAAGAATATGTCGACTGCTTCAGGGGTACCAACAACTTGGGGAGAGGGGGCAGCGGCGACTTGGCTGGTGGCAAGAGTTAGGACGGCAGAAACGAGAAGGGCGATAGAGATCATTTTGGTGATTGGCAGAAAGTGAGCCTTTTGGAGATTGGACTTTTGTGGGGTGACTTGCTTTTGTCTTGGTTGAAGGGTGTACTTAAGGATTCCGAGAGGACCTTTATATATGAGTTCAAGAACCATGGTGGGGAGTCGAAACCATTTTCCATGGATTTCAGCTCGTTTATCCAACACAAGAAATTGAAACAAAAGCCAACGATTCTTTGATCCCCGTAACTACCACAACAATGATAAGTGTTAACGAACTCTGGTATCTGCTCTTTGGTCGACAAATGATATACAGAGGCACGGAACTAGGATAGATGGGGCACTGCCCCGCCTTGGCTTTCTGGATGCCAACTACTTCCCCCATTGGGGAAGAGTTTGTACATCCTGGCACTTGACACTATATCATTCTGGGCTATGCCAGTACATTTACAGTGAGCGAAACATGGAAACTGGCATGTAGCGACTAACATAAGTTGTTTATCTCGTTCATCGCAAGATCCGAATGGAGAACCAACGAAATGAGTCAACCGAGAAAAGTTTCCATAATTGGATGACAGCAAGTTTGAGAAATGGCCAAATGGCCAAATTCCCGTGGAACCTTTCAAATCGAATGGAGACAGCGAAAATTTGTAATGTTGCGGACAAGTACATTTGGGGGCAGGGGTGACAATAGAGCGCATTTCCATGTCCCCAAACCACTATTAATGTGCTCGTGTGTCTAGATTTCTCCAAAACATTCATACCAAATAAATTCAAACTTCTCCTTTGTATGAATTAGCCCGATGTTACAGTCCAAAGTGCCCGAGTCTCATTCGTCGATTGAAGAACCAAACGAAGTCCGGCGAAGTTCTTCTAAACCTCAAAAAGGGGGAGGAGGAAAACGTAGCAACATGAAAAAAACGGATGACGCTAAGGCTAGACGGATCCCGCATTCTCCCACCCACAACGTTGCCCATGGGGAAGCTAACTTTGCCTCTTAGTGATGAAAATTCGAACGGTGTGGGTAAGTCTTTTGCATTCGACAAACCACCCGTTGCCAGGTACTAGCTTTTAGGGTAGCCCCAGAGAAAACAAAACCTCCGACTGGGCCAAAATACGTACGCGGAACCTACGGAAGTGACTCGCATACTCTCCGCAGGGCCGATGACATGGCTTACACGAGATGCAGAAGGCGTGGAGCCTCTAGAAGCCTTCCAACACCCGTATGTTTCGGATAAATAAGGTCGATGAGAATACCAGGCGTGACAGTGTTCCTATTTGTCAACTATGACGGAAAATTCCTGCAACATTGAAAATCGGACCGAGCCAGTCGAAAAAATTACAGAGGGTTTCCGTGGTCGGATTTCCTCCCTTCAAACGGCGAGGCAATTAGTATGCTGGACTTGGCCCGGTCTGTCCTCTTATTCATCTAATGGCGAGAGATGAGCGGCACAATTCTGACAAAGATCCGTCCGCCGAGGACGCCGTGCGACGGGAGGAAGCACTGGAGCACTTCCGCAGTGACCCGCAGCCCGTGCCGGCATACTCCGATCGAAATTGAATAGACGGGGTATTTTGGCAGTCGTAAACCATATTTTGATGAAAGAGAAGGTTGATAGTTTGCAGCCTTACCTGTCGGCAATCCCTCGCTTTGCTGGGGCCGACTTGCACTAGCGAGTCGGACCTAGCAACTCTGACATACCAGCAAATCAGACATTATTGTATCAAAAACCACTAAAAGAGCTATTATAATAAAATTAAATCGTAATTATAGCTCTTAATTAAGCCATGAGAATACATTAATCCATTTTATTATATTATGCGTAGTTTTATAATAGAAAAAAGGTAAGCAAAAGTCGCAATATTAGGCATGCAAAGAGCAATTTTAGTTTAAAATTACTCGCCATTATAGCGAACTTATACAAAATCAATATACAACATAATACGACGCTTCCAAATTAAAAAATAATAACGCATACTTTGATAATAGAGTTAGGTCTTTTAATATATTGAACTAAATGCTTGATTATATTGTTTTTCGGAAAGCTCAAGCTCCCTTAAAACTCTGGAAATTACGTCTCCACTTAAAAGTGGGGGGTACAGCCCCTAATTTTCGACATAATACATAAATTTTCTATAAAAAGTCGGAGATGCGGTTGTGTATTTCATTAATAAAACAGGCTTAAAGACCTGTGTCGGAGGTGGTGGCACCAGTGCACTGCGTTCGATGTCCCGAACCTGCAGAAATGCCAGCAAGCAAGGCTCTCGCCTAAACATGCGCTAAAATGTGCGAATGACTCAGCCACGTGATAGGCATCAGTCATTGGACTTGTCTCTATCTCCATCTTCGACTTCACAATCTAGATAACGCCGAACACTTACCACCACCCCCCAATGACCTCTCGTGAAGAAAAACTTGGCTCTGATATCTTGCGAGTTCCTTCATTGAGGGTAACAATAGTGTGTTGGCTCAAAACGCTCCCTTCGGTTTCTCCCGGACTAGGCGGGCCGACCTTCTGAATCAGGTTGCCTGTGCCACCCCAACCCCCTTCTCCTTGGAAGGTCAGATCGCAAACCAATCTCCCAACCCCAGCAAGTCGGCGAAAAGGCATGGGTTGTTGGCTATGGCATCTAGCCCATGGGTCAGAATCAGAGACGCTGGCCGCGACGAGCTGGATACAATGCAAACATTCCTCGACAATATCAGCCTCAATTGTGAGTCTTCGTCCATGAATACTCAGACTATGCTGACCTATCGAATACAGGCGATGATGTGCAGCGTCAGGATCATGGGACATCTGATCCTCTGATCCTCCCTCCAACCCCCGTAACCTCGTACACCCACCCGTACACTAATGTGATCGTCAACCAATTTGTGGTCGAACCCCAACAAGAGCTGTCTTTTACGTCATCTAAAGCGGTGGTCTGGGTTACTCCCGACCCCGAGGAACCTGTTTCTGGTGGAACACAGCTCCTGGATCTTCCCATCGATATTCTTGAACTGCTTTGCCGACGCTATCTAGACATCTGCTCGAACACTTGTCTAGGCTTGACTTGCAAAGCCTTCTTCAACATTACCGAACATTTGTACCCCTTTCAAGTCAGTTTGTACACCAGAACCTTACCAACTCGGAGATGTCTTGGGCATCTGTTGACGCAATGGATGGCACCGAAGTATAGTTTTGACCATTCTTGGGGGAGATTCAAGTTGAAGCGGCACTACATCAAAGATGAGGCTGAAATTGAGAGGAGGTGGAAGGAGAAAGAATCTTGGCCTAGGATCCGTCTGACGATGGATGGTATGGGAGCCGTTGTTGCATACAGGGCGAAGCGCAAAGGATTTGAAGAAATGGAACACCGGCTGCCTTATGCCAACAGGTGATACCAAATGGCAGCCCAAAAGGCCTTGGCGTCACCTCTTGCTTCAAGTTTGTACTAATATGTCTGACGCACGCTTTCTTGGGATGTAATGCTCTGTCTACTCCCAAATTCTTGTCCAAGTGAATGAGTAATTTCTCGGCATCTTGTGGTTAGGTTGGTTATATGAACGTCTCTCCAGTTCAACTCGCCATCTCAGCTCCTTAACATTAACATGCCTGGGTCTTACCTGTCGTCACTTCTCCCGTCGGCATCGAGCCGACTACCCTCACCCGACCCCCCTCCAATATTTCGAGGAGAAGGATTTCGAACTGGAACATGAGAGGCAGCTGTTTCAGCCATTGGCGAAGTGGATGCCCCCCCAGATATGATGAGATGCATTTCATCAGGAGGAAGGAAATAGATGGAAGATACCGGAAAGCATGTGTCTCCTTGACGAAGGCGTGGGAGGAGAACAAGGAGGCGAGAAAGAAGAGATCAAAGTTGGGCTTCTGGTATTAATGCTAATTGTACTCTACTTGCATTTCTGGGCATGGAATGGTTGGGGGACTAGAATGAGGGCCTTGGATCTCGGGTACGCCATCGAGTTTCCTGCCTTTTTGGGAATATTTTTGGGAGTTGACAGGGGATTTGGATGGGAAGTTGCCTCATTGAGCTTTAGTTGAGCATTCTCTACCGCACGAATCAAATCCTACTGCTTCTCGACTTCGCCCTTTGCATTTATCTCCAGTTTCTTCAAAGTATGGGCTGCAATGTGCAGAAAGGGTTAGTACTTTTCACAGATGGAGGCTGTCAATGTTCAAAACAGTTTTTTGGAACAATCAAAAACTTCAGGGCAGCAGAATTCTAGCTGACCTGCCACAGATCGTACAACAAGAAGTAGGAATATTTTTGGGTTTTGAGAACATGGTCTTTGACTTTGAAGTTCCAGGCCACCTTTGGACAGTCATGCAATCAGTCAACTTGGATGTCCACAGCCTGTTGGAACATTCCCAAAAGCGTATAACTCAATGTCGAGCCGGCAGCGTCAACACCCTGCACATCAAGTGAATTCGAAGCCATGACTTACCATATAATTAGTTCAAGCAAGACAAGTTTCACAATCAAGCACAACCCCAGCTCTCGAAATGGATAGTAACAACTGCACCAGTCAACCCAATGTCCCAGAGAAGTCCGGAAGATCACAAATCCCGAAAGGACAATGCCCTACAGCAAGAACAAAGAACCCAGCAACTCAGTCAGACAACAAAAGTTCGTTTTTCCTGTCACTTTTAAAACGTTCCCTACTAACACTCTCCTCCAGCGCCTCCAACCCTCGAAACCCTCCCCTACGACCTTCACCACACTCTCCTCCTCTACCTCGACCCCGCCAGCTCCGCCTCTCTCGCAGTCGCCTGCCCTGTCATCTATCCGCTGCATTGGAAGCGTCACGGGAGTGTACCGCTTAGGATGTTAGCTGATAGTAATCGAGTTGGTGCATTGAAAGGAGCCAAACCGTTTTTGCATGAGATGTTGAGAAGTTGGATGGGGAAGGACGGGGTGGGGTTGAGGTACAGTGGGTATAATGAGTTGTTTGTTACAATGGAGCGGTGGTTGGAGTTGGAGGAGGCGAGGTGGAGTGATGGGTGGGAGAGCTCTTGACTGGGTTTATACGGAGGGGGATGGGAGAATGGAAGAAGGGGGTGGGGATTGCTCTGAGAGGGCTGGGATAATTAGACTAGGAATGCTCTTTGAATGGGAAACTGTTGTTCAGCAAGGTTCTGAACATTGACTTTTTGCTTGCTAGTGTTCTAATTCCTGATTGTTCTTATCGGATGTGGAACAATTATGTCCCGGCCCTGTTGATTTCGTCAAGTTGAGGAGGTATCGACACCCTTTTCTCTTTCACACAAACAAGCATTACCTCACACCATGGCTGAACAAGCAGAGAGCGTTGTACCCAATGCAGAAAGTATATTTGACGATACGAGATATCTTATTTCATTCCTCCGAGGCACTTTGTACTAATGACTTCCATTTCAGAACAGATGTCCACATCACCGCTCACCTTCACTACTCTCCCACCGGAGCTACACCTCGAACTTTTTAAGCGCCTCGACGTCTGCACCTCCACCTGTCTGGTCTCACATGCAGGGGGCTATGGGCAATTCTCTGCCAGAAAGGAATAGTGAAATTATATACAATGATAGAGGACCCATACTTTCCTACTGCTCGATGGCGCTGGCACATTCCAAAGGCCTACATGGTTAAAGATCTCAATGGGAAGGAACATAAAGTAGGAGAGCTTCTTAAGCAATGGACGGGCCCGGACTACTGGCTGCCGCTCCTCGGATACAAATCCATGCCTACTTGGCAATACCTTCGTCAACTTCAGAGTCAAAGGGATAGAGCGGCCAATGAGCAGCGGAAGAATGAGAATAGGGTGAGGATTCAGGAAGAGGTGAGGCAGAGGAAGGCAAAGAAGGCAACGGAGTGGAGACAGCGCGGACTTCTTATGCAGCAGGGAAGAAGTAAGGGGGCTGCACGGGTTGAGGTTCACCGCCCTTTCTTCTCTGCACGAGGGAGCAATGCTGTAGATCGAGGAGCAGAAACCGAGATATCGTTCCGTGGAATTGAATGACAACGATAGAGAGAAATCCCACATGCATGAATTGGAAGTGAAAGCACCGGGTTATTTGAAATATGCTCTCAAGTCCAATACTTAGCACCTGTCATCAAAACCACAATTGACTGCTTGCCACAATCACTTCACCATAACACTACAAACGAATCCTTCTCAAGATGACTGGAAGGTATGAAACAGCAGTGGTTGAAGCAGACAATCGTATCTCCGCTGGTAAGAGACCCGCCTGTCGCTCATTATAAGCCTCGAGTTGCCTTATCACACTGTGCAAGAGCAAGCAACCCCGTTCATAACCATCTCTCCCGAGCTCCACCTTCAACTCTTCAAGCAATTGGATCTTTGCACCCCCGTTTGCCTCGGAACCACCTGCAAGAAGACGTATGAGATCCACTATGAGATGCACGGCAAAGTCAAAGCTCTACAGCCTTCTGGTTGGCAGATATCCCTTCTACCACACTGTTGATGGGAATAGCAAGAAGCACGAGCTATGGACGTTAATTAAGGATTAGATTGGTTGGGGAGGGTGGTTTTCCTGGACCAGAGGAAAGTATCTGCCGAGCAGATTCAAGTGGAGTTCTTGAATCCATGTGCGAAGAAGGCGGCACGAAAACGCAAGCTGGGGAATGGAGTGGTTCTGGGGTAGAAACTTCGAAGCCGAAGCCGCGCAGAATCCTACATGTACAGAAATGATGGGTGAAATCAGCTTTCGGGGTGTTTGGTTAGGGAGAAGACCTCCTGGTGAGGTTGAATTCATAGACTTGGCCCTGGTGTGGCTTTTGTTTCTGTATAACGAGCGAACCATGCCCTAAATTTTCCTAGCAATGGCTTTCGAGATCAAATCAACTGCTCGGCTTTTACTATGGAAACTCCTTGCTTTTGCGAGCTTTACACAAGTCCCGCTTCTCCTTTCCCACACCAAATATTCCAGTACACTCTGATCACCACCGTAACAACACGGGTGTCGCAAGATAACTTCCACCCGGAGAGCAGTCAATCCTCGGAGAACTTGAAAGGTGAGCTTCCTCGATCAACCTCAGAAGTTTTAAAGCTCCCCTACTAATTGAAATTGCGTATAGATAATTCTGCTCCCGCAAAGCCAAGGTTGCAAACCATCCCCACCGAACTTGCCTACAAAGTCTTCTCTGGCCTGGATTGCTGTACTTTAGCCTCGCTCGGTGTTCCCTGTAAGCGCTTTTATGCTATTCATAAAGAGCTACACCGCAAAGTGTGGCTAGGTTCGGAGCGGTAGGGGAAGATGGCAAGGGATATTGGTTGGTTGAAATGCTGAGGAAAGAATGGCACCGGTCCACGTCTGGGATTATGTCACTTGTGGGTATCGGAGAAGAGAGACTCTGGGGAGATTTCGAGGCAAACCTGGATTGGGAAGGAAGAGATAGAAGTAGTGTTGAGGTTGGAATCTGGCAACTTGATGGATTGGAGCTCTTGAGATTCATAGCTTCGGTTCAAGGGAGCTAGCTGGCCTGTCACGCTGCAGATAGCTTCGTAAGCAGCAGTTGGGTGCTTCTTTTATGAAATACAAGATGAACCAACAATCTTCTTGTGAGACAATGAACTGAACCTCTCGTGAATTGACGTGAAGATTTCTGCGAGCCGAAGCCGGAGTGACCCTCTGAGGTCGGATCTCTCGCTGCTTTTCCAGTACGCTAAGCTTTCCAAAGAAAAACCATCACATAAAACAACTTGACTGCAAGCTGCCTGCCTCCTTCCATAACCAGTCTCTTGCAACTGCAGGGAGAGCTCTTAACCATGTCAGGTAAAGCTCCTCATTTCTCATAATTGACACCTCGTTATCCCAAGGCTGACGAGACGTCCAGACTCCAACCCAAAACCAGCACTGGCAAGCATCCCACCCGAGCTCCAAAACAAGATCTTCTCCTACCTGGACCCGGTCACCTCAACTTGCCTCGGCCTCACATCCAAGAAGTTTTATGCAATTCACAAATCGCTCCATGGTGTCAACGCTACTTTGTTGTTCACCCCAACCGACTTCTTTGGCGTTGGAACTCGGGTGAAGCGGTTCAGCTTGATTGAACTTCTGAAGGACTGGATCAAGGACAAGATTACCCCGAGAAACTCGGTCGCAGCATCAAGGCTGCAAAGCATTGGGAGATGGTGGACCAAAAGGAGTTGAAGCTCTGGGCAAAGAATTTCAAGGACTATACTAGGCAAGCTTTGTGCAACCGTTTCTTTCCAGAAACTGGAGATGAAATTCTCGAAGAAGCGAAGAGGATGGTCTTGGAGTGCTCTGTGGAGGAACTGGACACTTTCATTAAGTAGGAGCGAGCATGGTGCATGGTGCATAGCGTGAAAGATAGAAGCAGCAGCCATGAGAGAACTCGAGAAGATTGTCACTGTGACAGAGTCTCATGCAATAACACAACTTCAGACACTCTCGTCTAAAAATCCAAAGCTCCTTATTCGTACTACCTACAAAGAGGAGAGTACTGTATCTTTTCTCTCATTTACCGCTTTCCTAAATGTGCAGCCGTATTAGTCTACCCAGGTAAATTTCTCAACATCAGAGCCAATCAAGAAACCCTTCCTTGCAGCACATTGTCAAATTTTTAACTCGACGAGGCTAACCACCCTCCCACCACCCCCTCCCCCCCGACGTTAGCTCCCGTTCAATCTCGAGTAGCCCTAGTGGTGAAGCAGCAGCCGGAGTTGTTTCTTCGAGTAAGTTCCATGCTCCCACGCCACGCACCCATGAAGCTAACAATCTCGCAGTTCATCAGTCTTCACCATCCGCTAAGCCAACACCGGATACCATCCCTCCCAAACTCCATTTTAAGCTTTTCTCAACTTTCGAGGAACGTACTTCCAGTTTGCGTGGGCCTCACAGCAAAAAGTCGTACACCTCATAAATTCAAACACCGAAAACCCATTCTGCTCGAGTCGACACGACTTACGAGTCACGGAGGACTGGTCAGCTGTGAGAAAGAAGTCTGCCTATTTCGATTACAGGAAGGGTGGCTGGGAGAGAAGCTGATTTCGGGGAAGCTGCGATGCTACGGACGGGTGTTGTTGGAACAATAGATACGTTCCTGACGGTTTGGACAAGGAAGGGGAACGGTGGCGGATATTTGCGAAATGGGGATTTTGATATAGGTGTGGAATTGGGGAGCGGTTTGATGGTATGCTTGGGAATTGGTACCTGGAGGCTGGGTGATGTTGGTTCCTGGGCGGGAAACTTGGGGGAAAACCCAAGAGCGGCTGCAGTAAATACGGGCCATTGTTGGGGTTATAACTGCCAAGGAGATGGTTGTAGCCTGTGTCAATTGCACCGGGTAAGCAAATAATTTTAAGCAAAGATATCTCACTGACATAAATGGCACTCTTTCTATGATAAAGAGCAGCACTGAACTTTCAATTAATAATGTCAGGCTGGATCATTTATAATACTTTCCTTGCGAGTGTTCCCATGAGTTATGGCACTTCAAAGTATCCCTTCTCTTCCCTAGATTCTGAAACGTGCAGTACCTCCTTTCAAACCTAATAAATGTTCCATTTTAACCCGGGGCATTAAGGATTCAATACCAGCTTCTCGCCCCTTATAAAAGGCTGGACAAGGTCGCTAAATTTAGAGGGGCGCTAGTCAAAAATCAACAACAGATCGGACTCCTCTTCCAAGACTCCAGTTCTTTGTCATACTCTAGCCACCAATAAATGGTAAGCTCTAAGCACATTCAGTACTTTTGAAGACTGACGAGAGACTGCACAGGGCTCCCTAGTTCAAGAATTACGGACATCTATCAAAGCAGTGGACCAGCGAGATCAACACGGCCAAGATGGCAGCAAGTGAGATTCTTGAAACATCCTCCTTCAATCAAGATTAGGTCTCTAACTTTATTCTAGAAGCAACTACCCAACGTCGTACCAAGCCAACACTTCAGTCCCTTCCAGCAGAACTGCAGCTGAAGATTTTCTCCAACCTCGACCAGTGCTCCTCAGCAGGTCTCGGCCTGACCTGCAAGAAATTCTGGTCTATCCATTGCCACACACACCCAATTACCTCTCTCATCTGCTACACCACCGTGCCAGATAGGAGAAAGCTTGGAGGAAAGAAGGCCATCTGTTTGGTACATTTATTGGAGGAATGGTTCAGATTCAGGGGGCTGTTGGGGCCGTGGCTTTGGGAGATACACTTTACAGCGCTTCGGATCGAGAGTGCCTTGGAGGAAGTGACTGCTCGTGGACAACCTCAAGTCTAGTAAGCTCAATAGCCAATGCTCCTCTTGTGTCTGAACAATGAAAACCCCACAAAAGCATTGATTTACAAGATCTGATATGATGAAGTTCTGGAGTGACCCAATGTCCAATATATAACGTGAATAATGAATGGAATCCAATGGCAATTGTTCCGTACTAATTTTTGTTATTCTAAGTTTCACTGGAGCATACTGCAAAGAGTTTTAATACAATGAGATCCAAAGATAATCTGATATCCTTTACAGGGAACAAATAATAGTGGAGAACTAATTACCATTGCCCCAGCAAGACTTAAACAATTGAGACTCTGTAATAGGGGGCTGCTTTAGCTATGTAGGTCTTATTCTGTTTCTATCTTACATGTATGCCTCTTGCAGCCACTTCCAGCCCCACGTCAGCCTTGACATAAAAAAGAGTACTCTTTTTAACGTCTCAAGTGAACTCAGCCTCTTCAAATTTTCCTCGACATATTGCCTCAATTAATAATACATTCAAAGTCATTTCCTTTTTACGGTTTCAACATTCCAGTATATTTAAATCCTTTCCTGGGATAAAATGTCTATCTAGGCTTGGGACATTGAAAATAAATGGGATTTTTCTCTTCCATACCCTATTCTGCATCAAACAGTAGCAATTCTTATCGCTTTTCCTTGTACCCTCTTGTGTATTGCTAAATAAGGAATTACCTCTCCTCTGCCCCCTACCATTCTCTCGCTAGAAGCACCAAAATTGCAGTTATGCAAAAGCTTTGTCTTCTCACAATAATGGTGAAGTGAACGAACATTGCCCTCCTAGATTCACTTGTGCGATGCCGCTAGCAAGTTCGAAAGTCACAGCCCTCCTTTGCCGACTTCGACATCTCCTGGTGCCGATCTCCCTCAACCTCGACACCCCGCGACCGTGATCAAGAGTACGTTACAACAACGCACTCAATCACAATGTCAGACGCTGGAGCGACTGAGCTCTATCGCCAAGCCCATGCAGAACTCGGCAGAGAACTTGCTGTGCTCTCAGCCATCTTTGCCGACGATGAGGAAGGAGCCTATACGGGAGAACGCCAGCCGTCTACAAGTACCCGCAAGTTTCCATCTTCCTTCACCACCCCAAGTGTTTCGCACCAAACTGGCTCCCGCATAGCTGGTATTGAGAACCACGAAGAGCAAGCCGAGTTGAATAATGAGGAGGATGTTGCTGCAGGCTCGTTGTGTAAGCTTCCATCTTCCTAAACCCTTGAAAGTGAGCCATAGCAAGCTAATCCTCACATTAGCCATCTTCCGACCAAAAAGTTGGCTAAAGCGGTTGCTACGCGCCAGTGGTAGGAAATCGCTGCAAGAGGTTGCAACTCAGACAATTATTACACCGCCTCGCATCAGTGCTCTCCAGGCATTGCCGGCTGAATTGCACCTGAAAATATTCAGCAGACTTGATGAGTGCGCATCCGCATGTCTCGGACTCACTTGTCACCGATTCTATCGGATTCACCACTGCACTTTCCCTCGAACAAGCATCATGACCCGTGGAACAATCACACACATCCAAGACCTCGGCATAATCGGAAAGCTTGAGGTTCATAGATACGTCTATCTCGTTCAGCTGTTGGTGGAGTGGCTTGGAGGAAAGAAGAATCTGACATGGGCCCAGAAGAGAGCTTTGCTGTATGCTAAGGATTTCCAGAGGAAGGATAACAAGAGACAGGAGAAGCTCGAGGACAATGCTATCAACGAAGTGCTTCGTGCTGATCCTATTCTCGATGATATGGTGTGGGAAGAGAGATTGGGAAGAGTCATGATTTGAGAAGCTCTCCTGGGCTGTGGTCGAGTGATGGGTTCTAGACTCTTGTTATTACGTCGCTGCATGGCAGTATCGGCGGGTCATGGAATAAAGAGAAAACTGTACTTTAGAACGCAATCAATGCACACTCTGAACGATCTGAAATCTCTCGAACATTGTGTTGTAGAAATTGCAGACTATAGTTGTACATTTGAAAGAGAAAGCCTTGAATGTTCTATCCCTTGCTTGAACAACAAAGGGACTGGAATTTATTGTATGCCATGGTGTGATGGGACATTGAAAACCGAGCAAGGTGCACTATTCTACTTTTGCTTGCGCACTGGGGATACATTGAGGAACCTCAGTTGTGAAAAGTACCACGGTCTGGTGAATTATTGGAAAAGAAGCTAGCTGGGTTGTCTTCATCATCACTTGAACAATGAGCGAATTGAGGTATAGAAATGTCTACAATCTGGTAGGAAATTCAGAAGAGAGCAAGGTCTACTGTTCTTTTCCTGATTAAACACTGAGCAAACTGAAAGACAGAAAGAACTTTGATCTCATGGAGGATTTGAAAAAGAACAAGATGCTTGAGAAATCAGTAATCTGGCTTCGGATCTCCCACCAAACTCTGGCCTAATGACAACAGTTTCATATACAGAAACCTCAGAAGTTTCCTTGAAGCTTTGAAAGGTGTCTACAACCACAGATAATACCCTGGAACGTCCACCGCCCACATGAGCACATCACATTATACGCTTTAGCCTCACTGGGAAACTCCCGCCAGAAGGAAAAGGTGCATCAGTTGCATTTGAACGTAGCCAGTCCCAGCTGAGCAGCTAGTCTCTTTTGTTTGCCCCAAGATTCTATCGATCCACGCACCCAGCAAGAGGGGAGAGAAAGGAGAGAGGGGGATGGTCCAAACTCATACATTATAGCATGGCGCCTGGGTTTCTTCGGTTTACCAGTCTCTCGTGATGAACAAGGAAGCAACTCAGCACAAAGACCTCAGATAGATAGATATTAAAACTGATGAGAAGCATGGCAAGCGCTCGTGTAGAATACGCTTTTTCCACTGATTAGTTGTCTATGGTGTCAATTTTATTAAACGTTCGATTTGCATATCTCCCATGACTTTAGCCTTCCATTTCAGAGAAATATTTCCAAAACTTAGTGAATAGAAATATTTTTCACGAGAGCGTTTCTAAATTCCTTCATCTTGGCTCATTCAAAGAAGCGAACAGCAGAGTACATGTATATATATCAACTTCAGCCCTACGTCTCTGCAGAAGTCAGCAATCGATCAATCCGTCAATTTGGCTACCAAGATTTCTAACGAGGAGAGCCAAGTGCTGTAAAACTTCCAATATCCGAGTGATCAACATGAAGACGACAAACAGGTTGCAACGGCAACTTCACCGAGTCTGTGTTGGTTTCCATACAGCCTCTTACTCTCCTTTTTTCTTGAACCTGGCTAACTTTTGGTCTTAATATAATCTCCCAAGATGAAGCCGAAGCCGAAGCATTAGGCAAGCCAATCCTGCCCTGCCCCCAAAAGTCCACCCGATAATCTTCTCCCTACCTCGATAACTACACCTGAACCACCCCCGACCCCATGTGCGAAAGTTTTTACATCCTGCACACCTCTCAACATGCGAAGAACTCTCTCTGCGCCAATGTCCTGGTCTCGACGGCAACCCCACCCCGCTGACTCCTTCGTGAACCTCTATCTCTGCCAGCTCCCAGAGGACTGGTTCGACAGCACTTGCAAGGAGCGATGTACGCGATGACGATATGGAACTTGCTCTGGACTTGGAGATTGCGGAGCGGGGTGTGGCTGATCCGAACCTTGGGGCGATGGTAAAGGCAAGGGTTAGAGGCATGGCAGATCTCGCGTGGTTGAGCGGATGCGCAAGAGACCGATCTTGCCTGCTCTTCTTGGGGACGGGGGCTATTGGATTGAGTGAGGCTAAGATAATGCCGAGCGATGAGTGGGGGGTCTCCGCAGCATGAAAAGGATCGTAAGGAATGGCACTTAGGGGGAGCCCGTGGAAGCTTTCTGGCTCGAGTCGTAGATACTGTGATGATGCAGTAATGAGAGACCTGACCCAGCCGATGAGGACAAAGCACGAAGGATCCGACCGACGCTGTCTATTCTAGCAAATCTATCCCCACCAATCCTGTAGCTCTCCAGCCCTCGATCAAGAAAGGCTGTAGTTTTGCGGCACTCCTGAACTGCTGAGGAGAGCATGGCAACGCTCATTGCTAAGCGATCTAAAGTAAACAAATTTGAGCAGCCATTTCGAGACAGCTTCCTACAACATGAACACCACATCCACCTGCGAGAACCTTCCAAGTAATCAACACAAGATGAATAACACAGGTATATACCATACTCTTGCCGTCTCTGTCGACGATCGGTTAGGCTGACCCAGTATAGCTCTGCAAACCCAACCCACTGCTGCTCTCGTATCCCTGCCACCCGAGCTACATTTAAAGATCTTTGACAACACCGACAGCTGTACTTCAACTTTACTTGGCTTGACGTGCAAAAGTTTCTAAGCAAACCACCGAAAACGCTACTCCAAATTTTCCCTTATAGCCATGACCGTCCTTCCCGATGGCTTAGGAAACAGCTTTTTGTTTCGGCTGCTGAAGGAATGGCTTGGAGGCTGCTTGGCGGAGAGAGAGTACGCAAAATGGATACAAGAGTCTGGCTATGGGAGCAGTTTTGCCTTGGAACGAGGTTTGCGCAATTTGGAGGAAGATGAAGAAGCATTAATGTGTTGTTTCCTCATTAAGGACTCTTCCCCCCATTTTGGCTGCCAAGAATCTAAGTCGCCAAGAGGGGCATGAAAGTACAACCCGGGAGACTACTGGTTATTGAATGCGTCTGAGGCAACACGGAAGCGTGAGATATCAGAAATTCGTCATACTGGGCAATGAGACGACTCAAGCAATAGTTCTTCTCCATCAAAAGCGGCTTTGGCTTGATACCTTGCCGCTTTATCGGATTATACCTTGGGCTCTAGCTTCTCAAATTAGCTGATACATAAATTGACTCAAATTACCTTAGCTAGACGAAAAATCCTTCGGGAGACGGGAGATATGTATCGCCTGATCTTTCACCTTGATCGTTTGTTTAAATATCGCGTCGCGAGCTTCCTATCGACCTTCCTTCAACCTCCTTCCCTTGCAGCCTTGCAACCCAGAAACCTAGCAACGTCAAGTACATTAGCCCTCAGTTGCTCAACATGGCTAAATTGGGTATTTGTTAACATCCACATCCTTGATCAGATCACCAAATTGACCCTCTATAGGTGCTTCGCTTCTGAAGAAGTTGAAGGCGTTGAAGACACACATGAAGTCCAAGAAGGCCTCTCCAACTCAAGCATCGCCCGCAACCCCCTTCGCTCAAGCTTTGAACCAAGCCGTGGCAGGAACTCAAGCTACGACAACTCTCTCTACCGCTGGACAAAGTCTCTCCCCCGTTCTACCAACTCTCCCTACCGTAGTACCGACTCTCTCCTTTGTTGTGCCATTCATCGTACCGGCTCTCAGAACTATTCCGCCGGAGTTGCACTTGATGATCTTCGACGAATGCGATGATTGCACAGCAGTCTGCTTGAGCTTGACATCCGGTTACTTCCATGCCACTCAGCGCCGTCGTCAACGTCTTCAGGGTCGTCATAAACTCACCATTGATTCCTTGATGCTTCAAACCACTCTCAACATGGCCGCTCCTGTCTACCTGTTTGAGCTCATCGAAGACTTCATGACTCACAGTGCTTCTGAGGACACTCAATCGCACTACCACTGGCTTGCCCGCGTGTCCCATGCTGTTGTTGAAAACCCTCAATGGGCTGAGCAACGACAGCGTGCCCTGCGCCGCCGCGCAATCCGACTCAGTCGATTTGGCTCCCTCTCCTGAAAGATAACGTGTTTACTGGACTTCATACTTCATCGGTGGGTGTTCCTTACTTTACTGTAGTAGTCTCATCTACATTGCTAACTCCTCTTGAGATGCTCTTCGTCCAATCCTCTCCTGTGCTTCTCGACACTCAACCTAATGATGGGATGAACCGCATTGAAGGAATTGAATCCGGTACTCTGCGATCTTTGCAATGATTGATGCGTGTTTCCATCTTGCGGAGCCGTTTATGTTGTGGAAGGCTGGTGCGCTTCTTTTTCTTATGTATCAGCACGAAGGAAGGACGAAAGGATTTCAGTAGACAGATCGAGATACGAGTCTTCGCGTCAATAGAAACACCTTACACAATGCAAGATCTTGAGCCTTTGTGACCTCATTAAGCACTTTGATGCTCAGCTATTGTCAAAGCTATGTCTATGTATCTTCAGATTAAACCCGAGCCGCAAATCAAAGCTGAGCTGCAAACACGACAAGGTCAAGATAAGCTGAAGTTGATAGGTTGCGACGAGGGGTAGCTTAAGGTCGAGATGAGAGGTAGTCCAAGGCTTCAGGAACCGCGGATCGCTTTGTCACACAACACCACTGGCCTACTGTCTTTCAAACGGCTGCGATCAGTCAAACATCAGACTCTGTCACCTCGTTCTTCTCGGAATGGAAATAGTGGTGGACGGTGAGAATCGTGCAAAGTGTTGTTCCTTTGTCCCCTTCCCCCTCCCCCTTTTTTTTCGCTTCGAAGTAAACACCGGATTAACATTGGCGCGACGCACAGGCGAAGGAGAAACGTCATTCCGCGGACTGAGAACAACCATCGCTGCTTTAGAAATGGGGCACAACTATCGCTGCTTCATGGAAACGCCGGCGCCGGCGCGGATGAGCTAAGATGGAAGATCCGTACATGGAGCACCCTCATCTTGTTCTCCATCGCGTAAGCTACGAGTTGGGCAACGTCTGTCACACAGGCGCTGACAGCAGTACAATGTCCATCATGGGAGGAAATCGCGCAGAAAGAGAGAAGAAGAAACGGGAAAGACAAGGACAACACCATGGCACCAGAGCCTGGGTATCCTCTGGTTGTGTTTCTTTGTCTCATCCTGTCTTTCAGCAAGCTAACTTCTTCACAGAGCAAGAGATTCTCATCTCGCCCACTTACAGACCGATGATACTGTCCTTCGAATCTCCACCTGGCGAAATTGCGCTTGAACTCTTCAAGGCTCATAACACACCGTGTCCTTCTCTCAGCACACAGCCTCCTTCTCCTTTCCGATCTATCGCTCTGCTCGATGCTGCACCAAACGAAATCGCCCTCGAGATCTTCAAGTACCTCGACCCGTGTACTTCGACTTGCCTCGGCCTCACCTGCAAAAAGTTCTACGCAATTCATACCGAGATTCATGGGAAGGCTTCGATGTTCTACAGGGTTCAGCTAGACGGGGACAAATACTTGTATCTGTTCGAGTTGCTGCATGGTTGGATGAATACTGGCAAGCCCTGTTACGATATATGCATGCCGATATGGAACAAGAAAATCGAAAAGGGTCTGAGAGGAAACACGGTTCTGGCACATCAGTGCACTGAGGCGTACAAGAAGATTCTACACTTCAAGGGCTGTTGGTTTTGCAAGATGGTGGCGCACGGTACTCGTATCTGTGCAGGGAAACCTTCACCTACTATTGGGCTCTATGCATACGACAGGCTTGTTTGTGTCTATCCGGGCAAGCTTTGCTATACTCCGGACAAGGAACATCACAGATATGAGTTTGCAGATGTTGAGGCTCAACTTGCGAGGAGGGGATTCAGCCATGTACCAGACATCCACGTCAGCTTTTTCGATGCCTGGTTCGGGTTGTTCATATCTTGCTTTACACTCTGGATCATCAGCCTGCACTTTTCTGGTTACTGAAGGGGTCGATCGGGAGGTGAATGGGAAATTGTAGGGTAGATGGATGGCAAGAATAATATGGCAAAAGAGCCTCAATTCAATTATTCTGAATGCGGTATACGTTTAGAGTGGAAATTGCCACCAATGAAACCAAACACCTTCACCTGGTTCAAATAGGGGGGGGGGCGGGCACGTGACACTCGTTTTACAACATTTCCGAATTTTAATCGTCGTTCAATTCCAGCAAGGAGAAACTGTACCACAGTATTTATTGCTTACGCTGGTGACATTTGAAACGCTTTGTTCGATTATTTCATGCTTGGTGAGGCCTCGGAGAATGTTGCTGCTTATTAGTCAGCAAGTCAACCGATACCAACAGGAACAGCAGCCTGAACTACATCTCGGCTTTCTCCCATCTTCATCAAACATCATTTCCCATCACCACCCCCTAACCCTGAATATGTACTGAGGCCCACAGCTAGCTAGCGGACAAATCCGAGAAGCGAAAAGTGATTTTCTGATTTTCTGATTTTCGCACTGGCGCCCCGCACACCCCCTCCTCCCCAAGGCAGAATTCCTAATTAGGGGTATAGCACCCACACGTGACTTTCGGCTTGGATAACGCAATAATAGTAAGGCTGCTTGCTTGTCTAATTAACGAAGTGAGAGCCCATACTACCGCGTGAAATCGTGCCAAAATTGGGCCGGGTAGTATAATATAAAATTGAGTATTTATTGCAAATTACTGTGGTCAGGTGACCACAGGCTATAAGCCCTTCTAGGATAACGCTATTAACAGGGTCTAATGACTTCCTTAACGTTCCCGAGGTTAGAAATGAGAAAATTAAACTATTAAAATAACTGAGAAGCCGGCTGATTACTTTTTTTTGGTAATTAATTGACAAAATCACGTGGGGGTAACGTTGCTCGAGTTTTTTAGCGCTCACGTCGCTAGAAAGTACGTCGTAATAGTGAAGCGTGCCCTGAACTTAACCCCTATTAAAATAACTTGGTGGATTTTATTAAAATAATGCCATGACTTTTAATAAATCTATTGCCATATTGCGAAGCTATTACTAAATAGGCTCGTATGAATATTAATTAAGAAGAAATTGCGAATAGATTAAAAGATTTATATGGAATCTTAGTTAATCCGCGTATAGTCCGACGGCGACTGCAAGAATGGAATATCTAAACACGTACTCAAATAGTAGATATGCCTTTCCTTTGCGCGCAGATTATAATCCTGTATTATCTGGGAGATATAGATGAGGAAATACTTGAGGATCTTGAGGATTACGGTTATATAGCTTTAATTACTAGAGTCGTCCGTATATGCAAGAAGCTTGGTCTTATTCGCCGCATAACTATAATGGACAGGCAAGCGGCGGACGAGTAACTATTTGTAATACTGTAGAGTAAGCTGAATAATGGGCGGGTTACAGGTTATGGACGGCGGTATTTGCACGCGTACTTCCGTTAATAAGGTTTACTAGTAACCCGGTTAGTCTTTCTATACTTTACTATTTCGCCCTAGCTTGGAAGGTTAGGGCCTTGTTTACTAACGTATTTTATTATTTATAGGGAGAGCTTATATGCGATATTACGACTCCTGGATCCCGAGGTAATTATACTATAAATGTGACGGATATAGTCCAAGAAGGGAGAATATATTATGCCTGGGCCAAACTAGATTTGGTTAATTAATAGATATAATAAGCTATTACTATTTGGGATCGAGATATATGCTTGTATTAATGCTTATTCACGTAATATTATCTGGGTATATATCGGAATCTCTAATCGGATTACCTATTTGGTTATATAGTAGTATCTTTAGATTTATGCTCAAATGGGCTATTGCCCTTACTTCTTTAGGGCTAATCGAGGCTCTAAACTTCCCCTTATTACCGAAGCATACTTCGTATTCTCGCGGATAGCCGATCCGTTAGTTATGCGCGTGGAGAACTACTTTATTTCTGGGAAAAGCACCGAGAATTAGCGGGTTAAATCCTGGTGGCAGGAGCTTTAGAAGAGCTAGCTATACCGGTGGCGCGTGAGTAATTCCGTTTCCCTATATCTGCCTCTCGTTCTTTCTATTATTAGGAGGGAGTATCGGGTACTAATAATTATACTGCTTTTTATTAAGGCTATTAGGTCTAGTATTATGGCGCCGGATTATATAACTAATTCTGATTAGTATATATAGAACTACTTTTAGGAACTGGCCTATACCGGGAGTTATAATTACTAATATTTATGGGACCGGATTACTCTGCTAGCACTTTATATATGGCGGATCCAAAACGAGGTATATAGGTTTGCGGACTTGTGGAATATCCACAGGATTAGAAAAGACAGATCTAGGCCTAATATAGTAGCCGGCAAGCCATTTAGACTATATACGAGGCCCCTAGGCGGGGCATAGCACTGGGGTTGCCCTATAGATATGGAGCTTTGTAATGTAATCCTTAATAATTACTTAGTTTGGGGTAAGTAATATGACCTCGCATAGCTCTATACGGACAGTTTACTCACATGCTAATATAGATATTAACGAGTTTTTGCCGAGAGAAACGCTAGAGTAATATTATTAGAAGCTTATGTCTTATGGTATAAATATGGCTGATATTCGTATGGGAGATACTAATAAAAACGGCGACCGACTATATGTTTAAGCTTACTACTAGCTCCGATATATAGTCCGGGCATATATAGCCTCAGGGTAGCTACTAATATTGGGAGAGTCCGAGAAGCCGACTAGTGGATATAATACCGCTATTACGCGGAATGGGATCCTCAAGTAAGTTATCCTAATAAATATAGAATATGTGAATAATATATAGGCCGGAAGGATACCCGTATAGTTCCTAATAGTCCAGGACTTTACCCAGAAATGGCCCTTTATTAGTAATACTCCTAATAATATGGGGTAGTTAAACGAGCCGGTTACGGAGTAACTAGGTATATTAAGATAGGTGTTATTTATTATTAAATATATTATTTTCGAAACCCCTTTCTTACTTTTGAGAGTAGTACTAATAGAATTATTAAGTTTATTTATTATATGAATATTCTATATCCTTAAATTCTTATCTCTCAAAATAGTACTACTATTTCTTAAAACCTGCCCTAATACTGCACGCCCCGCGGCCGAATACTAGCATGGTAATATCTAATATTGCGAGTTCTATTAATCTACTAATAATGAATATAATATAGAGGCCGCCGCTTTACTTGCCTAGAGTAGTAATACCAGTGGACTTGAACCTTATGGCTCTGGAATTCCGTCCGTATCTGCCTCCCTCTTTATATCTGGGATACTTTAGATCCCTAGCTTTTCTTAGTATCCTTATCTCATATCTTTTTTTCTAGGAATATCTACTATACTTGTTTCTCTAGTTACTATTACTATATAGCCGCCAGGTACTAGTTCTGCTCTACCCCAGGCTCCTCCTGCTCTAATGGCCCCATAACTACTCCCTTCCGTATTCCCTTTTACTACGAGCCATGTTACTTGACCTAACCACTCTTCTAGTAGTACTTATGCTACTATATAAGCTTAATGGGCTGTAAATGCGAGAGTTACTCAGGCCACTGCCCAGGCCATAGCTCCTTATGCCGGTAATAGGCTACCTGGAGCCCTTTAAGGTCTCATGAATTAAAATGTGGCCGGATCTAGTCTTATGGAATTACAGACCGTGGTTTTATAGCTAGTTCTCCGCAAGTGGGCATTTAATAATATAAAGAATTAGAGAGCTAAGTAAAGAATTATCTAACTTTCTAAAGAAGTCGGTAGTAAGTTTTCTCCTATTTCTTTTACTAGATTCTCTATATAAATTCTAATAGATATTTTTTAATAGGTGGCTTTTGATTTGAAATAAATAATCGAGTCTTTTCTATTCTTTCCGATATAGTTTCTTAGTAGCTACTTTCTTACTTCTCTCTCCGTATTAGCGGACCTACCCGCTATTATTAATTTATTAATAATACGAATGAACTAGTGTTCTGTACTAGTCCTAATAGTAAAAGAGCCCAGGAACTTATGATCTTGCCAGGTTCTATTTAAACTATCTTTGACCTTTCCTGCTATGGTATATATCTGGGCCCTAAGGGCGTCTGGATAATTTTCCTTGTTTTGTATTAGGATAAGACTTTATATGAAGATATTTGTCTTGAAATTACTCGTAAAGAGCTAGAAAATGCTTAGAAAGAGACTTTATATAAAGATCTCTGTCTTAAAGTTACTCGTAAAGAGCTAGAAAATACTCAGAAGATATAGTAACTTGAGGAGATTAAATAATAGACTAAGGAGGCCCAGAGAGCCCAGGAAAGCATTACCCGCTAGCATAGGCGTGAGACTTTGAGAGTAAGGAGGGATCTAATAAACTAGTGAGTAAATAAAGGCGTATATATAATTCTTTCCTTTAATTCTGGCTCTTACTCTTTATTTCTTCTATAGACCCTTTTTTGTTTTTAGGTTTAATTAACTTATACGTGCCAGGATTCTTCTCTACTTACTAATCTCTGGGAGCCGTAAGATAATACGGAAAGTATTACTAAAAGTGCTACCGAAGCTAATCCTAATAGTAATAATAATAATAATAGTAGTGGGCTATTAGATCCTCCTTTAATTTTACTATCCTCTTCTCTAGTAGAGGGGACTATGGTTAATCTCATGGACCGTATAAGTATTACTCCGTAGTAACGGGCATGTTAGAGGTATGAATATGCTATCCCTCTTCCTTATTAGATATAGAGAATTAACGGGCATAATGTCTTTAGCTTTGCGGGTAAAACCCAAGGCACCCGGGCTATTGCTAGTACTTTGCCTATTACCCCGGACAGAAGTCTAATTATTATTATTAAATTTCCCAGGCTAATTAATCTTATTTCTCCTAAGCGAACCTATTATATAAGGTCTAATAAATTACGCATGAATATCCGCTGAGGTTAAGGTAGTTAAGAAAAAATAGGCCTGATATCTAATATGCTTTTTCCTATATCTTGTAATTAGCTTAGTACTATTTTGGGTCTTATTTCCTTGCGGATATATATATACTTGGAATTTATGATTAATGCTTTAAAGTAATATTCTTTAATTAGTTCTCATGTAATTTAAAAGTCAGGCTACTAAATTTAATACTTTTATAATACTCAAATTCACTCAAGTTTATAAAGTCTTGTGATTATTAGGGCCTTTATAATTCTTTGCCTTTTGAGTTTAATGCCCAAATAGTATTATATACTCTGCCTTTAGTATAGAGGAGGCTCCTAAAAGTCTAGGGTTATAAAGGGATTTTTATATTAAGGATATATTATATTATAATAATGAAATTACAGGTATTTATATATGGATATATAATGTATTAGACTAGCTATACTAAAAACCATACTATATTTATATATAAAGTTACTAATTGCTTTATATTAATGCCGGACCCGCGTGGTCACGTGACTTCATATAATTGGCTAGCCATAGAAAAGCCCCAAAGCCCGAAACTCACGAAGAGTCTCAAGGGCTTTGGGGCTTCCGGACTATTACTGGCACCCGGTACTCTTTGGGAAAAGAGTATAATATATTCTATAATAGGTAACCTGTTATGGACTACTTAATCTTTAAGTTAAGCGGGAAATCTGAGGGCCGGGCTCGTAATTTAAGTCTTATTAAGGTTATTAAAGTCTTTGCTAGCTAGTGCTATAGATTTAATAAAAATATTGCGGGAATCCCATAGGTTCTATCCTAATTTATCCAGAAAGCGCATGTAGTATATCTCCTTATTTATTCCGATATTTGCATATGATTCCTGAGAGCCGAACTATTACCTAAGGGGGAAGTGAGAAGGCTAGACTAATATCTTTGAAAACCAAGGCCTTAATAAGTCTGTCTAGAAAAGCTTGCTAATTCTTCTAAAGATAACCCAAGAAAAGTTTGAGTTTATTATATGTTATGACTCGTATAACCAGGGATAGGGACTACTCTAATAGGCCAGAAAGAGTTTCTTATATGGCTTACTCGTATAACCAGGGACAGGGACTTGAGTTCGTTATATGAAATTACTTATATGCAGAGACTCCTGCCATAAACTCCTTATTTGGATTAATTAGTTAAACCTATTTTTGATACTGAGTCTTTATTAAGGTAACTTCCCGCTCCTAGAGGCTTTAGATAGAGTAGCTAATAAGTTTCTTAGCTATTGGCCAAGACTTATTAGCTAGAAAATCTATAAGTAGTAGACAAGATTATAAAGCAGAATTCCCCTAACTATAATACCAAGACGTTTTACTATAGCGCAAAGCAATTAGATATGGAAGCCCCGTTAAATATAATATGTCTCGAACTATAAGTTTGCGAGATAGGTATAGGGAGTCTTAGTACTTAACTAGTATTATAGTCTAGCCCAAAGGCGCCTGCTATCCTTTGTACCTAATTTAATAGGAATAAGGAGTGCCCATACTTTAACTCGAGGGATAATTAGGACTTTTATATGGACTTAGGGCAGCGGTTTGCTCTATAGAGAGAGAATGGACCAGAAATACTCACGCTATATTAATCTTTGGGAGGGGTCGCGGTAAATACCATAACTCCTGGAATACTTTCGAGAAAGCTCCCCCGAACCAAAGTAGGCTGGTTTATGATCCCAAAAGATCTATAGGAGTCTTATATGCCCGAGAGTGCGAGCGCTCAAGGTAAATACTATTTGAGTCCTAACCCATAATAAAAGGAAAATAAAGCACGCAAAATAAAATATGCAAAGCAAAAGTAAAATAAAATACCCGGATATTTAATAAATAGAAAGCCTAATTATGGGCTATAAGAACTAGTGCTAACTAGGTACACACACGGTAATGTTGAAAGAGAGGTAAGGCGAGGGAAACTAAAAAGTAAGTTAGTATATATTTCATAAAAGTGAACGGGGAAATGTCTAAATAGCCCGAAGGCGAGGAGTATATATTAAAGGAGTCGAGATTAGAGGGAGAAGGGCTATTTCCTATAAGAATAAGTTAGTATATATTCCAAGATAAAGAATAGGGGTACTTAGTAGCGGCCCGAAGGCTTTTGTGAGTGTTAAAGGAGGGGAGAAGGTATTAAAGTTCGGAGGGATCTAAATAGGAGTTAGCCTCTTTTTTGGAAGTTCGAGAAAGGGTACTTCTAAAGGGCCCGAAGGCATAAGAGGTATCGGAAAAGGGGAGAAGGAGATATTAGAGAAGGGAAGGAGGGATCTAAAATTTAGCTTTCTAAGGAGCAAGTGGGTTAAAGACTTATGGTATGGGAGTTCTGGATAAAAGTGACCCGGAAGTAGTAGTTAGGTACTAGCTTTTGGTGTTATTAGTAGAAGTATTAAAGGAGGAGGGGTTTAGAGGAGGGATTTGGAGGGGTTTAGAGGAGGAGAGGAAGGTTATAAGGCAGTTAGATGCTAGCTCTTGGTATTAATGGAAGAAGTATTAAAGGAGGAGGGGTTCGGAAAAGGAGTGAGGAAGAGGGGTGAGGAGGAGGAGTGAGAAGGGGTGAGGAGGAGGAGAGGAAGGTTATAAGGTAGTTAGATACTAGCTCTTGGTATTAATAGAGGTATTAATAAAGGTATTAATAAAGGTATTAATAGAGAAGGTATTAGTGGAGGGCAGAAGCTCTTGGTATTAATAGCGAAGTCGAAAAAATATGGAAGAAGGATAGAGGTTTTAGAGCGAAGATAGAATAAAGTCATAGTTTTATAGAAAATAAAGTTACTAGTGCGGGGTAATTATATTATTATGTAATTTCATATTTACTTTTGCTATTTATTAAGGATATATACTTCTTAGGAGAAAGTATTACTTAGAATTCTTAAGCCTCTCTAATTTAATAACCACATATTCGAAAAATAAGAAATAAATATAATTATATATACTAGAATAAGGGGATTCTTCTTATCCAAAAATTATAATTATAGTATTACTAAATATAGAGATATAGAAGTTTATATAATAAGCTATATATAGAGATTTGAGGAGATTTAAATTACCTCGAATTATTTATAATTAGCGAAGTAAATTAGCTAACTATGCGGGTCGAGTATAGTTTAATTATTATTAGCATGCCTTAGCTTTTGCGAGTTAGTAAGAGAAAGAATATTTATATCTTTATCTTTATAACTATAATACCTAAAATTATAATTTTTTTAATATTTAAATATACTTAACCTAGGGCTATTAAGTACTAATATTTCCATTTTCAGGCGTTATTTATTATAAATTTATTCGGATTTAAATAATTATATTAAATATATATCTTTATGCCCTAAAGGTGAATAATAAAGACATAGCCACGCTAGCTTTAACCTTAGCCTTAACCTTAACCTTAACCTCCTTCCGAAAATAACTTCGATTCCGATATATAATACTATTATTAAAGCTTTCTTTTATTAAAGACATATTAAATATGGCTTTAGGTAGTGGCTCTGGCAAAGGCAAAAGCGGTAGAAAAGGCAATAAAGCTGCGAATAAGCGGAAAGATAATATTTATAATATGCCCTCTAATAATCCAGACTTAGTCCATAATATTCTCTCCCATTAATATGTTTAACTAATAAATCCCTCTGCTTCTTGACCTCCTCCTCATATACGACCTTCTCCTCCTCCTCCGCAATAATACTTTGATCTCCTTATACTACCCGATAATGCTACTGAAGTAGTAAAGCGAATTAATAATAAGGCTAAAGTTAGAGAGATAGAGCTATGCCAGGGCAGGGAGCTAAAGGGATTAGAGAAAGGCAAGGCAAATCTGGAGGCAAGCTTGGCATATACTCGCGGAACCGAATCCTCTTAAGCTTGTGCTACTTGTAGTAATAAGAAGAGACCGAGGGGCCCTTTTAAATGCTGCGTAGTTATGGAAGGCGAATTCAATAGCGCTTGTATAAATTGCAGATATAATGACAACGGTAAAGTCTGTACTTTCCATTGACTTAATACTAATCCTACCAAGTCTGGAAAGCCTCGCTCCGCATCTGCAAAACCCTTTATACTAAAGCCTCGACCGCCTACAAGATATAGAAAGCGAGCACAAAGACAGATACAAGGTCAGAAGGCAATGGGGAAGGAGGTTATAGCAGAGGAGGGTGAGGATACTGGAGGAGAAGGGGACGAAGGAGATATAGATAATTCGAGTAATATAGGCAGTACGGAGGATACAGAGAGTGAGGGAGATGGAGATGTGCCTCGTAATCCATGGGATTTGCCTTACGGACCACGCAAGCTAAGGGGGGGTTAGGAGTAGTCGAGAATAAGGCGTGTATGCTGTACTTTTTTTTTTTTAGTGAGGTGTGGGGGGGGCGGGGGGGGGGGCGCGAAAATCAGAAAATCAGAAAATCAGAAAATCACTTTTCGCTTCTCGGATTTGTCCGCTAGCCCGCTAATGGCCTCAGTAGTATGGACTCAAACCCCATCTATCCATCTATCAGCTTCCGCCTCAACCCATTTTCGACCTTAAGCTCAGCCAAACCAAACACAAACACAAACACCAAGAAAGCCTGGCTGTCAGATGGTGCGATACCTCATTCAGCTTCCCATCCCGAATAGCTCCCAAGGCTTCAACTCGCTCACATGATTCAATAGAACCGAGAAAGGTCCCACTCAGATTGCTGACCCTCCCACCTGAGTTGCGCTTCCAGATCTTCTCCTTCCTTGACACCACAGCCTCGGTCTGCCTTGGCGTCACGTGTCAGTATTTCTACAAGCTCCTTCGACGTCTCCATGGCAAGGTTTATCTTAACTTCTTCGATACACCGGAGCTTCCGTCTCTGCTAAAGGAGTGGATGGGATCGGAATATGCATTCTATCGCAAAAACTTCCGTTTCGTGCACCAGAGTAAGGTTAAGACAATGAGGAGCGAAGAGAGGGAGTATTGGGAGGGATATTTTGAGCGGATGAAGATCTTACCAATATCGAGGAGAATGGAATTGGTAGAGAGGTTGATGGATGTTTGGGAGAAGGGGTTTGGCGTTAATGCTTGAGGTGGTGTCTGTAATCAGTGGTCGGTTGGATATCGTGGGCCTCAGACAAGGAGGAAAGGGGGAGATTAAAATTTTGTGGGAAAGAGAAGTTCAAAGTACCAGTTAATGTGGTACAATTCAAACACCTTCAATGTGAGTAATCTTGTATGCCGTACGCTGATCCCGATCCAAGGAGGAACGAGACAGCGCAGAACAAGCCCGCTGAGCCGCACCTTCAAGTCAAAATCTCCCGTGCAGGACATGCGACTTGAAAATTCACCTCCAGAACTCTTGCAACATTCCTGCTTCATCTGACCTCTGGCCTCAAACATTCTTTCGTGTCGCGTCGCCGGGTGTCAGGCTACGAGCTTCACCATCGATCTACCCATCCTCCCTCAACCTTGCTTGCAATCAAGTCGCTGAATATCGTTTGCATACAATTATCTCCTTGGATTGGACGCATAGTACTTGGCTTAGAGGAGATCATGCGCCATAGCGGAGCATCAACAGCCAGGGCCTCGTAGATCCGGCCGTCTTCACGAATATCATATCACATCGCATCAAGCCCATCTTCCCCCGACGAGCGGCAGCTCTTCAGCAATACCATCTATCAGTGGAGTCCCTCGTAAGCGCCCCCCTTCCACGTCTACCTAGTACAATCTAACGGCTTCAGAACCAACGACCTCCCAAGCTTTTATCTCCTCTCATATAATCACGAACCGACAGTTCCCCATGCCGCGCATCACGAGCATGCCCGATGAAATCCTCCTCAATATTTCCCAGTCTCTTCACTCAACCGCTCCCGTCTGCTTGTCTGTGACTTGCAGCAAGATGCAGGCCTTCTTCCACCAACCAGCAGCCTCCATGCCCAGCCTTACGACCACAGTCGATTGTCCCGCCACCCTCGAGAACCATGAAAAGTTCCTTTGGGAGCTACTCGAAACATACTTGGGCCCAAGAAGTTGTATGTTTGATGCTCCAATGTCTCCGGTTCTTCTGGGTCATTCTCGAGCCATTGCTGATTTTAGCCCAGGGGGTGGACATTACGGCGTCGACAAATTCGTGAATAAAGGACTGTACCAGGAAGTTCGGGATGAATACTGGCGATTGCGCCCGCAGCGTCCGTACAATGTGGAGGACCCCAGTCCGTGGGTTAAGGAAGGTCATGATGTTGCTGATGCCAGGGGTCAGGTGAAGGCGCTGGAGGAGATGTCTCCCTCTGAAATAATGGGTCCTTTGTTGCATCTGATACAGCCATTCTGGACCACGAGAATGCACTTGGCTCCGACGGCACAATGGATGCTCCTTCGCGGCGGGGACCCCCACGATCTGGTTGCAATTGTCTAATTCTCCGTCCCGATGTCGAGCGTTCCCACCCCATGCTCCCAGGTTGCGATATTATCGCTGTGGTAGGATCATAGGCTTTGGCTATAGAAATGTTGAAGTCAAATAGCGTTCGATTTTCTCTCACAGCTATCGGATGGAGGATCGATGGGTTGCTGCACGGGTGTTGGGTAACACTGGGAGGCATTCACATGCGTTGATTATCGGAAACACAGCGTTGAGGGCCGATTTTCATTCCCTTTCAATGTGGTTCCCTCGCGTCTTCGTTTTCTTGTTGCCGTCGAGATAGTTCTTGATCGTACAAGCGTCCGAGTCTCCTTTGTGACGCCTCGGAAGCGTCCCGCTTAGCCCATAAATTTCCTAAACACTTCGTATAAAATCGAGGAAAGTCACCATTTCCCTGCAAAGTTACACTCTCACTACAGCTGCAAAGACTATTGCCTACAGAGTTAATAGCACCACGCAAACCATGGCAGAAAAATCCAGCATCTCCGTTTCTGCAAAATCTCCAATAAGAAGTGCAATTCTTCTCGCTCTTCCACCGGAACTCCACGTCCACATCTTCAAGCACCTCAATATCGTGAGAGCTACCTGCCTCGGCCTCACTTCCAAACATCTGTACGGCAGCTTCAAAGATGCCTATGGACACATGATCCCGATCCGCTCTCCGAGCAAATTGAAGTCAGGGATGAGGTAACGACCATATATTTTTGGCTCTCAGATCTCCTGGAAACTTGGATGCAGCCCTACATTTTTGGGTGGCAGGTTGATGTTTATACATTCGTTAGTTGGGAGAGATTCTGCGAGTTGGAGGCCGAGATGGAGAGAAGGAGAGATTATTCAGTTGATCTCTGAGTTGCGCGTTGAGGAAGTAGTGGAGGTGGGTGACTAACTGAGCGCTGGCTGTTTCTGAGATCTGGAATTGGGAGAGTCGAGACACTCGTGGTGGCCGATGGTCTCGAGAACTAGAATTTTCAAGTGCCTTCCAACACACTTCGTCAGCCTTTAACTACGACTCGATCTCGAAAGCATGGCTTCAGGAAACGGCCCATCCAGCCCAGAAAACGCAGCAGTACTCTCAACAAGATTATCACTCAAGAGTGAGTCTTTTCCATCGCTTGCCAGGCTGCGTCCCTATCACTGGCTTTCGTTCCAGCTTCTGCCATCCTCAAACCGTCCCTAGTGAGCTTGCAACCCCAAATCCACCTCGAGATCTTGAATCACCTCAACTCTGTATCTGCAGCATGCTCGGTAAGCTCTTACCAGGAAGCAATTCTACACCATTATCGAATCTGTCTACCCTAAACTACTACTTCCGACTCCACTTAACACCAATACGCCAAGACTGTACAACCTTCCGCCCACGCGCTTGCTGCCAACTTTAATGCAGCCTCTGGTCTATACTCCTTCGTTGGCTGCAAGTTTATCACAAGAGAGAGTAACGATGAGCTGTGGGAGGAGTCCGGAAAAGACAGCAGAACGCCGTGTCCTAGAATGGCTTGAACATTAGCATGGCAGGGATAGTACCCGCGTACCCTATCATCGAGCACCTAACTTATCGATTGAGGTCTCGATGAGACACTCTATGAGTTGCCACAGGACATAATGTGAGCTTTGGGAAGTGCATAGCAGCATCACTCAATTTGCGGCTGAGCAGCTATATCGCACATGAGACTTGAAGCAACAGTGGAACGGCAGCTGAAATGACTTTCTTCGTTCCAAATTTAACACTAGTTTCAATGCTCACTTACCCATCTTTATTCTTTATTTCAACTTTAAATCATTCCTCGAATATACTGGGATGTTCCTTTCAAGGATTCATGTCTCAACCTGGTTTTCCCAGAACCCACAGGCTTCTCAATGCGTTTCTTGTATTAAACCTCGACTGCGTCTCTTTAAGTAGGATTCTCTTCTAAGCATTCCCAACCTCACCATCCCCACCCACAACTTCTGTCTCAAGCCAGAATTGTGATCCCAAAGAGCAACCAAATAGTCCAGACGGCATTTCGATGATTCCGAGAACAAAACCCGCCACTCCGCCCCCTTTCCAATGCTAATCTGTTCAAAATCTCGCATCCCAAAAGCCTCCATCCTCACCCTCTCAATAGAGATCCAAATCCAAATCCTCCGGCCCTGAAGCCCACCAATATGCACTTCTACGCCATGTCCAAAGACCTACATAAAGACAAATTTCCTAACAGACTCTGAGAGCATCCCCCCCCAACCCCCCCCCCCCCAATTCCATTCCCTCAATCTTACGAAACCCTGTACCAGCCCCTTGGTTAATGAACGTACCAAGTTCGAAGGCTTCTATGCTGGGGATTGAGTCTAGGCGCCTCTGGACTTGTGACGAGGCAGAGATATAATGAGCTCGCTAGAGGAGAAATATCACAGGGGCAGACGTGAATGCAAGAGGGACAGCGTTTAGGGATGGAAGAAGATGAGTTTAGGTGTTGGAGCGGAGGTCGTATTGAGGAGCAAGCTAAGAGACCGGTTGCGTGGATGAACTATGAATTGATGCAGCATTTGTTGAGATACTGGAGAAACGAAGAAAATATGTGTGTTATGGGAGAGCAAATGCAGCCTTCAAATATGCAGAGGTGAATTGACATACAGTGCCCAAAACGTGACCGTTTTCATTCGATAGCCCCTGACCCTTGCCTACTTTCAACCTTTCAACGCCGAGTTTTCGTAACCCGTCAGCGTCCAACAACAACAAAAAGATGGCAGACAATCAACCTTGGGTTGCTGAGCAAGGCAAACTTGATTCTCAGGCTGTTCATGAGCATTCTGCTCGCACCAGCAATGACGTTGGCCAGGCTACATCCGCTGTTGGTGAGATCACCTTTCTTTCACTTCTAACGCCTTCTCCTGATATAATCTCAGCGTAACAGGTCACTTCCTCCTCAATTACCACACTCAACCAGCCTCTAACTCTCACCAATCTTCCTGCCGACATCCACTTTGCGATTTTCAAGAACCTCCACATCGTCCATGCAACCTGCCTAGGTCTTACGAACACGACCTTCTATGCAGTCCTCAAAGCTATCTACCCGGGCAAGATCTCGATTGATCCGTACGCTTACAAGTACAGCTGGGCGAAAGTAGGCCTGCTAGGAAACTTGATCTCGCAGTGGATGCGTCCGCGGATGCTTTGGGACGGCTTCGTTTTTGTGACGCCCGAGCGGTACAAGGAATTGGAAGACCGAGACTATGATCTCAGTTTGCAAGCACAGTTTGAGGAAATGTGCAAATGGTAGTCTTAGATTGTAGAAGATGTAGAGCGGCAGAGTTCAGACTGAGCTCGTGGATTGAAAGAACGATAGGATTCATAACGCCACTTTTTGAGAGCTGATCAGGAAGCAATGCAGGGAGCTGTGAGGAACCTTGGGAAAGTAAGATTACAATAACTTCCTAAATGCACAAGCAGTTCAAGTACACGATTTCCTGCTAGTTTGCTGTTTGTTTGTGATTATGAAAGCAGAAGCAAGAGAGTTCCTTCTATATGAAGATATAGTTGAAGTTTGATCTTATAATCATTTAGCACATGGCTGCCAAGAACCCTATCCCGGGATGCGAACTCTGGCTTATGAGAATAGATAAACAAATTCAGTCCCCTCCTTCATACGAAGCAGACAGGCTGCAAATCTTCTTTCTTTGCTTATATGCCTCAATGATATTAGGGAAAGATGTGTCTTCAACTTAACCTGGAATCAAATACCGCATTCTAGGATATTCTTCATCTTGACTTGAAGTCAATCTTCTAATAAATTTAATTGCATTTATTACAAGTATTGCAAAATTTGTGTGGCTCGACTTGCGCCCGGATTCGTGATATAAATGCTTACCTGGGGCTCACAACCCGAAATCCATCTCTTCAAAACATCAGCAAGCGACAACACTTCCACTGAACGACGCAGGCATCCCTGCCCTCCCCAACATCGTTTGATTGAGAGCCGTCAAAGCGAAACGAAACCTTCTAACAACCATCAACTCCAACTACCCAGAAAGATGCGGCCATCACTAAGTTATTCTTTCTTTTCTTTTCTTTTCTTTTCTTTTCTTTCCTTCCCTTCCAGCAGGCATAGAAGCAAGAAGCCGACCGATTCGACTGCCGCTGCAGAGCAAGTTGATAGCGTCGAAACCCAAGGTTGCTTTCTCTCAGAGCGAGTGTTTCTACCAGACCCCACGAAATTTCATAGCAGATGCTCCTTCCAAAATGGTATTGGTCATTGTCAAATTAGAGTCATTCAATGTCACCAAAACAGAATGTTCGTTTTTCTTTTCTACTTCCCCACTTTCCAGTACACGCTTACGAGAATACTAGATACCTCACACACGAGTACTTCAACTTCCTTCCTCAAGAACCTCCCCCCCGAACTCCACCCCCATGTTTTCAAGTTTTGCGACAATCCTGGAGCAGCTTGTTTGGGCTCAACATGCAAGAAGCTATATACAGCCTAACAATTTCCAAGATCTCGCCTCCCGCCTGTGCCTTTATACGCCTGGGCCCGGGTTGATGGCTACGAATTCAAGGGCAAGAAGATCATCAGTTTAGGTAACCTGTTGTGCGCTTGGGCTCGCAAAGATGATGAACTATTCTATTGGCATGGTAAGAATAGATGGGTCACTATATCTTGGTGGGAAGAGTTTGAGAGGACTAATTGTGAGAGGCTGAGGGCTAGGCAAAGAGAAATCGTTGGACATGGAAAGGGATATCATGGATGTGAATTACAGTAGGTAAATCAGTAGAAAAGATTAGTTATGGCCTTTTGAACACTTTCACTGCAAATTAAGTGCCCCTTTCTTTCCCTCCCGCTTTGCCAGATGCTTGCAAGTGTTTCTTGAGTTGAAAGGAGGGAGCTAAGCGTCGGTGAATAAAATGACACAATCCCCGTTCAGCTTCCAACCTCTTTCGCCTTTCTCCTCGCACAGTTTTCAACTCTACCTGACACCACGTATTATGCTTCAACAAGCACAACTTCTTTGAAAAGCAGTACCCTTACAAAAGAGCTTTAAAGCAAGAAAATCAGCAGTCCCAGCCCTTCGTCAATATGTCAGCTGCAAAATACTTCCCTGTTGAGCAGCAGGACACTACAGGAGGCATGGTTCAAGGTAAGCTTACTCTACCGTTCACTTTTCCTTTATCCTAATAGCTTTCCCTTCTACTGCTTGCTCTATCCCCTTATTTTTTTTATCTATTTGGGATCCCAGGAATCGTTGATTAACGCCGCAACGTCACCGCTTCAACTCACTTCCTAGTGACATCACTTGGGTTTTCCTCCCTTTTTTCTACTATTTCAACCGTTCGGGTTCACTTTTGATAACAAGAAGCTATTATTCTCCATTTCCGGGGTTCTGTCGCTGCTCTAGTTTAGCTGGTTTTACTTTGTACACTCCCTATTTCGCTCTAATACTTTGGAGCAAAGAAGTACAATAACAGATAACTTTCTTTAGTCTGAAATTTGCCCCTTTCGCTCTGCTAGATGGGAGTGAAGCATAGAACAACATAATAACTTCCTTTGGTTTGATTCTTGCCCCTTTCACATCTATAGTTGGGAGCGAAGGAACACAACATCACGATAATTTCCTTTGGTCTAAGCTTTGCCGCTTTTGCTTTAACACTTTGAAGCAAAGCTGGCTCGGTCTTTACAACTTGAGATGGCACTTAATTGCCAACTTTTCATTTTCTGAAGACCACTTCTCGTTGTTTAAGGACAAAGCCAGAAAGATGGGAGTGAAGCCAGACCAACAATACAGTTACTTTTCCGGCTCCAATAGTTGGGAGCGAAGCTACACAACAGACACTATAAGTTTCTTCGCTCTAATCTCTCAAAGCTTCCTATTTAGACAGAAACTAACAAATTGGCAGAAAACCTACCAAATACCACTTGCAAGTCTTTATCCTCCCTCCCTCCGGAGCTGAAGATGAAGATCTTCAAAGAAGCCGACTTCGTCTCGCGGGTTTGTCTCGCTCTCACCGCCAAAACCTTCTACGCCACCTACGAGAAGACCTTTGGAAGTATGCCGGAGCAACCTGTTGCTTTGCGCGAAAGAGTCGAATGGTGGGAGGACGGAACAAAGTACAGGACATGTTTGGGTGTCCTGCTGTGCAGCTGGGCTTCTACAGAGAGAGAGTTGTGGTACTGGTGGTACGGAGATAGGTGGATGACCGCGGCAAAGTGGATAGAAGTTGTCAATTTGTGCAAGATAACAAGACTCTACCCTTGGGCTGTTTACAGGACATTGGAAGGCATGAAGGGATAGAACAGACACGGGGCGAGCTTGTCATCTGCATGAGAGACTACCACTTAAGGGAAGTCTGAGGGAAACATTCCACTGGATTTGGGCCATTGAGATCATTGGAGGAAGTTCAACAAGGAACCGCCAGTGGCTGGGCCATACCTGGGTGGTTTGTTTCAGACTTTAGATAGAGAGGGAGTTGCAACTTGCTTGGGAATTTATGCATTGATGGGGAAACTGAGCTTTGGGAAACATTTCGCTTGTATTCATGGTCCCAAAAGAAGAGCTCCTATGACATGAGAAAGTGAATGCCCGTGGCGTGATTTATCTACAGCCGATGACTCATTGAAGCAGTATTTTCGCCCACTACAAGCTGCACCAGAGGCATAAAACAATCGCTTCCAGCAATCAAAGAAAACTTTTCATCAGCAAACTGACAGCTGCCGTGCTCCCTTTTGCACGGCCGTCTAACTAATTGCGACCGTCAATATGACCGAGAACCATCCGACCCTTTTGGCCGCAATGGAGGGACAAGCACCTGGCTCGCAAGACACCTTAGTCACTTCCTCCTCGGAGCAAAGTGAGAAAGCTCTTGAGTGCGGTACGCCATCCCTTGCCTCAATTCAGGCACTAACCTTAAACCATGACGAGTGCGAAGCTGACAACAGCCCAGCTGATCCTACACTTACCACCATCCCTCCCGAGCTCCACGTTCACCTTTTCAAGTTTCTCGATCCCATTACCGCCACTTGCCTTGCTCTTACTTGCAAGAAGATCTATCAAGTCTATCAAGCAGTTGATCTTTCGGATGGTATCAAGCCAGTCCCCTTGCACAAGATGCTCTCCGAAACGTACCATTCCAAGCGACCCGGCGACTCCACAGTCATTCGATTGGGCGACTTGTTATGCGTTTGGGCTGGGAAAGGCAGAGCCTTGGTTTATTGGCCCAATGGCAGAAAGTGGGTTTTGGCGGAAAAGGGTCAAGAATTGAAGGAACAGGGACAATTCTATATCCCAGTACGCGTTATTGCATGTTGCGGTCCTTGGTGAGGGAACCTGGCGGAATGACGCGCTAAGTCACATTGGTCGTTATGGGCTTGGTACACACTCAGCGCTTTTAAGGACTGCTTAAGGAACGTAGGAGCATAGCACTCTCGAGTTGGTGGCGCACAATGCTCTTTATGCATTTGGAAGCAAAATACGTAGTCTTTCCTGGGTAGGGGAAATAACAAACGATCTTCTTCACAACCATGCAAGTAATGTATAGATTTCCTATTGAGAATTTCAAATGTTTTCCAAGGTCTTGTTTTCTAAAATTATGTACCAGCTCAGCCCGTGAATAGCCCGAGTAAGCAACCAAGAACCATCAACCAATATTGACCGAAGCATCCACCTTAACCTCCTCTCCGAAATTCTTTCCCACGTCTGTTGGAGACGCCCGTTCTATATCAAGCGAAGCATCGTTTTGTTCCCCCATCTTCCAAGATTCGAACGTTGACAACCAGGGGAGCAAAGCAACTAGATATCTGTGGTGCCAAGGTCCAAGAAAAGTTGGCAAACTCTCCTCCTCCAATGCGAATATGGGCACATCACGGGGTTGTCTCGAAGGAGACAGGATCTTGAGAAAGGCGAGGCCGAGTCCATACCCGTTCCGCAGCGACGGCTTTGTCATTGTTTCGTGGCGCGCAAAGCGCTCATTGTTATTCTTCGAAGCTTCCTTGACGCGATCTCTTCCCTCGGCGTATATCAACCACAATACTCTGATAAAGCTGAGTCCGCCGATGAGTAGAGGCAGTAATTGGGATGGAAACCGAATCCCACCATCCTGTGCGATCGTGCGTCGCATGTGGTTTTTGTTGAGAGTCATCTCGACCATGAGGAGGCAGAAGAGGATCCAGAAGAGGTTGAATATGCGGAAAATTTTAAACAGCAATTTTAGTCTGCCAACATGCATTAGTTCGAGCCCGTCGTGGATATAGAAGAAAATATCACGAACTCCGAGGCGCTGAACCCAGTTTCAAAGACCAGCTTTTCTCTCAGTCCGGTCCGGAATACCTTGGCAATGACGGCGAAGATTGCCGCGACGAGCATAGTGCAGTAATATATTGAGCAACACATTGTGATGACAATGTAAAACTTGTCGATACCACCACGGACCAGTAGGTATGCGAAGAACCAAGTGAAAATCTTTTGACATTCTGGATTGTCAGAAGTAATCAGTCCATCCCTCACACCTTCCCACCAAAACCACGTTCCATAAATACTGATAGCGGCAGTCAACAAAAGCCTGCAATGCGTACCCCATCCTCCAAACCGCTTGATAGCAGCGGGACCCTCCTTCTCGTAATACGAAGTCCTGTAGCCCCAGATGCTGAAACTACTAAATAAGAATCCCGAGCTTAGCTGCATGATAATAAGGGCATCGATCTGCTGGATCTGCCTAAGATGCGTGCCATTGAAGAGACTTGCGATGAGAGCTAGGAGGAATATGGAGTTTGTGTCCAGAGAGCCTGCGATCTCCGATGGCAGTAACAGGTTGGCAAAGTAAGAACTAAGCCAGGAGAAGTAAACACCCAGTCTAACTCCGAAGCCGTAGTAATCATTGCTGAAGTCGGTGGTGCAGTCCAGAGGGCCTGGGTCGGCTGAGGTGACATTGCGCTGCAATATCCTAAATGCAGTCGAAGTTGAAGAGGCTTCAACAGAGACGAAGCTGGAGGCGAGAAGGAGGTAACAAAAGACGTTCATATGTCGACAGAGTCCCATCTTTGAGGCAGCAATGAAAAGAGTTTATGCAAGCAGTACAGTTTCAAGTTTGCAGGCCAGATGCAGATTGAGGCGCTCAGCGGGCCTTAATATATGGACCCTTCAGCCATGTCAATAAACTTCTGTGGCACAGAAATGTGGGGAAGGCGACTCACATATAGCTGAGAGGACATGGAAAGGCTGTTCGACATGTTTTTCGCCGTTTTTCGACGCCCATTACTGCTCGACCGCGTTCGTTCAGCCTGCAGATCAACGCCAGGTGTAGACCACCAGGACAGGAAAATGACAACCCCAAGAATTTCCAACAAATCGCGAGGCTCGTTGACTCGGCTGCCACTTTTCGCCAGCAAGATGTGCATGGGGGGTCGAGGTTCATTGGCAGAGGTTCCAGCACACCCCTGGAGTGGAAGTTTACCTGCAGCGACCCCTGTTTTCAGCTCGGCCTCAAAGACCGGGCTGCATGTTCGAGAGCGCAGCAGCCTGGCTAGCTTCCGGCCTGAATTTCTCCAAAACACATACGAAGGCGACGGGCGTTGAAAATCGTCCATCTACAGAGTGCGCGCGAGAACACCAGAACCGCCTTGTGCGGAAAGTCGCACCAATGCCTAATATAAAACCCAAAACTTTCTATAAGAGTTTTATATAATAGAAAAATAGCACGTTAATCTTTTCCAAGCATTTTATAACAATTAAATTTGGGGAGAAATTGCGAGACATTTTTAACCGCACCGCCCCTGAACTTCCAAAATCCTCGCTTAGCGAGTTCAACGATTTTAATGCCGGCCGCCTTCGTAGTCTCTCCGAAGAGCGATTCATACGACCAAGTTCGAACTTCGTCTCTTGAGTCTTAACGTGTATTGCCGACGGAGTGGAGGTCACAGGCTCATCAAAGGGTATTCCAATATCCGAACTACCGCAACTCTGTTCCCTGTCATATGCATGGGGAACCAAACCACCAATTTCTTCGCTCATTTGTGACTTTGCACGTCTGGCAGTTACAGTGCACCTGCTTTCAGAAATCCAGCGAGTGGGCCGCTGCGACCCAACACCATGGATCTGGATCGATGCTATCTGCATCAATCAGATGAATGATGAGGAGATAGCCGGTCAGGTCCGTTTATGGCTAAGATATACTCCCTTGCAATATATGTAATAGTATGGCTTGGTGAGGCTACGAAAGAAATGAGCATGGGTACCTCCCTCAAGCAGCTCTGAAAGTTCTATTTCGGCCGACTCGTCATCAACAACCTGACTCAGTTTGGTCGACAGGTAGCTAAATCATTGAGTCGGGCGAGAAAAACCATCCTTCTCAATAGGCTCCATCCCGTCTAGAGCGCCAACGACACAGTAAGATTTCTCGATGAATGAGAGTAAAAGGAAGAGAAGTTCCCAAGGACGCTCATCAGACAAATGGTTGAACTCACATTCCAACATGGCCTGAGGTATGCCGGAAGCATCAAGCTGTGGGGTAGTAGCCGGGCGAACCAGTCCCGGATCAAAGACTTCGGTCTCCGATTTTCGGTAAGAATGTATCGGAAGAGGAAGAAGAAGAAGAAGAGGAGGAAGAAGAAGAAGAAGAAGAAGAAGAAGAAGAAGAAGAAGAAGAAGAAGAAGAAGAAGAAGAAGAAGAAGAAGAAGAAGAAGAAGAAGAAGAAGAAGAAGAAGAAGAAGAAGAAGAAGAAGAAGAAGAAGAAGAAGAAGAAGAAGAAGAAGAAGAAGAAGAAGAAGAAGAATAGCAAAGGGACACCTTTCTGCGATCTGACTTGCTCGGCCAGCCGTGCAGTCAGGACCGATTTACCAGCTCCTAGAACCCCTTTAATCCAAAGGCATCCATGATCGGGCGAAATATGCCACTGCTTAAAGTTTCCGGTATCTCAATTCAGAATCCCGTCTGCGAAACTTGCGACAATAGGTGGCGGCGAAACTTGCTGGACTCTACCATGTAGTCGGTTGGCTGAAGCCATTTTTGAACCTTTCCCACAGCTGCTGACCCAGGCTGGCTTCCTGGCTATTCATGATGTCGAAGTCTTCCGACTGGGAGTTTGCTGAAGATATGTTGGCGATATGGACGACCCGGTTCTTGTCTCACGGTCACGCAGGCCGAAGTGAAGGCCGGAGCGGCTGAGAATAGTACAGTCTCGCCGGAGGTGTTCTCTGTGGCATGAAACTTGAAGATGATCAAACCCTGATATGTCGCAACTGGGGCGATGAAGGAGATCTAGAATCATGATACAGTAAGATAGATGAGCAGGCAGCAGGAAGGATTGGAATTGGCCTAGCTGCTTGGTGCGGCCTTCCCAGTTAGCCAGGCAGTAATCTTCCCTCAACTGAAAACAAGAACATTGTTATCGCTAGAAGGCACTATCGGAGCCCTTACTAAATAAAATAGAAATGTTTTGCTTTGCTGAAATGCGCGTACCTGATCGTGTTTTACTCGTTGTTGGCAGATTTAGTGGAATCTCAGGGGCACCCCGAGTTAACCGAGTAAGCAAAGCACGTGACTCTATCCCAGATTACCCCTTCCATTATTACACAAGTGCCCTTCCTTGCTAGTAAGAAATATACTCCATGATAATACCATTGAATATGCATCTTTACGAATGAAGATATGGGTAAATGACAAGAAAGTCTGAGACGCACGTGAAGAAGAAGACGCGTCTCGATAACGCGTGTGGAAAATCAATAAATGACGTCGGTAAACAACAGTTGCATCACTCCATCTCCTCTCTTAGTTATATCAACCACCGTTCCTCCTTCTTTCTTATGAACTTCCATCACCATTTTTGGGCTTAATTTGCTATCAGCATAAAATCCAAAATGCCCCCAAAACGCAAAGCAATGGCCGAGACGAGCGCCAACCAGCCAGTCTCAACGACAAGCCGCAATGCAAAAGCCACGAAGACTTCCTCGAAGTCCATTGCTCCGACGAGCAAAGGATCTGCCAAGTCCAAACCGGAGACATTCAAGTACTCCAATGCCGATACCGTGAGCATTGTCCCTGCTTTCTGACTCTATTGAGGACGAGCTAATGGATCGGCCGGCAGCTTTCGCAGAAGCCCAAATACGTCAACCTTGAATGGCCGAACTTCGCGGACTTCATCAAGGACAAGAATCAAGATATGCCAAAGAAAGGCGAGCTCGTGGACAATTGGTGCGACAGAGTCTCTGATCTGGGGGTTCCTGTCTCGGAGGAGGGAGCCGACCTGCTTCAGAAGTTGGATAACGAAGTGGAGAAGAGGAATCAGGATCGATTGGACATGCATATATATAATGATTGGAATGGAGGGGGGATGTCTGAGTGCTTCGAAAACTACGTATGTCGCACTCTGCCGGTGTGCTCACGGTTAAAGGTATGTGTGGGAGATAGGCTGACGTGCTGTCGAACAGTTGAAAGACTTCAACAGGGACATCTTTAAAAAGACCGTCAGCCCCTTCAAGAAATGGGCCTACGTCGAAGGCATTGCATGTTTCTTCAAGGGCGCGGATAATCTGTTCTACTGGTTGAGTGCGTCTCTTACTGCCACGGAAAGTGACCTAGCTGATATGATGGCAGACAACGAAGACGGCGACAGCGTGAAGGACATCGCTGCAATGCTCGGCCTCATGGTCCTCACCGCTTACTCCGCCCTCTCCGAACATTCGCTCCTCAAACCAGATTCCGAAGTCAAGAACATTGGTATCATGAGTCTCATGATGTTGGAATTCGCCAAGGATGACGGTCAGGATTTGGACATCGGTTGGGGCTGCGAGATAGTCAGAATGTGCGATGAGGCTGGGATTGACTTGGACAAGGAGGTCCGGAAGCAGGTTGCCTTCTCGAAAAAGGATTTGAAGGGGATGAGAGCTGCGTATAAGGAAAAGAAGGACGGGTACAAGGCCGCTGCTGGGACCAAAAGCTGGAAACCAGAGCATGATGTTGGAGGAAAATGGGATGAAAAACAGTGGTATCGTTGGGATTGGAAGCTTGAGGTAAGTTTTCTGCCTATCGCTGTCCGGAACAAGCTGATGATCTGTATAGTATAAAAAGTTCCAGAAGAACCATAAAGGAGGAAGTCATTATGATTTGACCAAGTGGAGCAAGAAAGACCGGGAGGAGTATACTCTCGGGAGCAAAGCATTTGGCAGGAGGATTGGAATGGAGACAGATTCCGAATCTGACTGAATCTGAATCTGATTCCGAGCCCGAGTAGTTCAGTCGAGGCGATGGTGGGAGTTCATTCGTGTAAGATTATGTTAGCTTTTCCATATGTAGGATTAATTGAGTCGAGTGTATGTTCCATACTTTCAGCTCTCTTGGGGAAAATTGTGTTCCTGTGATTCAGTACGAGTACAATTCTCGAAGTACTAGTTATGCAGCCCTGGACACCACTGGAAACTTGAGTCTAGGCGGTTCCAAAAGCTTATCAGGTAGAAGCAAATGCTCCAAGTGCCTCTGTATTCATACGTCATCGCACCTAGAAATCCAACCAACTTCCAGCTCATTGTCATGCTTCAAAGGTTTGAACAGAAATGCAAGATCAGCCTCAAACCTAAGATGAAGGATCAATATGCAGCGAGAGCCTTTCATCCGCCGCAAGCTTCTTTCCTTTCTTCGCTATTCTTAAACTAGAGAGTGCACTTGAACTGGGAGCTTTAAAGCTTATCTCTACCGATACTGGAAGCTTCCTTCACGTATACCGTAGTTTACTTATAGTCCAGGGTTACTCAGTCACGTGCGTTATGTAAGTAGGTAAGAATATACTATTAAGTAATATATTATAGTTAGTCATAAAGAGCTATATTTATCCATAAAGCCATATCTATGTGCGGGGCTATATCCATGTGCGGAGGCCTGCGACGATTCAGCACTTCCTCGCAGTGCAGGCTGGAAACCAAGGGCTTTCATGCTCTTGGGCTAAGACTGAATCACAATGACTGTTTGAGTCTGGAACCGGCGATTTACCGTACGAAGAGGTTCTCCTCTATTGACTAATGACCTTTCGATCCTACCACCGTGTCCTCTCGCACGCTACGAGCCCTCCGAATATATATACACAGAGATAGAGGGAACTGGAGAGGCGTTTGGCGGAGCCGCAGGGAGGATAATTCCGCGCCCGAGGACACTTCGTAGTTATAAGGAGGGGAAGGAGGGCGAGGGGGGGAGGGGGCTGGGGTTGGGAGAAGAGGTCAATATTGCGCCTTCGTACGCGCCCGCTGCCGTGGAAAACGAGCCTCTTGCTCTATAGCAGGAGTTGTCAAGGAGGCCTTTAACTCGCATTGGGTCACCTGGATTCGTGCTCTAAAGGGCCTGGGGATACGCTCTACGGATAGGCACATAACAGGGGCGTTATACCAACTCTCCGGGAAGGTTAGCTCTCATAAGGCCTTACGGCTATACGTTATTATAGCATGAACTGCTTTCTGAGGTTTATAAGGGCACGGAAACACCGCGGAATAAGGGACCCGGGGCTGTCAGGAGAAGGGAGGTCTTTTTCCCCTTGTGGTTTTGGCACCTCCTCTTGGCAGGACTTTATTTTAAACCCTTAGCTTAGCACGTCCCAATACCCTTCGGGAGGTCGCGGCCAACCATAGCCCCTGGACGTAAATAAATATCATCATCATCATCATCATCACCATCCATGTGCTGAGCTGCATTCGCGTGCACAGTCAGGTATGGGAGTCGCGCGCCGACCTGCTTGTGCACGTGGATATTAAGAAGTGAGGATATACTTCTTAAGCGGGTCGTGGGGCACCACAGGCATGTGGGATTAGTCAGCTTACCCCCTTACAGACCCGGTTCCTTACGTACCGTCCCCGCCTCGTGAGGGCACCTCCATGGCTAACGAGCCTACGGACAAAAGTCCGTGTTTTTAGCGATATTTTCAGGCATCGGAAAACCAAAGTCGCCCACTTCACTTCACATTTTCTCATCAACCATAGATTGAGATCTTATATAACATAAGCGCGTATAATATAAGAAGCTAGATTGAGTTTTAAAAGCCTTTAAATCCAATCCTGAATATAAATTTGCAGCGTCCAAAATAGCTATGGGGGCTGGTTTCTAAGCGAAATACCCTAAAAATACAGACTTATGTCGTTTGGCTCGTAAGGAACTGCGTAAGGAACCGCACCAAAATTCTGCCCCAATTATTAGGGCCCCGAAGCCTGCCCCAATTATTGGAGCGTTAAAGCCTGCTCCGATTATTAGAGCTTTATATTTAGTTTTAATTCTTAATATTCTTAAAAATATAATTTCAATTATTAAAGCTTTATATTTAGCTTTAATTATTAGAAATAATAAAACCCAAATTTTTATTTTATTAAATAAAAGTATTTGTTTATTTATATAATTATTATTATAACTAATTTAAAAGACTTTGAATTCAGAATAGCAAATCTTTGTTTTCTAAGCCGAGCTTTTACTAGAACAAACATGTTATGTATTTTCTAAGATACTCAAGTAAAAGAAGTGACCGATCCGGTTAGCGTGACCTGGGGAGCTGAATATTAGCTGCAGCAAAGCTTTTCTCAACCTCCACCGTTGTCAACAGCGTCTCTGTCGGAAGATCCACGCCTCGACAAGCTATTTCCTCTCCCATCGCATTGCGCAGTTTCATTTGTGTGGGATGGCTCTGTGCTATGAACCCCTTGATGAAAGCAAAGATGAGATCAGGCTCCTGACACTCTTACCGAAGTCACAGCATACCTTTTTCGAAGCCGTTCATTGTCGACTCGAGACAAGATCTCTGACTTCATTCAGCTCACGATACGAACTTTTTACCTCTTCTCCGGTTTTCTCGAGTTCAAATAAACACAAGTCTATACTTAACTGGATTCAATCACGTCCTCAATCAGAGAGAGCACTCCAGAACTTGTCTCCTACAACAATCCGTGAACCTCCAGAGGAATATCAACGTTTTATCTGGGGCGACTATGCCGCTCTTTCGTACGTATGGGGTGGCGAGAAATACAAAAGGAAGATCATCGTCAACGGCCACGAAATGAAAGTTACCCGCAACCTCGAGGCTGCATTGCGCACATTCCGCGACGAAGCGGAATTCCATTCAAACTTTGGGTTGTGGGTCGATGCTATTTGCATCAATCAAAAAGATTTGAAAGAGCGTGGTCGACAGGTTAGGAAGATGAGAGATATCTATGGGAAGGCCTGGACCGTTCTTGCTTGGCTCGGTGAAGAAGGCGACCAGAGTGACAAAGCTATGCAACTTGTTCGGAAACTTTCCCGGTTCCAGGACATCCAGGCACGCGATGTTGATCTGGTTCATGAACTAACCGAACAACCTGAATATCTAGGCGATGGCTGTTGGTACGCATTAAAGCAGCTTATGAAGCGACCTTACTGGTCTCGCCTTTGGATCATTCAAGAGATTGTGATGGGAGCATCGGCCATGATTATACGTTGCGGAACTTCATCGATTGACTGGAGCTCTTTCTGTTCGGGAATTGAAATCCTACAAGAGGAACTGTGGCTCGTGAAGGATGAACTTCTTCGTGAAGACGTTGCAAGAAATGGCGGGGCATGGCGTGGGTGCTGAAGGAGAAACCTTCTCCTATTTCCCAAGTTCTCCAGATAATCCCCAGTTTTCTTGGAAATTGTGTAATGGGCAACTGCTGACTTGGGCGTTATCCAGGAAATGCTGCCTGGTCGACCGTGAGCCTGCACCTTGTGTACCGCGATCTTTCGGTTCTCAGCCAAAGGGAAGAGACCGCTGCAGCAAACTTACCGTTCTGGAAACTCATTGATATTGCAAACTCTGCCGATTGTCAAGATCCTAGGGACAAGGTGTATGGACTAATTGGCTTGATGGGCGAGAATGTGGCGAAGCAAATAGTGCCAAATTATACAATCGCTCCACACGAGGTATACGCCGAAGTGTCAAAAGCTTTCATCCAAGGCCACCACTCTTTGGATCCTATCCGAGAAGGTAATCCTTGGGGTCCGACGAAAACACCCACATGGGTTGCTGATTGGCTGTGGGATGGCGGCAGACTCTCTCTGGCAAGAATTGAGAATCCACTCTGGGGCCCTGCATGGCTCTCTGGCAAGTCTATTCCAGGTTCTTCAGTGTATAAACAATACAAAGCAAGTGCAGAGAGCCCATGCGAAATCTCTTTCATGGACCCTGGTTTGCTGACTTGCACTGGATTCGTCATCGACACCATCTCCGGACTTTCCGCTCGAGGGCGCGGATATTTCGCTTGGTCTGCAAATTCTCTCATTCAGGCAGAACGATGGAAGAGTGTCTACGGTAATGCTGCCGAGACTTCGAAGGCTCTATATCGAACTCTCATTGCGGATCGAGTTGGGGGAGGACAGAAAGCCAGCGACCGCCATGCTGTCATCCTCAACCTCCCAGCCAGCTTCGAAGCGGCAGAGCCGCAATTCAAGAAACGGTGCTGGACATGGTTAGCATCCCAAGAAGGCTACTACTTCAGATGGGAAAAATGGCGAAAGGCAAACAGGAACTTCCAACTTGGGGATTTGCGACTAAATGACTTCTTTGACAGTATGATTCCCGAGGAGGCTTCGGAGCAGGATTTCACTGAAGTTTACTCTTGCTTTGATCGGACGTGCCAAAAAAGAAGATTCATGCTCACAAAAAATGGATATATGGGCTGGGTACCGGATAACGTCCATGGATCCGGCCATGATCAAACCTTGACAGGGGATTTGATCGCCATTTTGTTTGGGTGCAGCACACCCATTGTGATTCGGCCCTATGGAGAGCATTTTCAAGTTATAGGGGAGGCTTATGTTCAAGGTGTCATGGACGGAGAAGCCATGGATTTTCTGAAGAACGGGAAGGCGGAGAGGCGAAGCTTCACTTTTTGCTAAGTTTTGTATTCGGAAGATCCGCAAATAGCTTCGGCAATATGGCACCTCATCGGAGGTTTCTCCTTATATTTCTTCTAGAATATTTTTAGCCTCTGTTGCGACTCATGTTAAGTCCAGATTATCAGGCCGTTAACTTTCTAGCAGGATGCTAACGTAAGACTACTCCATCAACTATCTGTAGTCTTTTCTTGCTACATGTGAGCTACCAGTGCTAAATTGTCAGCGCCAATTCAAATTGGGCACTTGATACTGATCTCTCTGTGTTCAGCAGTTCATCATTTACATCTGATTTAATTCGGTGCCCAATGCACTTTTGGGGACACCCTGTTCGGCAAATATCACCAGGGGGTTTCTTTAGACAACATACGTCAGTGTCGGAAGAAAACTTGAAGGTAGCCTAATCACAAAGTGGTTGTTCCAACTTGGTACTCTAAGGTAAGTGTACAATATCACATATATACATTTAGAGAGGTAGTACTTGCAAAGTACCAAAGCCAAGCTTGGATTAGGACATTGAAGAAAAGTGTTGATTTTTCTGTCCCCTGCGAGCAAGACACTGATTTATTGACGCCTCGCTTAATTTCGGGTAAAAAGGGGGCGGCAACTCAAACAAACAGCAGTGTGACGAGACAACTGCACTCTGGGACAAAACCCCCTCCTCTCCGTTCTTATAATAGGTATTATGCAAAGCCTTACATGTAGCAATCCAAGTTCGTTGTTTCGCGCCATTTGAGAGGGCTTAAATCCTTTCATTAGCTTTTTACCTCGTTGCACGTCCATCCTAGCTTGCTGAATTTGGACTCATGTCCTGCTAAAAGAGCTGTTCCTGGTACCTTAAGTTGATATGGCGTGGGGCGGCTGCGTTCAACGATATGAATAAAGATTACGCTGGAAAGATCGAGATAACTGCCAGAGAAGAAGCCAGTTGTGACGGGCACATGTGACGGAGCATGGGCGGACGTCAGGTGTTATGGATTTGGTTTCCTATTTTGGGTAATGCTTACGCCGGATCGTACGGAATGCACTGGATTGTATTTTCTGATTAGGTAAAGAGCTTGCGTACTCTCAGCTAAGCGCTAGGGAATATATAGGGAGACACACGTAGCTCTGGAAGGGGCATCGATTAGTCTCTCATTAAAATCACTTCTTGGGAACAGTTACACTTGCAAGCGTCACTCTGCAGTTTACCTACCTTTACTACTTGTGCATCACCCTGCTATTACGTGCCCTCGCACCAGTGGTCATTACTGCGCATTTGCAGTTGGTCCTTTTTTTCGAACTTCTAAAACTACGGGCAAAATAATTCAATATCATATATTATTAACATATATTCTAGTAGACACACAAACTAATAAGTGAGATTTATCTGTACTTGTATTGACCTTGAGAGCACTTTGCCCATCCTCCACTTCATACAAAGCTTGCAAACCTTCTGCGCTGGTTGTTCAACTGCCGAGCTCGTCGTATCAATCTCAAGATACCCCACCTTCCGTGTTAAAGCGTTTACCACTGATGAGAGTCGTACCTTGTCGAATGCAGTTGATTTTCTGTTGGGAAGGAGGGCCCGGGCGGTTTATACAAAATGAAGACGTATTTCACTATTTTGCGCGATCGAATTATGAGTCCAACATTTTCGTGGTTATCCCTTCGTCCGGTGAGAGATTGCCACACCAGCGGCCGCCCATGAATATCCCTAATTCGGCCAGAACATAATCCGAATTAGGGATATCCATGGGCGGCCGCTGGTGTGGCAATCTCTCACCGGACGAAGGGATAAGTCTACTTCACAATCCCGAGGTTCGTTCCGAAAAGGACAACTACGTGACCTGGACTAGAATACCACTTAGAAGCACACTCGGTCCCATCTGAAGACGAAAAGCGATGTCGAAACACGTTATTTAAGTGGAGGCTTTTCCAACACTCATAAAGGTCTTCGGTGGACTGGTGATTAAGCGGTGGTGATATGGAATAACTGCCTATCATTTTGTCCGAACACGGATACTCTTCGAGTTTCCCATTTTGAAGCTTTTACTCGTATATCACCTGCAATATTCATCCTAGTTTGTGCCGTCTATCCTCGTTCTATTGCCTTCTCCCTCCGAAGCCGCAACTTTTTATCATATTCCCGGATCTCTTCATCCAGTGTGGTGACTGCCTCGTTATAAGACTGAACTCCATTCATCAACAACGCATTCCTATGATCAGCGATCTGGAAATTCTCCTCAAACGCAGTCTTAATAAATTTCTCTTGGGGCCGCAGCTTCTGATCAAAGCCTTCAGACAATATCGTGACTGAAGTGTTGATCCAATCCGGCCACGCTCTAGGTCAACTTACTCGCGTATTCATGCAGTTTCTTCGCATGCGGAGCTTACCAGGCTGTTGGGTACCCGTCGGCAATTCCTCGCTTTGCTGGGGCCGACTTGCAGGTGCGGAAATGCCTGCGAAGTATTGGTCTGCTCATTACGGGGAAAATAAAAGCTAGTATCGTCCAAAAGAAAGCTAAAATAAACTGATCTGCAGCAAGGGTGCTGGAAGGTTGGGGTAACACGGGTAAGACTAAATTCGCAAGGTTCTTCAAGACCACGTGAAGCAGGTGTCTCCTGCCTCCCCCTTTCTAGGAGCTAAGCGAGTCCCCTAATGGAAGGGTCTGAGACTCCACATCGAGTTCCTATCAAGAGTTGTGACGACGATGTTGCTAGCATTGTCACTATGAGCAAAAATAAGAACTACAAGGCAGCTTTTGTATCCATGAATGAATAGGGGTCAAGTCACCAGCAGTGAGCAGTGACACAGTGCGATTACCCCTAGATAAACTAACATCCCAATTTCGTCTTGCCCGGACCCATCTTTCACAACTTCTTGACAAGTTCATCCGGCTCAACTAGCTCCCCTATTTCCACGAACTCTGCACTGGCCCCCATAGTGTCTCGATACGAATTGCTTGAACTCACAGCCTCCTTGTTAGTACGGGATGATAGATGTGGCTCCCTTGTCTGCATATTTCACGGAACCACTCCATCGAGGTTCTTTCCATTGCGTATTTACACTTATGCAGCCCCGGAAGTCTCAGAAGTGAGAAATGTTAATACAGCTGCGGTTTGGGTACTACGTGTCTAGGCTAGGCAGCAGTTGAGTTGACTGATTCAGAAATTGAGGTCCAAATCCGAAACGCAAGGAGGATTCGTTGGAAATTACAGCACGTCATACACAGCCGAGAATGGTCGTATCGGCGCCAGTAGGATTGCATGGCGTTCAATTCTTCCGTGCTGACAACAAAACTGCGAGGGTGCCTCATGTGCGGCGTGTGCGCCTCAATTGCGCCGCATTCTCCTCGTACCCGATGTGAGTGCGTGGAGTCGGAGTATCGCAACTTCCGCTTGCGATTTCACCGACGTCTACGTAACGCTTACCGAAAAAGATGTCAACAAAACTCCGACATTCATATGTGCCAAGGTCGCACAGGCCGTACAGTCTCATTTCTTTTATTTGATTGGTGCGGTCGCACCCTCGTATTGCTGGGCCTTTCCGTCGCTCCTTACGGTAAGCATTGCTCTCATGGAACTACATTAACTGTGCTGTTCGCACTTTTCAAAGGTCGTCGCAACTGAACGCAACCCCGTCGCTTTCATCTCGATATCCATATTCCCATTTTCAAAGACGCGCCGTTTGTTTCCAGCAAGGGTCAGTATCTGCGACAGTTCTCAAAATGTCGGGCGATGTCAGCACAAACTATACCGAGAACGCCAATGGGACATTCAACCTCTTCGTCAAGGGGAGAGAGACTCTGTTCATCCCTACCAATGGTCTGACCGGCTACAACCGGTTCAACAATACTGCCTATGGAAACCTCACTCTATTAGCGGATCAAACGTTGTGCAACCTCTCAACATGCGATCTTACACTCGCTACCTTTGACTACCGAGCCAGTCTGCCAGGAAACTCACTCTACGCCGCGATCTTTGGAATCTACCTCATCATGAACCTCTACCTTGGTGTGCGGCACAAGACATGGGGATACATGATAGCAATGGTCGTTGGTCTCGTTGGCGAACTCATCGGGTACGTCGGGCGGATCCTGCTCTGGCAAAACCCCTTCGACCCCACCGGCAACGATTTCCTCATCTACATCGTGTGCCTCACCATCTCGCCCGCTCTCATCTCAGCAGCCATCTACCTCTGCCTCGCACGAATCGTCGTCGTGTTCGGCGAAGACATCTCGCGTTTCCGTCCACGAACATATACCCTCATCTTCTGCAGCTGCGACCTCTTCTCTCTCGTCCTTCAAGCTCTAGGAGGCGGCATGACCTCCAGCGCAAAAACATACTCCGCCCAGCAAACCGGAATCAACATCATGTTAGCAGGTCTCTCTGCCCAAGTCATTTCGCTCTTCATCTTCTCGGTCATGGCTCTCGAATACGCATTCCGTCTCTACCGCAACCCAATGTCATGGGACACACGACACGCCGTTCTCTATCAGAGCAAGCTCTTCCGCGCCTTCCTCTGGGGCCTTGCTCTCGCAACTCTCACCATCTTCACACGTTCCATCTTTCGTGTGGCTGAACTGTCGGGTGGCTTCCATGGCTCACTGGCGAATAATGAGGTTTCGTTTATGATCTTGGAAGGGGCGATGGTCACGATTGCTTGCTCGTGCCTCACTCTTTTGCACCCTGGTATCTCGTTCCAAGGACGTTGGCAAGCTGCTGATTTCAAGTTTCGGGTGGCAAAGGCGGCTCGGGATCTTGAGAAGACGACTCCTGCGGATTCAGACGAGAGTCAAGAGCCTGCTGTTTTCCACGAGTCTAATACCGTTAGGAAGTAAGAGGGAATGTTGTGTGTCTTATGAGTGAAGAACTGGAATGGCACAATCTGAACTGAGTAGATTGGGATATGTTTGGATATCGTTTCCTTGCGTCAACTTGCAGAGCGAACACGATGCGTTGGCCTACTTTAGAGCCTAATGTTTTTTTTTGTTGAAAGTTTTAGAACTGTCGAGATACTTCCCTGAGAGAGTAAATCGAATTTCAAATGAGTTTTGTATAGGAAACCGCATGTTCAGGCAAAGGGTAGTAAACCCAGGAAGTCAATAGATGATTTGTGATGCCATTTGGTCCAGAAATAGGTGGAGAAGGAACAGTCGAGAAGAGAGGCGGTTCCTTGCTGTAAGGCACTGAGGCTCCTAATGTTAGTTTTGAAATATTTACAGGGATAGTCTCTATCGTTGTTCTCAAAGACCTGGGACAATGGTCTCGTAAGATTTCGAGTACATAATCTGCGGCCGCCAGTGGTGTGAATACTTGAAAGTGCGGGGCCAAATGGTACATCCAAAAATAGACTCGCTGAACAAAAAGCGACGAAAAGAAACAATTCGACGGTGGAGGATATGGGGGAGGAATTCTTCAAATGCAGAGGATGTTTCGCCATTCTACATTTGAGGACTTAGACAATGAGAACGACTCATCTTGGCACTTCCCACACCGGCCACTTGAATGGTGTCTATTTTGAATGTCCGACATATCTTCGGTATCCCTTCGTCTGGTAAGACATGTCTAGCGCCAGGCAGGTACGTACCGCTTAGCTGTGATGCCTGACGCTGGACATGTCTCACCGGACGAAGGGATAATCTCTACAGCCATCATGCCAGATATCCTTCCTTTTAGCCCCTGACCAATGCTCTCGCCCTCCTTCTCTCATCTTCACTCAGGACCCACGCCATCTCCTCGTCTCCTTCTTGCTCCTCCTCGATAAGCGCATCCCATTCCTCATCTTCCATGTTTACGAGCATGCATATCTGAGCAACTCTTGCAAACGCATCTCTAACGGCATATCTTCCTCCTCGAGCAACAACCCCAATGATGCCGCTGAAGTCTCGCTCCATTCTCTGCGCACCGAGGGCATTCATCTTCCCAGAGAAAAGCCAGACTCTCTTCTCAAGCATTTTCGCAAGATGGTCTGCAGTGCGATCTAATAATCCCGTGAAGCATTTCGGTGTCATAAGACGCTGAATGGGCTTCATCAATGCTTCCCAGCTGTGCTCGAACCTCCTAGCAACAAGATCGTTAAGCGTTTCTGGATCATCATCTGTCTCGTTTTCGCGGGCGATGTCAGCGAGGTCTTCTTCGGTGAGTGTGTAGTCAAGATCACGGAATGTTTCTGAAAGCACGGGCCGGAGCCGTAGCTTGACAACTTCTTTGAACATGGCGTTTAGACCTTCTGCAATCAGTTCCAGACTCTTGTGCGAAAAGGTTACGTTCAACGTTTCGAGGGCGTGAGCCACGAAAGTGGCGTCATGATCGAAGGGGAACATTTCATGGAGAGGATTCGGTGCCTTTGAACCGTGTGCTGGCTCGGTTGGCGTGAGGCGGGATGAGACAATGCGAGCTATGTAGTCGTTCGCGACGTCGAGCGAGTTTATGAGAATGATGAATGATATTATTTTGTCTTCTGGTGGAAACCCACCCTGAATAGCTGGTTTCGGATAGCATTCGTCTCGCATTTTCCGTTGAATCATGCCTACAAAATCGGATCCAAGGACGCGGCCAATGGTAGGTATTGCATGAGCAACAACCTCCCGTTGCGAAGTAGAGAGAGAACGTTGAAGAACGGTGTTCACGATGTACATAACGTCGTCGACAGCGGAGACGATGTAAGGAGGATTGCCTTCAAGGGGTCTCGACGGATTCAGAGATAGGCCACTAGGAGCTTCATCCAGTTGGAATGCTTTCTCTACGGATCTTCGGAAGAAGAAAGTAGTCATGACATTGAACGGTGTTGTTAGTCGCCCTGAGATTTTTCGACTGAGAGCTGACTTGACAAGTAAATCTGGCATCTCTAGAGGCTCCTCAGGCTTTTCGGCATCCTGGGAGAGCTTAGAAATGGCCTGTAACAAAACGGCTTGTGGCGGACTCACTCTGCACTTTCCACCCAGAAATCGAGAGTACAGTGCCCAGCGCCCCAGCATGACAGCCGTCTCGCTCAGAAGCCCATCGATTTCCTTCATATCAACTCCCTCGTCCTCGCTGACTCTTCCATTCGTGCCACCGCCAACTGCCGGCGAGCTTGTCCGTGAGATGCCCAAGTTCCTCTGTGGCGCCATGAAGCTCTGAACCAAAAACGAGAACGGGTAGCTTTTGACATCCGTCAACCTCCTGTCCACACTTCGTTCGTCACCCCACATGTCGAGTATTATTCCGCCCTGGACGTCTGCCTCCACCTGTAGTCTCTCAATGACCTTCACCATCTTGCCTTGTCCGTAGTGTCTCTCCACTAGTCCGCCATGCCCCTCAACGATCTGCGCAATATGTTCGAATAATCTCGTCAGGGCGTTCGCATAGAAGAACCCGTCTTTCCCTGCACTTCCCTTCGTGCCCTCCCTTAAGCTCCCTCTAGCACGAGCCGCAACCCCCTGACAGACATATCGCCCATACACCTCCAGGCCAGTCTCCTCCCTCCCAATAAGTGGGAACAATTTGAAGAACCTGGTGACCTTGCTTCCGTCGCCCTCTTCTGCAGCTTTCTCGAACTCGCGCAGAAACAGCACGCATAGGGATTCCTTCGCATTCTCGATTGTGACTCCCGGCGCATCTGGGACTTCGACACTGGGCACTATTCGGGCTGCGAATTGACCTTCGATAACGTGCTTCGGAATCTTGTTCGCCCTTGCAATGTACCCAGCAGCTGCCTCCCAGTCCTGCGGAGCCCCCATTGACCCCACAACTCCTTGTACGCATGCCTTCAGCTCGGCGACCTGCTCCACAACCCCTAGTGTTTTCTCGACCCTCTTCTTCTCCAGATCCAGCTCCTTTACCTTGCTGGACAGATGTGAAGCCGTCCCGGCCGCTGAGTCGAGCATTCCATTGCTGATGTCCCTCGTATGCACGACTTGGGTCCCGAGATGTGCCCGCAGAAGGTCCAATCTACCAAGTTCTCTGGACAATTCAGCTTGTGAAGAGATAAAAGCCTGGAGGCGACTCGTAATGGAGGCATCTCGGGTATGCAATGCGGCGAGCGATGCTCTGATGGCATTCAACGAGGACGACTGGGACATCGACGGAACGAGAGCAGGGGGCTCCTCCACGGTTGAACTGCCATTTCCATTATTCAGCCCGGTGGGAGACATTGAAGAGGGTTCGGCATTGGTGCTGTGGTTGTCGATGTTCCTTAGGGAAAGAGGAACGAACAATGTGGCATTATTTTGGGCGGTGGGGCTAAGCGAAGCTTCAAAATCCTTTTCCAACCCTCCTCCAACATTCCACGAGCCTCTGAAAATCAACATGGATATCAATGGACCTGATCTTTCCAAACATTCTCCAAGATGTATGCGATATTGTTCCAAGTGGATCTGGGACTTTCTGGGGCAAAATTCCCCGCCAGGCTCGTGTCTTTCACGAGACACAAACACCAATCACGTCGATGATCAACCGTCCTTTGGTCACGATGGCAAGTTTGCTAGATAGTGAGGATGAGGAAAGTTGGCACTGGCCTCGAGGTCAAATATCGAAAGCTTGCACGAGCTGGGAAAACACAGGTCAGGTAGAACGTAGCATTTACGGGCTTATCAGGGTTTGCATTGCTTCCTCAGCTATCTCACTATTCTCCCATCTCCCTTAGGAACGCAATGCTCAACTAGAAGAAGGATATCGTAAACGCCTCAATGATCCATGCCGCAGTCCAATCAAATATCCACCAAAAGAAGAAAGCCGTCAGCCAGCGTCTGCTCCTCAACGCCATCACGCCATCTCTCGCCGTTTTCCATATCCCAACAGGCATTGATTAATGTAAATCCAGACTATACTTGTACAAGAATTCTATCCAAGGCAAGCCAAAGAAGCAAAGTGAATTATGCAGCTACAGCAACGGCAGTCGATGCCTCGAGACCGTTGCTAGGACCAGCTTCCTCTTCTGCGATCTCACCACCAGCTTCCCGCTCGGCCCAGTCACCCCACAGGCCTCTCTTGCCACGGACACGGATGGGACCACCAAGTAAGGCCTCTTGTTGTTCGACTTTGACAGCGTCTTTTGTTGCGAGGACGAGAACTTCGAAGAACATCTTTGTTGCGTCGGCGCGGCTGGTTGTGGCTTCGGGGAGGAGGTCTTGGAAGAGAACGCTGGCTTTCTTGCGCTTGTCGGGGCTGCTTGCTGCTTCGGCGCCGAAACGGTCACGGAGGAGGTGGACTGCGTGCTTGGTGCCGAGGGAGACAGGGCCGCTGTCGGCAGGGTGTACGAGAGGTGCGGTGGTTTCGTCGAAGTTGGGGCCGGGGGATGGTGCATCGTCGTCCATGTTCATCATGAATTCACCATCACCAGCCATCTCGATGATTGTTCCGTCCGGGCCAATGGTGTTGCTTGGGTTGTCCAAACCAGCACCGCTAAGTTCTGCACCAAGATCTTCTTCCTCGCCGAGATCAAGGCGTGGGGATTTTGAAGGACCTTGCTCATCACCACTATCCATATCTGCAATACCACTATCGCGCTTTCGCTTGAGCTCACCAGTCTTTCGGACGGCGTCTAATGAGAGCATTCCTCGGAGTTCTGGTGCCCATCCCATACTTCGGCCTTCACCCATTATATTCGAGACAAATCCGCCATTCCTTTGCATTTCGATAAGAGCTAAGAGTTCAGGGTCTCGGGGAAGGAAGGATTGAGGTCGGAGAATCTTATCATGGCTCTCTTGCTGCTCCTTGATTTGTGCGTTGGAAAGGGTGGTAACGGAATCTGGCTGAAGAAGTCTCAGACGTCGAGCTCGCTGTGCGGGGTTGCGGAAAACAGATTGCTCGGTCTCGTCCTCTGGTTCATACAAGGCGGAGTTGAGGTTACGTTGGTGTTCGGCCTCAACTTCTGCAGCAAGGTTCTCATCGATATCGGACAGGGGTGACTCGGAAATTCTGCCGGGGCGGATAATAGGAGCTGGTGGAAGTGCAGTAACATCGTCTCCGAAGTTGAACATGTCAATATCTCCATCATCGTCTCCCATCCGAATGTTATCATCTCCTTCAAAGCCAAGGTTGAGGGAAGTGTCTCGTTCTCCGTGGTCGACGTTATCCTTCGCTGGTACTTGAACATCCAATTCGCTGAACACATCCTCCTCAACAGCACGGGCAGTCGGCGCGTCTCGGCCAACTTCGAGGCTGCGATCAGCCTTTGGGTTGAAGTCATCGAGATCAAGTCCAAAGTCAAGTCCCAAGTCCAGGTCATCCATCGGCTCAAGGGCGAGGTCATCGTTTTGGTTTTCGATACTGTTTTGTAGAAATTGGCTTCCATTGAAATCCTCCTGCAAGTTGATATCACGACTGCCGGCTCGGTGCTTGCGTAGGTGTGAGTCGTCATCCATTTGCGATAAAAGGAACGACGCGTCGGGCATAGGGGGCATCTCGAGGTTATCGCCTTCAGTGAGCACGTCGGGGAGCATGAGAGCATCGCGAGATGGCATATGGAGGCCAGCTGGAATATCGTTGTTGCCGGAGAGTCGGAATGCCTGCAGAGATATTAAATAATGCAAGAGAACTGATTATAGAACGGCGTACCATCTTAATCTTCATAAGCGCCTCATTGCAGTCATCCAGTAAATAACGCGCTTTTCGACTATAGATTCGGGCTACACCAAGCAAGAGCTGGCCGCTCAGTCGAAGAGCCATAGGTGCCTGATTTGGTGCAACAATGGCCTCGACGCTGTCCTTGACGCTGGCTTGTAGAATGTGGTTCTTCGACAGCTTCCGCTCCAAGTTGGCCGAGAGCCATACTCGCGCCAGCGGGCCCGTCTTCGACAGGAGAGTTTCTGAGTAGAACATGATGATGAGGGTATCTCAGGAGCAATAGCAAAGGTGTTGCGCCAAGCGGCGACGTACTCGGTTGGTGACGAGCAAGTGTTGATGATGGTGTAATGCAAACGCGCATGCGATGTGTTGTTGATATGGGAGGGCGCGTCGAAAATCGAAGCCGGGCGCGGAACTTGGAGTCGCGTCGTCGTTGTTCGAGGTTCACTAGAACAATGTGGTCGCGAATGTTCCAAGACTGTAGGGACAATGAAAGCGAAGGGTGAATGAGGGTTGTGGGTGGTAGTGGGACGAATCTTGGTGGTGGGGAGGAGATTCTGTGTTGATTTGGGATGGCTGGGCTTTGGGCTAGCCGAATCTGGATTAGTGCACAAACACGTGACTCTTCAATCGTCCAGCAATGGATGACCTCGAGCAAACGGGCCAGTGGAGCCAGGTAGATGGTGATATGCATGCATACCCGCCGTTTCGAATAAAGTTATAAATAAGTCTACTTGAACATTTTCTTGGATTTCAACCCATAGTCAAGAATGTTCCAAAATCCCCAGAACTTCGAAATCTTAACCCCCGCAAAAGGCCAGACCACTCTCAGGGACATCCTGCACCAGCAGGGGTGACGAACGCCTTCGCCGCAGACCCAGTGCTGAAACCCACTGCTGTGGATGAAGTCGCGGACACGTAAGGCTAATTGGGGTCCAGCTTATTTGACGACGACTGCAAAGGATTTCGCCTTCGTTCTACGTTGCATTGTACAAAGGAATCGCATACAATCAAAGACTTCCAGACGACCATTGTCCCACTCCGACTCTGTACATTGAACATTCACCTCCACTTCATGCCTCAGCGGTAGGCCCAGCTCAACGACAGCATATCTGCTGCTCGTTATACATACCAGAGAGACGCTCGATGGCTTGGCCACGCCTCTCACGGTCTGCCAGTCCAGGGCCGGGACAGACCTTACTACCGTTGGCAAATCTGCCAACCATCAATGCCGCCAATTCAGAACCACCCTCGCGGCCTCGATCTAGGAACAGGTCTAGCTCCCGCAGCAGACAACATTCGCGGTCATCTTCGTCCGTCGCAAAGGTACGTCTCTTGCGCATTGTACCAGATCAGAGCTGACATCCAGGCAGTCAATAGCAGACGAGTTCTCAAACCTCACTCCAACCGAAACCGCTGAGCGACTTCAAACCTCGCTGAGCACCGGCCTCTCACCCGCCGAAGCCCTCTCTCGATTACACGACCAAGGCCCCAATGAACTTCCCCACGAAGAGCCCGAACCATTATGGCTACGATTCTTAAAACAGTTTAAAGAGCCCCTCATCGTCCTTCTGCTATGTTCCGCAGGCGCATCGGTATTGGTTGGGAATAAAGATGATGCGATCAGCATTGCGGTAGCGGTTACAATCGTCGTTTCGGTAGGATTTATACAGGAATACAGGTCAGAAAAATCTATAGAGGCCCTGAGCCACTTGGTTCCAAACCATGCACATCTCATTCGAGGGGAGGTGTCGAGGACATCCAGCCAACGAACACCAACATGGCCACCAACCACCGGAGTTCCCCAAGAGAGTGAAGCATTAATGGATTCGTCATCTTCGGATGACTCTGAAGCAAAGGTCGAGGCGATATCGAGTAAGGTTATGGCAGCACAATTGGTTCCGGGGGATTTGGTCATATTTACGACCGGAGATCGAATACCTGCAGATATTCGGGTTACAAAAGCCTCCGATTTAACGATCGATGAATCCAATTTGACGGGAGAAAACGAGCCTGTGAGGATCACAGCAGAAGCAAAAGGCAGAAACACAAATGCATATTTGCAGAGAGGCGCATCGAGTTTAGAGCCGCCTGGGTCACCTGTGTACGCATCGGCAGGCAGTGGTACTGTTGGAGCGGACACACAATTAAACAGCACGACAAATATCGCATTCATGGGTACCCTGGTTAGGTCTGGGCATGGGCAAGGAATTGTGTATGCCACTGGAGGGAACACTCATTTTGGCACCATTGCGGCCAGTGTCACAGAGACGGAAAGTCCAAGAACTCCTCTCCAACTTTCGATGGACTCTCTTGGATCACAACTAAGCCAGGCTTCATTTGCGATTATTGGAGTGATATCCTTGGTTGGATGGTTTCAAGGAAAGGGTCTTTTGGAGATCTTTACCATTTCGATATCTTTGGCCGTTGCAGCTATTCCGGAAGGTCTTCCTATTATTGTGACGGTCACCCTGGCATTGGGTGTGCATAGAATGGCTCGCCACAATGCCATTGTGCGAAAAATGCCAAGTGTGGAGACTTTAGGATCTGTCAATGTGGTATGTAGTGATAAAACAGGTATGTTAGCTTTCATCTGGTCGGTAGCACATCTGACAATCAGCAGGAACACTTACAATGAACCACATGTCTACAACCAAAATGTGGTACTTTGAAGCTGAAGCGCCTATCCACGTGGATACAATTGATGAGGCAACAGAAGGAAAACCTAATCCCGTGACGTTACGGATTCTCCGCATTGGCAATGTCGCGAACAATGGACGCCTCACCCGCAATCAAGCCCAGCCACAGTCAGCGTCATCCGTGGCTATTTTGTCATCGACCCAGGGACGCTCTGGAACATTCAGAAGTAGATGGGTTGGACAACCCACAGACGTGGCTATGCTTGACCTGCTTGACAGGTTTAAGGAACATGATGTTCGAGATGGCTTCGGTCATCGCTTGGGAGAAACCCCCTTTAGCTCAGAGAGAAAATGGATGGGTGTCACTGTTGGCGATACAAATCCCGATGGGATCTCTAGCTCAAAGGAAGTAGCATACATCAAAGGAGCTGTGGATCGCGTATTACAAAGGTGCGATACTTATCTAACGAAAGATGGGCGAGAGGTTGTTCTGGATACTGCTCGAAGACAAGAGGCTTTGGATGCAGCCGAAAAATTAGCTGAGGAAGGTCTCCGAGTTCTTGGTTTCGCCAGTGGTCCTGTCCCAAAACACTCTAAGTCAATAACGCAAAGTCGAAGTTCAACACCAGTGACGAAAACGGCGGAGCCATTGATTTCACACAACGAAGATGTTTATAAAGGTCTCACGTTCGCTGGACTTGTGGGAATGAGCGACCCGCCAAGAAAAGGGGTTCAGAAATCCATCCGACGATTAATGCGAGGAGGCGTCAAGATCATTATGATCACCGGTGATGCTGAAACCACGGCATTGGCTATCGGAAAGAAGCTTGGAATGGCCATCGCGACTCCTCGAGAACACACAGCAAGTTCAGTGGCCGTAAAGCCAGTCCTACGAGGTGATGAGATCGATGTAATGTCTGATGAAGAGCTCGAAGCAGCAATTGCCAACACATCAATCTTCGCCAGGACAAGCCCAGACCACAAGATGAGAATCATTCGAGCCTTACAAGCCCGAGGTGATATCGTTGCCATGACTGGAGATGGTGTGAACGATGCACCCGCGCTGAAGAAAGCAGACATTGGCATTTCAATGGGTCTCCAAGGAACCGACGTCGCCAAAGAAGCTGCAGACATGATTCTGACGGATGACGATTTCTCCACGATTCTCCACGCCATCGAAGAAGGCAAAGGCATCTTCAACAACATCCAAAACTTCCTTACTTTCCAACTGAGCACCAGCGCCGCTGCACTCAGCTTGGTTTTCTTCTGCACGTGTCTAGGGTTCAAGAACCCTTTGAACGCGATGCAGATCTTGTGGATCAGTGAGCATTTCCCCTCCCCCCCCCTTCCATCGCCTTTCTAATGGAAAACAGACATCATAATGGACGGCCCTCCTGCCCAATCCCTCGGCGTCGAACCCGTCGACCCAGACGTCATGACGCGCCCCCCACGAAAACGCAACGCCCCCGTCCTAACCTGGCCCCTCATCACCCGCGTGCTCACCTCAGCATCCATAATCATGCTCGGTACGATGGCCGTGTACACGCACGAAATGCTCACCGACGGCGAAATCACAAAACGAGACACAACCATGACCTTCACCTGCTTCGTGCTCTTCGACATGTTCAACGCCCTCAATTGCCGCTCGGAATCAAAGTCCGTGTTACGGGGAGAGGTGGGGCTGTTCAGTAACACGCTGTTTAATTGGGCGGTCAGTTTAAGTTTGGCCGGCCAAGTCATGGTTATTTATTTCCCATGGCTGCAGGATGTGTTTCAGACTGAGGCGTTGGGGATTTGGGATCTTTTGGGACTGGTGGTGTTGACTAGTTCTGTGTTCTGGGTGGATGAGGGAAGGAAGTGGTGGAAGTCCAAGGGCAGGAGGAGGTTGGGGAGTGGGTATAGCCAGGTTGTTTAGTTGGGTGGGTGCGGATGACTGGGTGACGGAGATGTGCATTTTCGGCGTAAGGACAGAGGAAATAAGTGTTGATAAACAGAAAATAAAAGATACGGTTAGGTGGAGGCATTGTATACATAGTTTGAATTAAGCGCGCATAGATTCCCAGCCCCGCCTTTACCACCATTGCCTTCTCAATCTCCGAAAGTTCGCTGGTTCGTTGATTTATCTCTTTCCATCTTTTCCAAGTTCTTGTTATGTTATTTATTGCGTTATATAAGGTCTTGATATCTGGACTGTTTTATCTATCAATCCGGCTCTCTTCATGCTTCCCAGACAACTCCTTCCTCGTCATCCCCAATCTTCTCTCGATGTCCATAATTGCCTAGTCCATTCCTCTCGCATCTCCTCTCTCTCCCAGCCACGGTTTGAACGTCCCGTCCCTCCTCTCCCGTAGTGCCAAGTAAGTACCCTCAATCTTTGCAGCGTACTCATATGACGTAAGCCCTTAGGGGATCCATCTAAAAGAGAGGGGAGGGGCATTCCTTCAATCAGCAGCAATTTTCTTCCCCAATTTCTCTGTTCCATGCACCCAATCCAAAAACCCCAAGCTCCCAAAGTTAACCAGAAACTTCTCATGGTGCAAGTCATGCTTCTTCGCCGATCCGGCTAGAAAATCATACCCGCTATGCACAGTCGTCGTTTCCAACAGTTCAAAGGCCAGGAACGCCCAGTTGGTGAGGATGTGGCTTCTCAGGATTTGCGGGGGCAGGGCGATGGGGATGACGTTGGCAAACAAGTGGTCGATTGGGTGTGCGTATTGGGCTGCTAGAGCGACGGGTGCTGTGAAGCGGTGATGCTGTTTGTGGATCCGGGCGTACAGAGGACGTGTGTGTAGGAGACGGTGGGTGTAGTAGAAGAGGACTTCGCGTATGAGAAGACTGAGGAGGATGTCACGGACGAACGAGGGTAATGAGGGTAGTGTGGCGTCAACACGGAGGGAACTTTGGCTATTTAGAGTGGTGCTGAGGTAGAGTAAAAGGAGATGCAGGAGTATTGACATGAGTTGGTTCCGGAGTACGATGAGGGCGCAATGTCGAATTTCAGCAGTTGTGGGCTGTTTGGGGGTAGGTTGGATCTTGTGTCTTTGGGAGAATGAGGGGGCAATGTAGTCGAGTGTGAGGTATACTGTAGCAGGAAGCCAGAAGAAGCATATTTGGATGAGGAGAGTACCGACGAATTCGAGGACTGAGGCGGAATAGTGCACAATTAGGTATTGCCAGATATTGGACAGAGTAGCCATGATGAATGAGGTCAAAACGAATTGAACTCGAGAAGGCCCGAAAATAGGAACCATCTTCAAGTATTTGTCACAGCAGTCATGTGTCTTGCACTCGTTGCCGAGGTTGCTCCTGAGGAATGAGGGGCTATGTAGCACGGCACGAAGCGACACGGGTCCTTAAAGCAAGCCGTCGAACAAACATGATTAACATCCAAAACCATCACGAATATAGACAGAAGAATTTCTATCACTCGAGGAGAGGGCAGGTAGTCATGGACATGCAATTGTTTTTCAAGGGTTCGTACCATGAGCGGAAGCCCAATCGCACCCCCTTTTGAGGCTTTTCGCCTCCATACCCCTCTTTAAGCGACTTTTACCAGGCCAGAATAGGTCCCGAGATATTAAACCCTATTTGATCTTCTCCAATTATCAACAAAGTTAATTCACGACATCCTCGTAGACATGTAGGGCCACTCCATCTCTCCACACTCCACACATGGGCAAGCAAAGGTTCTCCTCCTTTGCCAAAAACTCCCTGACATCACCCTTAATAGGCACCAAATCAGCGTTTCTTCCCACTTCAATTCTACCCTTATCATCGAAGCCAAAGCGATCCGCAATTAATGAAGTAGCGCCTATCAACACATCAATGACAATCCCAGCCTTGTGAATCATAGCAAGAATCTCCATATACACACCCAACCCAAACTGTGAGCCTCTAACCTGTCCAGAGGAATCAGATCCCACCATCATTGAAATCCCCGCTGTACACATATCCCTCGCAGACCGACACGCATTCCCGACTCTACTCTCATCGTTCCCTAGGCCCAACGGCTGTCTGGGGGTCGAATCAAACAACATTCTCTTTGCCAGGAGATCGTTGTGGAACTTGACTTGCATCTCATCACCCTCTCGTGTTTGAGATGCGCACACCGTGAGCGTGGGTCCGTGGGACGCATTATTTCGTTTAGCAGGCACGATGTGTTGATCTGAAGCCGGTTTGTAGATGAAGGAATGAGTGGGGCCGTCGAGCTCACAAGAAAGCAGATCAACTGCGCCTTGGAAACTGACGGCGTGTCGGACGGCAGGAAGGCCTTGCACATGTGTTGCTTTTACCACGGCTTTCTGGAGATCCAGAGGGGGGGAAGGAGCTTGCCAGTGATGGAATCCCTGAGCTCGTGCATGAGCTCTATGTGTGATGTCTAAGACACCACAACGAAGGCTTTTATGTTAACCCATATTGCAGCTTGAGGGGGTCGTCCTATCGGCCTTCTTCTTGAACCAAGATCCGTTTGTGGAAAACCACGGGCCAAACGGAGTTTCATTGGACTCTAGTGCTCAATTTTCTGGCCAGTCAAAGTTCACCATAGTGAAGATAGTGAAGAGTAGGGTGTTGAAGCGGGGCTCGCGCATCGGGATGGTTCAAAAGCCGAGAGTGCAGATTCCTATACTAGTCGGTGCGTTAGTGATTACATCCCGGCATCAGAGGAGAATTCCAGACAACGAATTAAATACTTGGTAGCTGTTGCAACGAAAAGCACATGAAATACTAGGATAGACAAATGCTGTGAGGGAGCAGTCGAGGGAACCGGTGGTTCGTCTTTTGATTTGGCAGACCAGGATATCACCTGTGAAGCCCCTCTGCTAGAGATGTTGGTACTGTACTTCGCAGATATGCAGAGATGCCACGTGACTTTCCAGATTTCGAAACGGAGCTACGTCTTGGAATTAAAATCTATGATAACGGGATTTACTGGAAATCACCTAGTTATATCTCAAACAGGGTTTTACGGATAGAATTGCAAATGCATGTGTTGACTCCATTCAAACATGCTAACCTTCAAAGTGAATAACGTAAGAAGCAAACACCAAAGTAAGTATTTGATATTCTTAATGGTGCTTATCATTGCAAGGACATGTATAAACTTTTAAGTCTGGAAGGTCTAATCGCACTTCTCTGAAAAGTTCACGATGCCCCTTTTTAGCCGAAATTAAGCGAATCTGGATTGGCAGAAATGTCGCAGTGGAAGAACTCATTCTTGACTTGTCTAATAATGAAAGGGACAGAGAGTTACGGAAAGGTTCAAACTGATTCCAGAAATAATGCTTGATGGGGTATACGATCCCCACTTCCCCGAGTATTTTTCCTTCTGCAATCGTCAAACGCAATGCAGTTCCTGTCGTGCAACAAGGCAGACGCCAAGTGTTCTGAAACAATTCAAACAACTCCGAGAGAGACTCTATCCGTTTTGAGCACGACTCGAACTACTACGAGAGCGGCGATCAAGGTGTTGAAATTGCAGGATACGACATTATCTTCCAAATCAACGATGCTACCTTCCTGGTGGCCAACGATTACGACGACGCAAACTCCTACGGAGGATCAGTCACTTTCAAATCTTTCTCTCAAAACTAGAGCTTATCTTCTACTGCTGCGAAGACCCCGGCGCCAACTTTCTGGGCTTACCTCGTGTACGGTGATCTGAAGGCTACCTATGGTGAATCTTAAGAGACAATTCTGTTTTCACTCTCGGCGGCCAACATTTCTAATAGAGTCTGGCATTGCGAGTATCTTCTAAGACAACACGGGCCATGTTTTGAGAGAAGTTGTCGCGAGTTCCCAGCATTCTCTCCCATGTCTATTTACTTTTCATCATTTCCGCCATAGCCTGCTTAACTAAAAACGCTAACTCCTCAGATCCAGATCGAAGTATCCGCCAGCGGCATAATGTTCACCGGATTTCGAGTTCCGGAGAGCGAACCCGGCCATGTACTTCGCGAAATGCAAGAAGCTCGATATCAAGTCAGTGCAGAAACAAGCATTCGCATTTAGAACAGTCGAAAGTTAGAGAATTGATGTGCATTGCTTCATAACCATTGCTACTAATCTATCATTACTCATTCCCGTCCCCATTGCACCAGAAAACTATATACTAACGCCAGCCAAGGAAATGTTATCCCAATCCAGCGTCGAACATTCTCTAAGCAACACCAGTAACCCGTCTAATAGCTCTCCTCGCACCCTCACCAACAACCATAATGGCTCCCTCTTGCTCGAGAATACGCACTACTTCCGCGAACTCGTTGCCCTCAACTGGCATACTACTCTGCTCACCCAATTTCTTCACGACCTCGCTGTATCTAGCAGCTTGGCCCTGTCTCGTCATCTCATCAAGCAATGCCAACACCGCGTTCTTCAGGTCCTGCTTTCGTCTTCGCTCACTAGCGCTCGTACCCTCAGTGAGCAGACTCATATCAATGAGACCGGTTCGGGAGTCCGTGGCTGCTTGCTTGAGAGCAGACTTAATGAGTCTGACAGCTTCCTGGACATCGTCCCTGGTCACAATCTCAGAAAGGCGCATTTTGGCGTGAGCCTCAGCGAGACGGATCATGGATTCCAGTTGACGGGTTGTTGCCGTGATTCGGCGTTCAGCAGCGCGGATATCTTCACCCAGCTTGCGCATTTCGACATAGGAGCTGACAAGTTCTTGAGATGCTTCGGGGCTGATGCGTGGTTGACATTTGGTGCGAGCATAGGAGATATAGGAAGTCAAGAACTCAATTGGCTGGTGATTGTTAGTTATGGCTTTGAATTGCGGGGGAAACGTCTTACCAAGATTTCCTGTCCGCCGGCAGCGCTTTGAGGCTTATCGTCCAGGTACATGCTCAACAAATGGCGTGCCAATCGTCGATCATTGGTCTCATCAACACGGTCCAAGATCAGGTAGACCAAATCGAAACGAGAGAGCAAGGTAGGCGGGAGGTCGATGTTTTGAGGGACAGGAAGATTGGGATTGTACTTGCTGCCAATTGGATTGGCGGATGCAAGAATACTGGTGCGAGCATTCAAAGTTGTGATGATGCCAGCCTTAGCGATAGAGACAGTTTGCTGTTCCATGACTTCGTGCAAGACAGATCTAGTGGCATCTGACATCTTGTCGAACTCATCAATGCAGCAGACACCTCCATCTGAGAGAACAAGTGCACCAGACTCGAGGACCAATTGGCGAGTCTCGGGATCTCTGGTGACGTACGCAGTCAACCCGACAGCTGAAGAACCCTTTCCGCTTGTATATACACCACGAGGCGCAATTTTGTGGACGTATTGTAGAATTTGCGACTTCGATGTGGACGGATCACCGCAAAGCAAGATGTTGATATCTCCTCTATACTTCGGGCTGCCTCCTTTCTCGAAGGACTTGTTTGTTCCACCAAACAATTGAAGAAGAATGCCTTTCTTGACATCGTCCATTTCGAAGATGCTGGGGGCAAGTGATCGAGAAAGAAGATCATAAATGTCTGGTCTTGCAGCTGTGGCCTTGATTTTCTCCTCCTCCTCCTCAGAGATCTTTCGAGTCTCTTCAATGTTGCCAGCAAGTTGATCAGACAAGTCTTCCTCAATGGTTGAGACATCGATTCCCATGCGTTTCTTGTCGACCTTCTGAATATGCAGAACATCAATGTAGGTCTTGAAGATGCTCTTTTGAGTGCGTTGTCGTGGGTTGACTCGAACGCCGGCAGCCTTGAAGATACCAGTAATCTCAACACGATCACCGGCTTTGCACAAGTCTACGAGTTCATCATATGCGCACATTGAAACCGAGTGCGGGGTTTGACCAGCCGGGACTGAGTCTGGTGTTTCTTGCAGCTTGATGACTTGCTTGTCCATGAAGCCAGACCGGTTGTGCACGATTTGCATGGAATTGGGAGAATCACAGATGGGCCGAGGACATTTGGTAGGCTCCGAGATCCTGCCACGATCAAGGTCGACCTTGACTGTATGGTTGCAGACCTGGCATTTAAAGAATGCATCTTTCATATCGGGGATGATGGGTGTGGTTCGGATAACAAGTCCTTTGATTGCAACAATCCTGTCGACGTCTACATTGAATCAGTATGGCTCGTGCATCCAGGGACGGGAACCTACCAGAAGGATTGAGATCTCGCATGTTTACGGTAGAATCCAGGCCAAAGGGTCGAACTCGGTAAGATCTCTTTTGAACTTCTTGGCACCAATCGATCTCGTTCGGATCCAGCGGCTCTGCTCGGGGAGTTGCTTCTGGCTCATCGCGGTCAGAGCTGGGAACTGGAGGCTCGGAGCTCATGACTCGGTTGCGTTGTGAAGACTGGCCCACAGAGCTTTGGGATTGTCTCTGCTTCGCCATTTCTGCTTCTGCAATCTCGTACATAACGTCTTTGATACTCTGATCCATGAGAGTGACGATGTCTTGGGGATAGTCTTGTGCCTGTTGCCAGAGTTTCTTGGTAGGAGGGTATGCTTTCATGTTGCGGAAATCCAAATTAAGACTGGTGACACCTAGAGTCAACATGTTTTGCATGGTTTGAGCATACTCTTTGGTGGTGGAATCTTCTTCGGCATCGGTCTCCTCCTCAGACATGCCATCAGCCCACATGCGGTATTTCTTGGTATAATTGCGCAAAAAGTCCTTGAAAGTGGCAAGCGTATCGTTGATGGAGACATTGGTGCCCCAAATACAAAGTGTAGAGCTTCCTCCCATCGCCTGTGCGTCGGATGTGGTCGGATCAAGGTTGGAGAAGGTAGGAGCCTCTGAAGCAACCTCGCGAACAACTCGGCCATTCTCATCCATGAAAATGCGGCGTCGAGAGTGAGGTGTGTTGATACCGTCCGAATTGATATCACCTCGTCTTGAGATATTGAGCGATGAGCCTGGGCCGGCGGCGGAGCGCGAGGAGCGGACGAAGAGGCCACTGCTGTCGCTGTGAAGATTGTTGGTCTGTTGGCGAGGTGCAGGGCTTGAGCTCGACGCATATCGGATGGGAGACGATTCTGATGGCAGTCAGCATCCATATCTGAGGAGATCTCATGTGTACACACCACCGATGAGGCCACTCGCGCTAGCTCTTGGAGTGCGGTCACCATCCCCTGTTGTCTGGGTATTGGTCATCTGTCGAAGAGGGGAGGAGACATCTCGCTCGCGGTTTGCTCGTGCAATATCAGCTGGAGATGAGCGATAGTTCATCGGCGAGGAAGATGGAACACCGCGTCGGGGAGTCTTGCCTCCTGCAGAGGATGATGCTTCATTCTGGAGTTGAGCGGCTGCGGGATCAGGGGGGCTTGAAGGAAGGGCAGAAGAGTTCCTCTGCGATGTACGCTTTGGAGTCCCAGATTGGGAGCTGCGCTGGCGACGGTGTGATGGGGACGACATTGCGTTTAATTGTTCTTGAAAGGTTGAGAACAATGTCGATTGATGTCCTTGAAGGAGGTGGGACGTTCAAGTGGGAGGAGATTTTGGTTTTGCGTCGCGTGTCGCGTCGAAAGCGCGTAGAGTGTCTGCATTAGCGTCGACTAGCGCGTTTTTCTCAGGAAAGGGGCTGCGAACAACCAATCGCTCCACAATGTCCAAGAATACCTTGAACAGATGTCCCCAAGTGAAGGACCGAGGCAGTCATGAGTTCGCATGTTCACATATCAATGCTTATACTTCTAAATGTTCACAATGTTCTTGAACAACTGGGAGACCTACGAGGTAAATTTTCCTTCGCTCGCCGGCTCTGCCCAAAGGTGGTCTCCTGCCGCGATGTTCCATGATTTTTGGTACAGCTTTATATATTCTGAGCTGCTCATTCGCTTCAGTTCAGTTCAGACTTAAATAGCATATCCTTGGTCCAAGGAACGGCACAATGCCATGTCACAAGAAGCCGATCACGTGATCAAAATCTCATAAGGTCCTTACCAATTGCCTCTTGTCAAATTCCTACCAAACTCCGGCTTGCAGTGTTCCATCAAGACCACATACATTCGCTCGACTCGATATAACTACTCCGCACACCATACAGCGTACTAAGCCCATCACTCCAAACATCACTCTCTAAGACCCCCTTCCCCTTGTCACCCCCCTCATGCCTCGTCATCACCACCTGCCACGAAAAGCTCGAATGCCCGACACCAGCGAAATCTTGCGCCTTCAACAGCACCAAATAATCCACCAAAGCCCTCTGATCCCACCTTAATCTCTCCAACGCATCCATATCCTTGTCCTTCAGCAAGTCCTCCTTATGCGTAATAGCCATCTTGGAAGCCGTAGCTTGGAGTCCGAATTTGTGGATTTCAGGGAGGTTGCCGGAAGCGACGTATATCAGTGGGATTTTGGCGGAAATTGCTTGCTCGATATAAGCTGCCGTTTGGCTGGGGAAGTGGGCGTATGCTACGCCTGAGTTGTGGCGCTCCTCGAGGAAGGGATTGTCGGTTTGCAGATGGGCGCCCATAAATGAAGGCTTCATGATTGGCTCCGAGACGTTCAACGGTATATCGTACCATTCTGATAACTTATTAAGCGTTGTAGTTGCCAGGCGTCGAACATCTGGTCGGAATTTGAGGATATTGCCAAAGGTGTGCGCGAATTTGTGGCCATCTGAATGTGCCGGATAATGCAGAAACGACTGCTCGAGATCAATAATAATCGGCTCTTTCTCCGGATACGAAGGCATATATTCCTCGATCCAGGCCTCCAATTTAATTGGCCACTCCTCTGGATGCTCCAGCCCGCTTGTGGGAATATTGGTAAACAAGTGCTCGGGCAGAAGACCTCGCCGGCGCGAACTGTCTGTCTGTTCCATATGTCTGATGAGCAACAAATCCGGACAAGACACCCTCAATGAGTCTGTAAAATGGTTCACATCAAACATATACTCCATCCCATTTCTCCCCGGCCCATGCCTCTTCTCCGCATGTCCATGATCATGCCCCAGATCGTCCTCATCCCTCAATGCAATATTTGGCAGCACCAAAGCACCTCCCGCACCAATTGCATACCTCACACAATTCAAGATCGAATTCCGAACATGGCCGATACCGCCGTGGTTATTGTCACACGTGAACACCAGGCTTTGGTTCCATTTCGTAGACGAGCAGACCGCTCGCATTTCCTCGGAATCCACGGGAGGAAAGTCGAAGGCGTCAATGGAGGGGCTAATGAGGCCGGCCTTGGAATTGGACGGACCGTACCAGATTCTCCGCGCGGGGATGCTTTCCCTGTCAAAGGCTAGCCAGAGCCAGATGGATGCAAGAACTCCTCCTACGACGACTGCATATCGACGAGAGACCATTTTGATCGGGAAAGAGAATCAATCGTCCGGTGCGATGATTTTGGGACGGAAGATGGATCCATCTTAGGATTTAATTTCGAGCAGTGGGCCATGGTGGCAAGCTGGCATGGGCTTGGCCGTGCGTGAGGTGATACATGCTGAGGATGTTCTGAGATGTTTGATGTTTGAGGTTGGCCCTAGTCGGTGATCTGTGGGGTGCAGAAGCGAGGCGGGGTGGGGATATCAGGAAGGATAATTACATGAGAACTCACCCCTTTTTCACAATCCAAAATGTCGGGAGATTTTAAAGAAATGTTCATATTTTTAGTTTACTTTCGGTGTCGCCTCCTAGGAGATTCTTATCGTGTTGGCTCCCTCGAGCCTTAGAAAAGCAACGATCGATGAAACGGTCGAGGTGTAACCGAGTCTCGCTTGAGGTGAAACAAACTTCTCGGACGTCGACGCCGAATCAAATGCAATAATCACATAAATTCAACACAGACCTGACGGTGTTATCCAAATTCAAGTATTGACTTGCTGCTCTACGGTAACATGCGCTGTCTTCCAAAAGAAAACTCTCTCGCCTCCTTCGCGTATTCTTCTCTCCGACTCATGGGATTGGGTGAAAGAAGTTTCGCGTTCCCTTCTTCTGCGCCTCGCTCACTCCTCACTCCTCACTCAAACCAGACCTCCTCACTCACAGCTACTTTTTTACTCACACCTGCCTCCATAACCACAGCCGCCTTTTCACTTAGACCTTCCTCTTCGCTCACAGCTGTCTCCTCACTCAAAGATGCCTCCTCACTCACAGCTGTCTCGGTCAAAGTCGCCGCCTCACTCAAGGAGGGAGTGACTGCCATATCCTTCCCCCTCCTCTTCGACACAACCTCCGTCCAATTGTTCCCATCAACCTCCACCCTCCCAACAACGCCATCCATACCCACCTCCCCGATCTCCTCTCCCTTCTCAGTCTGTCTCCATCCCGCCTGCGTCTTACTTGTTGGCAATCCTTTCGTAAACTTCTCCTTACCCTTCTGCCTATTACTCTCCTTCCTGGCATTATGGGCGATTGACATCTCCATCTGCGATCTCATTGCCAGCTGAACCGCCATCTCGAGGCTCATCCCCTGCTCCTCCTCGGCCGCCTTCTTCACCTCCAACACCACTTCTGCCTTTGCCTTTTCCGCAATTTTCTTAGAGTGTCGCCTTCCCCTATGCGCCTTCCTCTTCTTCTTAGGCTTTGAGTTCACGATGGGTTGTGCTTTCACTGACTTCTTCTTGAAGAGGATAGCTCTGATTGCAGGGCTCACGATGAGAGGTGAGGCGAGGACGAGTGTCGCTGCGAGCGAGCCGTAGGTGGTGGATGTGGTCGAGATTATGCCTGGGACACCCGCGGCGGTGGAATTAAGATTTGTCATTGTGGCAACAATGGATGAGTCGATGAGGTTTGGTTGTTTTGATGATGATAATAGACCATGGTCGATGGGCAAATTGGCGATAGACGAGGACGACGAAGTTGAATTGTTCGAAGGGGGTAGTGTTTGTGCTGGTGAATTATTCGATGAATCTTTAGGTGAAGAAATCTAAGTTGTGGCTTCACTTGCGAAATCTAAAAATTTAGAAGCAGTGAATTTTATTTTAGACTGATTCAGTCAGGATAGGGGCTTGGACCGTCGGTACCAACAAACAGGTACTCTGGGTCTTGACTAGGGCGGTTCCAGTGTGTCAAAGAACTCCTAATACTACCATACTACTCGTGAATATTCATGAGTAGCGTGAGTAGAATATGAGTAGACTAGAGTATATACTCATGAGTAGTCATAAGCAGCCGTCACGTGACTAGAACGATTATGGTTCGCTTAATAACTATCAAATAATAAAGGCACCTATTAAGCAGCCCTAGTAAAGTAAACTGGGGCTTGTGTAAGACTAGCTAAATCCTAATTTTGTATAATAGTAAACTAGTTGTCCTCCTCGGAACCTTGATTTTTGCCAGACCTTTGGCTCGCATGGCGACGCTACCGCCTGAAGGGGCGAGGTAGTGCTGGAGCGAGAGCGGGCGGGGCTTTACCTAATAAGGCCAGCATATCACGTGGATCATCACGTGCATACTACTCATACTAATCACAAATATTTGTGATTAGCTTGATGAGAATACGAGTAGAGTATGAGTAGCGCTCTAATTAGTTGAGTAGAGTATGAGTATGTCCCACTACTCTACTCTGCTCTACTCTACTCTACACTCATTTGACACATTGTTTGTATCCATCCATCCGAGGTAAGTAATGCTAAGTAGTGACAGGTGGGAAATGTTCAAATATGATGCCTTTGACAGACTTCAGCCAAAGTCGGTTCCCCAAGTCGGCTCCCACCAATCAAATTGGGCAGCGCAACACTCAGGTCCAGGAGCCGTTGCGCATTCTTCCTTCACAATAAGAGCTACGACAGTAATGGCGAGCGAGAACTCTGGAGGCAATCCTGCCCCGACGCAAGTTCCGAGAGGAAAACAAGGCCACCTGCGTGCTCTATTTTCGCTGCCCTGGCCATCCAAACCTTTGCTCTCATTTTAAAAGCGTAAGCACAAGCGGGTGTTGTGAGTGGGTGTTGCGCTGCCTGATTTTGTTAGTGCAAGTCGACTTGGTTAAAGTCCTTTGACACACCTCTTCTGGGGCGGCTGAGACTTTGACGGTTGGTTGACTTCATGATTTATCCCGACCCCTTAGACGCTCTATTCTTGTGATTTCCTTGCCCACCCTATTCTAGAACCAGATGATCTCAGTAATGCAGAATGTGGTTGAGAAGCCCCGAATAGTGGCTGCCAACTGAGAACTTTGCAGAAAAGCCTTAATTACCAGGTAATGCAATCTCTAACCTTCCTCTGTCCAAAGAAGCTGAACACAACCACAAGTTGGAACAAAACGCCACAAAAACGATCAGCCGCGTATGATATCAGGTATGAGCTTGCCCGCATCAATCTCAGCCGTGATTTTCTCGTGCGTCTCTTTCGAGTTCTGGAGAAAACGGCCCACAGTCATGCCGATGCACGTCAACAAAGGCGCCATTTCCGGCTTGAATTTCTCCGGCGGATAAGCAAGCTAGTCATTCACCTTCAACATCATAATCTGTTTTGACTTTCATGTAACTTAATTTAACCCGTATCCCTTGTACCTGATATTGCTCACATCCCTAGGCTTTCTTCATCGCCCGATGCTCTGGAGCGAAAAATATTCAATATAGACTGTCGGTATTCCCTTTCTAAGCCAGAAGGCTCTTCTTCTTCTAGGTGCTGTCTTGTCTTCCTCCAAACCGCAAACTCGTTTTGCCACGAAGGCCACTTCTTCATAAGCCAATAAATGACACACATTGCGACAAGAAGAATAAAAATAGTGATGAGAAACCAAAACGGGGTGAGACCAAACGGTATGACTGACGGTTGCATAGAAAATATCGATGCGGTTAACGTGATTGGATATAACACCTTAGATCAGCGAATTAGCAAAGTCATCGCATTTGACCATATTCATCGAGATATACCCAAATTAGAAATGTCGAGGTAAATGAGGCATGCTTGTTTGCATCGCGGCCTTCCAAGGAAAGGCGTAGTGTAAGCTAAAAACCATATAGTCAGCGAGATATCTTCCTTGTCGAAGCTGCGGCTGGCTTAAGGAAGCTTCCACTCACTGTTTCAAAGTCTCTGCTTAGGTCGTCTCTCAATAACTCAAGTTTCTGGAGAAGATTTTGCAGGTTTCCAAAGGTCTTCTTTATCGCACGAAGCGACCTGCCAGCGGCGCAGTTGTCTTGGGACTCAGGAGATTTGCTGGGAAAAGGATGCTGCAAGTCAGAGAAGTAGTCGATATCTCCCCCATCCGGCGAAGCAAATGCGTTCCATTGGTTGAGGGTCCCCGAAAGCACGTTAATGAACGTGCCGAGCTGTTGCATCCTCTCTAGAGTCCAATTGAAAGAGCGTTTTATTTCTTCCGACGGTTCGCTCGAGTTTTGAGATGCACTGCAGTACGTGAATGTATGCGATTGTTTCTGTGGTGGCGTCAGTCTTGAAATGAGAGATACTGATGGCAGGACTTATACATATGCAATTATATCGCACTCCATTTTATGAATCAGCTCTTGCCACTCTTGACCGACTTCTTTGATATTTACCTCCAAAGCTTTCGTAAAGTATTGTCGGGGTCTCCAAATTGGCTTACTTACATGGAGACCTGTTGCAATAGGATCTTCGTCAAATCCGTCCACCTTCTGATCCACTACGGCTTCCCCGTCTTCGCCATCCCCATCATGAAGCTCTCCGTCATCGTAGAGGTCCCCGGACTCATGTGCATTATCTAGAAAAGCGCAAGCAGTCCACTGCCATTCGCCGTGGCCGTACACAACACATGACACTTGAGTCTCGTGGATTCGGTACACATCCTGGCCTCCTGCCGCTGAACTCTCTCCGTCTGTAAGCGAGACATCCGTCCATTTCCGCATACTATGTATGGAGCGTTTTTTGTGAGAGTCCTCTGGGCGAGGAGATTTCCTTAGAGCAAAGAAGGGCAGATGGAATTCCATCTGAAATTTAGACATTCCATCCGACTAAGCCGTATAGTAAGTACCAGGATAGACAATAGATCCTAGAAAGCGAAGGAAGATATCACTTACAGAAATATGGACCATTATTGAAGGCTTAAAGCCAACGTGCTTGCACATCGCATCGCGAAGGACCGGGACATGATGAAATGGGGCGGTAGCAGCTAAAGCACATATGAAGTCGGGAGTCAAGTCAACGACGCACCTTCACGACAGTTAGGGATCTGCAGACATAAAGATGTACCTCAAGCAACTCACACAAGACGCCGCTCCGCATCTGGCTCTTGCCCAAGGCTGTACCTCTGGAATAGAACAATGTCAGCAAATGGACCAATCAAGGGAAGGCTGCGTTCTGGCAAGCCATACAGGTTGACCCAAGTATCTTAAACCCTCAGCCGCGGTCATCCAACCATTGGAAAGCCTCGGAGTTCCGCAGCCAGATAGAATGTTGTTCTTCCGATCATCGATCCATAAAGCTCTCCTTGTCCCAGCATCTCCAACGCCAGCTTCAATATCCTTGAGGCTGGTGTTCCCGCAGTACCTCTTGACCCCATCAGCCTCACTCGGAAAACCTAGATCTGTGGACTCTTGCAAAAAGTTAGTTAGCCTATCTTGAAAGCCACTGATCTGATTTCTTGCTTCAACAGCTGGCACGTCATCTTTCCCCGTCAGAGAATGGTGGGCGAAGAACGAACGGGGCCACGCGTTTGTGAGCCAGGGGATGGAGTCGCGTTTTCGTCGGAAAGTCCGCGCCTTCCGCTCTCTCTTTAGCCTATAGCTCAACATTGATAGCCGACGACGCCACTTATCTGGGGAGGTAGAGTGGGGACAAATTCTAGCCGGGGTCGGTCATTTGTGGCTGGACGTCAAAGCATCTATTGAGGAAGTTAGCGAACCATGTTGACTGTTGAGAACGACTCGTGTAACCTTATATCTGTATGGGCTGGTTAGCGAAAATTGACTACAGAGAGTCGATATCCGGAGAAAAACCCGCGAGTCATCATCAAAGCCGGAAACCAGGCAAGTACTCCAGTTGTACGTTTTGGTACCAAGATCTGATTGTCGCCAACCCAATATCGAGCTGGCAAGAGGCAAGAAAAACGTTTGATTTTTAAGTGGAGGTAGATGTACTCAAGGCAAACTGAGAGCAAAACAGGTGGCGAGATGTAAGTCATTAAATTGACCTTCAACCTTCGTCTCTCGAAGGCAAACAGGAAGGCAACGAGCTATAATCCACCTCTTTCACCGCCTTCACAAGAATAGACCATTCGAGGACCGTTGAGGAGGTCATTCGCACTGTAGTGTTGTCTCCGCATGGCTTACGGCTCGGGAGGTCCAGTGCCTTACTGCACCCTGACCTTTTCGGTGCGACAGTACGGGCATCTTTGGGCTCCGCAGTCAGGACAATGCTCGACCATGATCCCAATCTTAGCCTTGTCACATGCGCACTGTTTTGGGCCGAAATGTTAGGCACTGATTCATCAATTTGGGCATTGAGACCCGATCATTACGATTTGGCCACTCACGCAATGCCAAACATAAACATAACGCTTCCCCCTCTGTGGCGGCTACACATGGGTTAGAAATGCGGAATATAGGGATTTTGGATAAGGCATTCAAGAAGGCTTACCCGGAGAGAAGAAATTGGTTCGATGGTAGATGCTGTTGCAGCCTCATTTTCGACGTTGGGTACAGATGCATTGATACCTTCAACACCATCTTTGGGCGAGAATGAGGCTGTCGATGACAGTTCGCAATCAAGCCCGAAGCGAGCCGCGAAGCAAGCAGGGCATCTTGGATTATCCCCATAATTGATCCCAGACATGAGGAGCAGGGTTGACGTGAAATTAGGCTCACTCGGGCTCTCCTGGCTAGGAAAAAAAGAATCGACGTAATAGATCCGATTGGCTAAGTCAACTTCGCCACTCTCTCCTGTCTTCCGAACAATCAATCATTCGGGGCATCCGCGACTTATAATCACCCCCACATATCAGATACACCGTTCGGGGCCAAAAATCAGTTGAAATTTGGGCTATTGACCGCCCTCGCATGACCTGGGTATCAAATAAGGCTAACCTTTTCTTCGGGGAATACGGATGCTACTCATGGAAGGCTTGTACTTCTCACTAAGCTGGCAGGAGTCCCCTGTTTACCAACGCAGGTTTGTGGAGCAGGAGGTCTGGGTGTTACATCCAGTGCGCACTCTCAACAGCAGCAAACCGTTGAAAAAAATAGGCAAAGCCCACTCAAACGCTGTGCCCCCACACATGTCCTATCGCGTCTTGCCCAGCCCACCGGAAAATAAAAGTGGCGTCAGGCGATTACGGTAACTTCAACGTTCCTGTCGCGCAAGAAAAGAAAGAAAAGAAAAGCAATCTTAAGCTTACCTATTTCACACGGTAAAGTTGTTTACAGAGGCACAGAAGGACTTGACTTGATCAGGTATTGAATCCCTCGTTTGGCTTGTTTTGTTTACTCGCTTTGGCAAAGCGACATTGGAGAATGTACGTGCGCAAGAAACCCTTGCTAGTGCTACTGGACTCTCCCCCCACTACTGCAAAACTGTGTGGGTCCCCGCAAAACCAGCCTGGCACGGTCCAGTTGCCATACCAAAAAACCCCTGCACTTTGACCCACTGTTACATTTAACCAGGGGGGAGAGCATCTTTATGTGGTGTAACTCCGTTGGAGGTACTTATCGTTTGCTAGTCCGTGCCACAAATTTAGCGAGAACATTAATTTTGGGGGTTGGCTATGGGCCCGTCGCTTTCACAAACCACCAGTGGTGACTAGTGGAAAGTACGAAGTGTTCAAAAGATGGGGGAGTCATGCCGCGATGCTGAGCAAGATGCCAGCCGCAGCAGCAGCCAGCTTCTCAACAAAAATAAGAACGCCAATGAAGGCGGAAAGGACTGAATCGTGTCTTTGGCAGGTGCCGCGGCCCTTTGCGGATGCAGGCACGTACAGGCATTTGTCTCGAGGGCTAATGCCATTGGCCGGTGGTTTTGGAGCGGTGTGGTACTGTACCCTGCTGACAGCTGCGTTTAAGACCTCAAATGTGGGCCCAGTACGGAAGGCCGTAAGGATCAATCGTCCAAGCGAACTTTTCCACTTACGACTTATGACTTCACCCCACCAAAAATCGTTTACATACCACACCCCCTCTCCCTATACCTCTACTATTATTACTTAAAATACTACTCTCTCTTTAATTCTTATTTATATATATAGGAGAGAGGGGTAGGGGGTAAGGGGTAGGTAGGTGTCACGATAAGGTGATATTGCAGTGGTGGTAAAGAGCTTGAATTGAGCTGAAGGCTGTGTGCCGGGCTAAAAGCACTAGCTACACGCTAAGTCACGTGCAGTGGCACCACGTGACTGGTGCCACGTAACAGTAGGGGGTGGGGAGGGGGTGAGGTAAGGAGGGCGAGCTAGCAAGTGAAAAGTGAAAAGTGAGAAGTGAGAAGTAAGCTTTGAGGCACGTGACTCGCGAGGAAAAGGAAGCCCTATAAATAGGCTACTTGTATACGAGTATGTGTGACGTACTTCGTACCCGGGGAAACAGATATAAAGTCTCCACTTCCAAGCCAAACTGATTCAGGTAATACTTCTTCGAAACTGAAAGAATGATTGGTCAATTATCCCTGTTAGCGCAGAACCTGCTGGAACCAAATTAACCTCTGTTTCCCCGAGTACCATAGTATGGAGGTACAGCCCATAATGATAGTAATAGCGCTAGCAGGGTCCGAACTTTTCAACCTGGTATCACAACAATAACATATCGTAAATTTTTTTTTAAAAAAAAGTAGCACTACTATACGGTACTGTGATGGATATTTACAGTGTTTAAATAAACTTTTTATGTTTTGTGTAGCAAAAGTTATCGAGTATTGAAATCACGAGTTTTCTATTAACCCCTGCTAGCGCTATTACTATTATTATGGGCTGTACCTCCGTAAATTTTTAGTAGGGTCCCCTTGCCTTGCCCCTCCCCCCCCCCCCTCTGCCCCTATACTTATAGAGAGAGAGAGAAGAATTCAAGAGAGTAAATATTTTAAGTAGTAATAGAGGCACAGGCAGAGGGGGGCATAGTATGTGGGCGTGGTGTGTGGGCATTGCGATTTTTGGTGGGATGAGCACGGACGTGCCAAGTCATACGCAGGTACAGGCTTAGCAGGCCCTAATATTTGTCACACCGCCTTGGATTCTGCCGAGCAAAATTCGGATAGCGTATGCTACGGGGCACTTCAGCGCACCCCCCCTGCGAAGGCGGTATAACAAACATTAGGGCCTGCACCTGCGTAAGTCATAAGTCGTATGTGAAAAAGTTCGCTTGGACAATTGATCCTTACGGCTTTCCGTACCCCAGCCCTCCCTCCTCTGGACATGCTTCCCATGTCGGGAAGGTAAGCAGGGGCTGGCGGTGAACAATAAGATGTGGCTGGAAGAAGACATCCCGTCTCACTCCAGCATCCATGCCCTGTCCCGCATGAAATTGACATCACATGACCCGATTCTCTGCCCTGATCCCTGACCGATCCCTGATCGACATACCTGGGCGGTGAGCATTCAAAACACATCCGCGCTTTCTCTAGTCAGAATCAAAAAGTGTACTCCGTATCCGAATCTACGACTATACCGCTTTTTTGGAACATTGTTGGGTTATGTTATTCCCAATCTTCTTCGCCCTGCTGCCACTATCCCTGTCTTTGCGCCAAGTCAAGACTCAAGACGTTGAAATGCTATATATTTTGTTTTAAATATGATCAGGAGGGCAATTTGGGGGCTATCGCAATTGAGCGTACGATTGACATAATTACAAGATCTTAAACCCAAAGGTTTGGCCTACACTACTGCGCCTAACGGCAACCATTTCTGAGATATTGTCCCATAGTATTGTTTCCTTTTAGAAAGAAATACCGTCGAATCTTGTTGTAATTCTAGTGACTGTGATTGTGACGGCTGCCGTCCCATGGTTCCTACAGGTTGTTTTTAGCTAAGGTTACAGGCTAAGCTTCAGGCACTCGGCGTTTCAGTGGTTTTGGCCTTACTTACTTATCCACCACCACACCTCACTCTCTCCTTCTCTCCTTAGCTTTAGATTTTATAAGACAGGAAAAGAGATCTTTGTACCTATGTTCCATTGCTCCGCTCCGCCGTTACAGTGATCTCTAGCAAACGAAGGTCAGGTTTTGTATAGTAGAAATTAAGTCCAGACGATTAATAAAGGAATGATTTATGTTGAAAGCCAGCCACACCTTCTACTGAACTAGTTCTTCCTCTATGAAATATTCGAGCACTAAAGCATTTACTAGATGCCTGCCAGCGCTCCCCAGCTTTATAACTGTCTATATTCGTTGGCTTTATAGGCTATATAAGACATAACACTCATGCTTCGACTCCTTCCTCCTTTCTCTATATTCTTTTAAAAAGATAGAGAATTATAACTATTAGTAGTTAATATCTAGGTATTAAATACAATAAAAACTCGATATAACAATATTAATTTTAGTGCCTTTTTCTAATAATATACTAAAGTATTATTAAATTAAGAATCACGTGCACATATAATAAATAAGAAAGAACTAAAGATATATAAAGAACCTTTTAATTCTAATACCTTACTACTTATAAAGTATTTCCTAAAAGCTTTAAATAAGCCTGCTTTGCTTTTCTCACTTTCCTTTAGATAAACATAGCTTTTAAAGCATTAAGCTTATATATAATCTCACTTTATTTATTCTCTTATTACTTCTTATAAAGATTTACTAAATCAAGTATAGCTATTACTTTAGCTAGCTTTACTTTCCTAATCTCTTTCTCCTGCTCCTCCCGCTCTATATTAGACTAAGTATTCTCTGAATTTCCCTGAGTATAGTAATTTATAACTATCTTTAATATTATACTTTCTTTTTTTATAATTGCCTCGTTAATTAGTATAATAAATTAGCTAATAGAAAGAGAATTATTGAATTAGGTAGTGCTTTAATGATTTCCTTATCTTTTGCTTATTAAATAGCTTATTTCTTATCTAGTTTACTATAGGTATCAAGATCTCTATTAAGAAGAGGCTTTATAATAAGACTTGATTTATACTAGTAATTAGTAATTATAAAAGCTTTAATATAATTACTCTAAGTATATATTACCTAGTTAATTGTCACGATAAGGTAATGTTGTAGTGGTGATAAGGAGCTTGAATTGAGCTAAAAGCTGTGTGCTGGGCCAAAAGCACTAGCTACACGCTAAGTCACGTAACATTAATTATATAGAGAAGAATAACTATTTTATTAGAATTCTTATTTGCCTCAAATTACTTAATTATATAGTTAATCTATTACTTGTAATAATAAAGCTTAAAGGTATTAATAATGCCTTAATTTACCGATTACTAATATAATATTATATTAGAAGATAGCTATTTCACTCGTATATAAAAGAGAGCTTATTTTTTACTAACGAGATTAATACTATATTTATATTCTAAGAAGTTATTTATAACGAGAAGAATATACCAGCCTTAAATAAAATACTTGTAATTAAGCTAATAGAGGTATTTTATATAAATAGTATTAATTATTTACTTGAAATTATTATATTAGTATTATATACCTAAAAGTTAATAATTAATATATTTAAAGTATTAAGGGTTCTTCTTCTTTTTAATTAATTAAGGCTCCTATTTATTAATACCTATAATATTAATTATAAGAGTAAGAGTAATTCACTCTTTATTCTTTTTGCCCTTATTACTAGCCTTAATTACTAGTATATGATTTAGTAATATTTTCTAGTATAAACTAGTTTTATCTATATTTAAGATATTCTTAGGAGGATATATGGCTATTAGGTCTCGATTCTCTTGTATTTACTTGATATTTTCAGGGCTTTTAATATCTGCTATACTGCCTTTACTATAATAAATATATTCCTTAATATAGAAGTAATTCTTGAAGTTAATTATTTATTTATTAGATTATTTAGGCTCTAGTTACTTATAATATTAAGAGAGAAGATACTAGATTTCGTATGCCTTTTACTTGAGAGTATTACCTGTAATTATTACTTTTTGCTATTATATCTTCTATTATTATTTAAAGAATACCGATTTAAGATTAGGCTAATTAGATTAGCTCGAATATTAACTTATAAGACTTATATCTTTTCGTATATTAGTATTAAGGTAATTGAATTAAGTACTAAGACTAAAAGAAATAGTAAATTGGTTAATTTTGTAATAGAACTTGTTCTGAAATTACTTAATAAGATTAGTATATATAGCTTTAGAATGGGATTACTTATGCCTTTATAGTACTCGGTAATTAGCTTTTATTATACCTCTTTGTCTTTTTTTAGGCTATTTAGAATTAAGGGGCTATAATTTAATAAGATTAATAGCTTGAGAGATACTAGAGAGCCCTGAAGTATTAATAAATTAATTCATTTTTAGGCTAAAGTAGAACGATATACTATTAAAAATTAAGGGTTAGAACCGAAAAACCTTATAATAATAAGACCAAGGATATTATAAGCCTAAGGCTAAAAAAGTACGAGATCTTAGGCCGTATTATATTACTAAGGATATTATTATATCGGGGATTACTATAGCGAGGTTCTGCTATATTCCTTTTAACTAAATTAGCTAAACTATTTAGTAGTTAAAATTGGGCGGAAAGTTAGTAATTAAAGGTTTAGAGTAATACTATAATAATAAAGAACCTTTAAAAAGCACAGGTACTTTATTATTCGACTTATTAAAAAACAAGGGTTAGTAAGTAATGTGGTACTAGATATAAGGCTTTAGTAAAATCCCACTAGTATTTCTCTTTTCTAAAGTTAAAGACAAGTATAGAAACTAAATAAACTCTTATGGAACTAGTTTTCGGAATTTGTTAATAAATGAGATATATTTATAGCTAGATTATAAAGATTATCTTGCTTCTTTAATATATTTGTAAAGTTCATAAACTATGAGAGGAGTCGGTGCCTGCTTAATATTAAGATATCTAGCGCCTTTACTGCTTGAAAACTACCTTCCATATTTCCTATTAAAGGGAAAAGCACGTGGAGACATAACATAAACAATAAATCGAACAAGTATAACCATGACTCAAAGAGGCATCGTGAGAGTGAAGTGTGTATTGAGTTGCTAAGGTTGTCCTTCGTTAGAAGAAAGAAGACTAAATACAAAAGGGAGTAGGGAGCTAGGATATCACGAGTGAACACGTGAGTAGCCGAAAGTCAGCTCGATCCCCACCACACTATTCTAAACTTCAATATTCCAGTCCTTCAACTTTCATTACAACCGAAAATATTCCCCCCTGAATCTCGTTCCTCTCGCAACCGCGATCGTGGATTTAGATATACTCATAACATAATGTGGCGCTTCGTGTATACATCACATCTCGAATTGGTGTCGGGAGAGCCAAGGGTAGAGTAATTTAGCTGGTAGTCCAAGGTGACATTCACAAACGGTTCCCAGACGTCGTGTACCCAGAGATATCCCTGACGCGAGCTTCCAGGCCAATGTTTTGCCAAAATGCCCAGACACGATCAAGGTTTGCGTGGTGGAGATAGGAGAGCGGATCTATGTTGGAGTTACTGCCTCGTCATATACGTATGCATATGTTTCAGTAAGAAGTGTATCTAGATATACCCCCGGGACTTGAGAAGACGTTACCCATCTCTCCGCTTATCATTCCATGTCCAGAGCCATGAATTTTGTTTGGTGGAGGTCTGAAAACGCCCCCAGCCTCCTGGCGGAACGCCTCAAAGTTGGACTGCTTGGTAGTGTTCGCAACCTGCGTCACTTTTCCCCAGCGGGCAGAGTTGTTGTTGAAGTTTCGCCTAATACAATGGTTGGTAACGGAACTTCCAGGTCCGACAGAGAGGTTGTAACTGATAAAGGGTCCGTCCTGGATGCATCCGCCGCCAGAGTTGGTCGGCGTTGAGTTGCCGAAGAAGCCTGTCCAGTTGAAGATACATGCTCCATTCCCACCAAACCCGTACACAGAATCAAAAATTGGGGACTCGGCGAAGCTGTCATTCATCAGAGCTTTGCTTATTTCCGGAGGGTGAGGTACTCACGATGCTCCATTATCTATGTCTAAGGACCAGTTCCAATACGGCTGCGCACTACTGTAGCCGCAATTTTCCGGCAATGTCTTCTCGTAGAAATGAAGGAATCCTCGGTAAAAGTACAGAAATTGGTCCTAGCAGAATAATGATGATGCTGTAGACTAGTATATATGGGACAAAATAACCTATAACCCAATGAATACGATATGAGAGAGCAACATGCAAAGCCTGAAAATCATCAGAGCGAGATTTAATGCCATTGAACGGTGTAATGGAAGGGAGTTCCATCATACATAACACAGCATCTAAGTATTCTAGTTGTAGCAGCGAGCTCATGCATCTCCTACATTCATATATGAGCGAACAGATTGGGCGGGATGGGGTCTTTTGAAGTACCATTCTCGTTGCTGAAAAAGTGATTCACAAGTGTCTGATAGTATAGATTCCGCGAGATCATTTGAGCGTACAGGGTTTCCGAGGTTGGTTGCAATACTGAAACCGATGGCGCTGGCAAGTTGGACTAAAATCTGATGAGCGAGCTGCATCTTTGACTTTGTAAGCCGTGTATATTATGCATGCAAGAGGTCAAATTTTCAGTCCCATGCCGGAATAACTCCAATCGTTTATATTTTACTAAATCCTGGCCCAGAACCCCGCTGGGGTTACGTCTGCGCACTGCATCCGACTAGGATATCCCTGCAATTAACGAAAAATCAGCGGAGTTCACTCGATGAGGACTAGTTAAGGCGGGCCCCGGCCCGGCCCGCTGCGGCTACCAGTACAGTACCCGTACTGTACTGGTACTGTACTTACCTGCTCCGAAGTCAAACGATTTACCTTGTACTCCCCCGCCCCCTGAATAAATGTTAGCCTGCGGGTTCAAAAGATTTTCTTCGGTTTGTTTTCGAGAAGATTCCAGCTTTCTGATTAGCTGGAACACACCCTTGTTTGCCACCCTCACGCTCGCAAATATTTAGGGGAGGGGATAGCAATACAACGCCCTTAAATCCGCAACCCTTATACGCACTCAATTTGTGGCCCACAACCGGGCTGTGTGGCCCCGGCTCCAGCTGGCTTGCATCAGGTGTCTGTGTGAGCGGTTGGTGGTTGGCAATGTGGAGACGTGAGATATTTGACTTCCTAAACGAGACTAGCTCACCCAACCACCCCTTTTAGCCTCCAGAAACCTCCTTCGTAGATTCTAGCTACACACACACTCAATGATACGATAATTCCTGTTCTAAACCTTCTTCTTGTCGGCCGCTAAACCTCAACCTAATAATAGGTGCAACATAGCCACCCTGCTAACTGCAGTCAGCCTCCCAATTTTGCAGAGGGACGGGAGAATTGCACGACGTTTTTTCTCTCTCATTTAAAAGCGAGGCGCTAATTCGGAAGAATTTAGGTCCGTTAGGCTACAGCCCACCAAGCCCAGCTGTTAAAGACGTTTCAATGAGAGTCTAGTCGAGAATTTTACATTGTCCCTCAGAGACACTTCTCGGAAGTATATCCTGGACGCGCCCTACTGATCGCGTACTCGGAGGAGCTTGGTCGGTAGCGTGGCGTTTTCAAGTGACACAGAAAATCTAGGCGGTGGAATTGCTCAATCAGCCGACAAGGCTCTAACCCGATCAGGTATTTACATGCAATTTTAGCTCCTTCGTCAAATTTCCACTCATCATGGCTGCCACTTTTCCTTTATCTGGTCTTCGACTCACTTCAGTCTCTTTGACAACTTTATTAGGATTCATATTCTAAGTCTCAAATGCTCTGCGATACTTGTCTGGCCATATTCGCTGTACCTCGAAAGCTCAGTTACGGGCCTAGGTTCAAAGTGGCTCGTTGCGCCTGAACCGAGAGGGGATGACTGGTCTGATACTTCAAAATATATGAGTGACGTGGACAAAGCCCCCATGCCCGATCTTACTCACCTACTCGGAACGGAAGCAGAAAAGCTTTTCACCAAAACAGCAGTCTTCTGGATGATCATCGACTTTTACTGCCCAGGGCCTCCCATCATCATACCACTCGATATAGTGAGAGGTCAGTACGAACTCGTGTTCTTGTATCCCTCTATGCGTTAACACTCGGTGGCAGATGGTCTCGAAGATTTGGCCGAGGTCAATCTACACCAGCAAGCTTTTACAGGTTCAACAGAAAACCTCCAACTTGCATGCGCTTGGCTAAAAAATTGCTTTGAAAATCATGAGCAATGCAGTCCCAATTCTGACGACGAAAGTTGGTTACCCACCCGCTTGCTTTATGTGGGCATTGTTTATACTCAATCTCTGAGCAATAACGTCCCATATGCTGCACTCAGCCACCGCTGGGGAACAAACAAAGATTTTGTCCTCACTTCGGCCTAACTGCGAAGTTACGAAATCGAAATTCGTATATCTAACGTTTCCGCAACACTACAGGATGTGTTCAATGCTACACGAAACATTGGGCTTCAGTATCTCTGGGTAGATTGTCATTGCATTATACAAGATGACTAGGATGATCGGCTGCGAGAGTCGGCTACGATGTCAAAAGTCTATGGACTGTCTACTTGCACGATCGCGGCGACCCTTGGTGGAAATGGTGACGATGGCTGCTTCGCCCTTCGAAATCAATTCAGAGCCCGGCCTTGCAAGGTTCCGAACCCGTTCGACAAGGATTCCGGACTAGCATTCTATACACGCTCGCAGTATCTTGGTGAAATTTACAAGCGGGAGGTCAAGGAATCTCCTTGGTGCAGTCGCGGATGAGTCTTTCAGGAACGCACTCTGTCCCCACGCTTGTTGATATTTGGAAAGACGCAGATGTTGTGGCTTGTCGGAAACTTCGAGCAGCGGAGACTTGGCCGTGTGGAGCAAAGAGTGAAGATTACATTGACCGTTTTGAGTCTTTCGAAGTCGACAAATATCGGCTTCAAACTCTTTTAGACCGAGATCGAATCATTTCACCCTGGGACACGACTTGGTATACTTTTGTTCAGTATTATACCAAGTCGCATTTGACAAAGATGTCAGATAGATTGATTGCTTTGCAAGGGCTGGCTTCGCAAATTGCTTCTGTGACAGATGATACTGCGCCGGTCTATGGATTGGCCAAACCTTGCCTCTGTCACTGCTGTGAAGCTCGTCATCTCCAAAAACCCAAAGCCCAAAGGAGTACAGGGCGCCGACATGGCCTTGGGCTTCAATAGATGTGCCAATAAAATTCAAACACATCAACCGTCAGCTGCGAACCACCACCGTGATCATGATCGATCTCCAGGGAACTGAGGATCTACCATACCATCAAAGACATATTTCCGGGGCTCTACTGGCAAATCTGACGCTTTCAGGAAGGTTGACGCCGGTGAGGCTGGTATCTATGAGCAGAATGTGTCCGTTAAGACTGCTAAGGGCAACCTCAACGGTCCACTCGAAAAATTCATCCACTGCCCTGTTGAGGTATAACTTTATACGGGGGTTTATGCGGTGGTGTGATGTCATTTTCCTGCTGGCCTGGGAAAATTTCAGGCCCGGCGCCGCTGTTTCGTTTGGAACCAAGGTGGCCTGTGTGTTCGGTGGGCACTTACTCGTCACCATCCTACTCCTGGCCAAAGCCCCTCTCAGCATGCTCCTGGCTGCATTCATTCTCGGGATTGCCGCGGTTACTTTGTTATTTCTGATAGTCCCGAGAAGGCGCTGCCCAAATCCTCACGGTCCAATCGAGAACCGGTTTCCGAGGGCATTTACTTCCCCTGTCGATTCTCCTTCTGGACCGGCTGCTCCTCCCCCGGTGGGTCCTCTCTATGCAGATTGCACAGGCGATACTCCATTACGCTTTTGCGACCTTGACGCATTCTTTTTACCAATCCTGAAGAGGAAAAGAGGCGGGTATGAAGGCCTGATATTGAAACCGGCTGTGATGGCAGACAGATATTATGAGCGGGTCGAAACCTTTACCCAACCCAATCCCCCGGTGATGAAGATGTTGGAGTCTGCTCCTCAAGTGTCGTTTATCTTGACTTAAAATTGATGCGTAAATCTCAGCGCATGATCTTGATTAGCAATCGAGATCTGCAGAATATTCTTTGTTACAAAATTTCTACCTTTCTAGTTCTCCAAATCAAAGGCTGTTGTGAGTGACTAGTAGAAATGAACTTGTTCTCCTGCGCTTCTTCTCGGATCTGAGAGTTTGCAGGTCACACTGCAAGCGGATTACCTCTCAGCGAGTAGAGAGATGAGAAGCTTTATAAAGAGGACTACAGGAATCTTAGGACATTTCACCTCTCATTTCGTTAACTGGATTGCCTCGTTTCTCTCTCTTCATTCTAGAAACATAAACCTTCAACTTCCTTATAGTCTCCACGATTGCTTATACCTTGAAATCTAAGCTACGGTTGCTTTTAATAAAATAATGCAAGACATTTACAGGCCCTTCTCACTCGTTGAAGCTTGCGCCTTTCAAATCCGGTGTGATTTCGTAATAAATATCTCTATAAGACTGGCATATGGTGTATGTGAACGGTGTATGGTGGTGGCAGGACGGGCCCTTAGATAGATCACCGCGATCGCCAACATGCAGCCACTGAACTCGCCCCTGAGCGAGGACCCTGTAACAATCTGCTGAAGCGAGCCACTCAAGAAGCCTCCCGAGGTAAGCCACAAGCTGTATTTCAACCTCGCCCAACAAACGCACCGCTCAATCTCTGTTTTGACTTGAAAGCGAGTTCTTCGTTGCACGAAATTCTGGCGCCTTTCTCACCCAAGCGTGTCTAGATCTTTGCTCGACGGTCTCGCGAATAGGTCCCTAGGGCGACACGCCGTCAAGCCAAACCCTAGGCCGAACATCTTCCAGCTCGGAGATACCCCTCAATCAGCAGACATAACGCTTTGCGTCCTGCCTCTACGCCTGCTTTAAGTACTCTAGCATATTTTTCAAGATGGGTTATACCGAAAACTGCTGCCAGCTTTGCGCCGTCTCCATCAACGTCGCTCGAATGCGTACCAAGAACGAACCCCCATCAGAAGGCTGGGGTTATTCTGGCGGAGCATATTATTCTGGAGATTCGGAACTGTCTCAATGCACTGTGTTCCCAGAGCAGAGTGGTTGCGAACATGTGAAGGACGGAGACGAGCTGTGGAGTCCCTGGGAGCATTTCCCCGGACGGCACTGTACTTTTACCGGAGGGTATAACGGATGGAAGATTGGGGCCGACGAGATGAAGGTAAGTGTTATGGGCTTCTCGAATGTATGATTCCGGAATGCTCAATTGTCCGGGACTCGTTGTGATGGCTCAAGCATTGCTGAATCGTGCAGGGAATGAACCTCCCCAGGTATATCGTTAGAAAGCCGCCAAATGCAAAACCTGAAAAGGACGACGAAGACTATGAGAGGGTCAGCGACTTCTTCGTCTCATCGCAGACAACAAATCCGCCGGATGATTTTGAGCCCGGAGAATTGGCTTACGTCCGGTACGGAGTCCATACTTTTGAACCGGTGAATTATGAAAGAACTGCAGGGGTCGTTTTCCAGGGAGGCGAATGGTGGGGCATCCCAGCCCATGACGCGTGCTGGAAAATCTTTGAGCGTATTTCGAAAATGAGAACAGGTGAGGTGGACCTTGAAGGCTTCGTGGCATTGTGGGCTGTGAGTAGTTAGGCTGTTCTTTGAGAGATAAGTCGCTGATGTTTCATGACAGAGAGAAGCTTGCGGTGAATGTGGATTTCAGAACTTGAAACAAGAACAAGTTATCTGGAAGTGTCGGCAGCAATGGTGGGCCCACGAGCCAGGCACCGAGGTAATTTGTCTCGTATTCAGAAGTCTTGAGTGAGGCTGAACAGTGTCTAGTATCTTGCAGCGAATCCTCATGATATTCCTGGATTAATTCTCGCATTGCAACAAATACCACATGATCAACACCTTCCCGAATGCGTCTTTCCACTCTGGGCCATCGACGAACGACTCCCTTCGGCCGATACTTTCTCTGTGCTTCCAACAGAGCTGAAGGATATGGTTCTCTCACATCTCTCCTCCAAAGATATCGGTAATCTCAGATTAGCATCTCGGACTTTCCGACAATTGCCAAACCGTCTCTTCTTCCGCTTGGTTCAGGATGAACTGCCATGGTTCTGGGAGATAGACGAGCTGAGAGCTGCGTGTGCTGAGTATTGTGAACGGCTGTACAACATGCAGAACCCGCTGCTAAGCCAACTTCTTAGTGTTCACGCCGTGAGGGAGAGAAAGCTCCTGGAGAGAGATATGAATTGGCTCGAGGTATACAAGAAACTTTGTTTGTTGAAGAAAGCGATGCTGGGGGTGAGAAATAGAGCGAGGATTTGGACCGTTGTGGAGGAAGTAGTTGCGAGAATTGCTCGCCTGAGAGAGAAAGGATGGTCTCAGGTCGAGCCTACGAACGAAGAGCGAGAGAGCGGTCTCGTGAACAATGGGCCTTATTGTCCACGATGCAACCCTGAACAGATTGAAGGGAGGAGGTCATGATGCCGGAAATGATCCCGTGGAAGTGACTAGGCGCTTCTTTGACAAAAGAGAGGGGAACAGGCCAAGGAAAATAAAATAATACTCGAAAAAGCATTCAAGGTACAAAAGTTGCCTATCTTAGTATATATACGGGTTTGTCTCAAAAGACGAAGTGTCGGTGGTGATGGGAAGAAGGGACTTCAAGCCTGGATTCTGAGGCCGCCATGGCGACTGACCAGATTCGACAAATTGATAGCTCTCCATCCCACGAAACCTCCACATCTCCCTCAGAACCCCTCGCAAACTCCACAACCATGGCGCCCTCAATGTCCCTCCTCTCCGTGAACGCGATCCTAATCCTCAACTCGGACGACGGATCCCGCGTCTTCGCAAAATACTACAGCACACCGCACCACGCGACGAACACACAATCAAGTATGCCCCTCCTTTCCTCACCGTCCCTTCCCCTCTCTCCCCTCACAACCCCTTGTATCCTTTACTAACAATCACCCCCAGACGCACCGACAGCACAAACCCCCTACCCAGACGTAAAATCCCAAAAAGCCTTCGAAAAAGGGCTCGTCGAGAAGACTGCCAAGCAAACCGCCGACATCATCCTCTACGACAACAGGATCGTGCTGTACAAGAGCGAGAGCGATGTCATGATGTACGTCGTCGGCGGCGTGGACGAGAATGAGATTATGCTGTACAATGTCATTTTGGCATTAAGAGACTCATTGCATTTGCTATTCAAGTACGCTCCCATCACCTCTAGGTGTGCCCACACCTCCTTGCTCCAAAATCAGTGCTGACCAAATGGTGGAATAGGCAGTCAGTCGATAAACGAACGATTATCGAGAACTATGATTTGGTCTCTCTGGCGATTGACGAGATTGTCGATGATGGGATAATTCTCGAGACGGACCCGACGATCATCGTGCAGAGGGTTAGCAAGGCGCCGACGCAGGATGTGACGCAGTTGAAGGGCATTGATTTGAGTGAGCAGGGCATGAACAACCTGGCGCAGTTCGGGAAGGCGAAGTTGGGGGATTGGTTGAGGCAGGGATTGTGATGGGTCTGAATTCGGGGAGAAGAATGGAAGGCTAGGAATTACAATGGGAATATGGGAGGATTATGTTGTGGGTGTAAATGGAGAGGTGTGCTGCACTGAGAGCGAAGGGCATCCCGTATCAAAAGGTTCGGAGTAGACTTGGAGTTTAGGGCACAGCATTTCCAGGCGTGGAAAGCAGATCTGAATTTATTTGATTCAAAAGCAGATGCAAGACTCTCTATTTCTAAGACGTGGCGGTTTCTACTCTATCACTGCTCAATGACGGTAGCTGCTTTGCGGAGTCTGTTCATGACTGCAGCAGCAATGTCCGCCTTATCTTCTATGCCTTCCACATAAATGATATCCACGCCCCGCTGATCCAATTCCCTGAGGGCAGAGAAGAGGCTATGTGCGATATCCGTGGTCTTAGAGCCCAGGGAGATCTCGATGAGGTCTGCGATATGCTCATCGCTATATTCTGGCTCGTAGTCGATGTCGGCGCCTTCGTTCTGATGTGGAGGCCTGTGTGGATGTGCTGTATTCTCGGGTTTTGCCATCGGCGCGTCTTTCCACCAGTTGCTCGATCCCTGAGTGGCCTCGGGGAGTGCTCTTCCTTTCCAGAGTTCCCCTCCTCGCATGGCAAACGAGTTGGACGTCTCCAACTCCTCCCGGCGCCCAACATGCAGGCAGCCATCGTTGCCATTTCGACTCCACTTCGCAAGATGGAATCCTGCAAAAGGAAGCCAATGTTTCGTGGTCACGATCCCAACGTTGATTGGCCACTCGGAATTCTCGAGTCCAAGATAGGATATCTTTTCCTCCTTAGCTTTAACCAGTTTCCAAGCCTCGAGCGGGATGCCCCATTTCATTCCTCGTCCAGCCTGGGTATCTCGTTGAGAAGCAGCTTCGAAGAGGACAACCTTGGCTTTGGGACTATAGTGCTTGTATTTCATCCCAGGAGCTCTTGGTGTGTTTAATCCCAATTCGCTGTGGTCCTTATAGCCCTTCACAACACCAGACCAGCCCTCACATTCTCGGATACGATTGATACTGACACCACCCGGCCGAAGTACAACAGGTGGGTCACACAACCCGTCTACCACAGTGCTCTCAACCCCAACTTGACAAGCTCCACCATCCAGTATAATCTCAATCTTGCCTTCCAAATCATGCTTGACGTGTTCGGCTGTGGTGGGGGACGGCTTCGTGGAGGCATTTGCAGAGGGAGCAGCGAGTGGAACCCCAGCAAGGCGTATGAGTGATAGCGCCAGAGGAGAGTCTGTCATACGAGCACCGAAGGTGGGGAGTCCAGCAGTGACCTCTGGTGCCAACTTGCTTGGTTGTGGATTTGGGAGCAGAATCGTTAGCGGCCCAGGCCAGAATTCCTTGATCAATGGCGTGTAAATGGCGGGTATCGGATCCGTAGACTCAACATTGCCGTTTACCTGCCCAGAGGGCTTCACCAAACTCCGGAGCATAGTGAGGTCGCAGACGTGAATGATGAGTGGATTGTCTGAGGGTCGACCCTTTGCCTTGTAGATCCCCTTCACAGCATCACTCCTTGTAGCATCTGCACCCAAGCCGTACACCGTTTCTGTAGGAAACCCAACTGGTATGTTGCTCTTTCGAAGATGTAGAGCAGCTTCTCGAAGGGGTTCGAGGCTAGATTGATCTCCAGGGAGCTCCCAAGTTTCCAATGTCTGTCGGTCTTTGAAATTTCCCAGGTCGTTGGTATTAACGGGAAGGATGCGAGTCCTCAGGAGATTGCCGTTGGTCTGACTCAACGCCATCTTGAAGAATTTCTGCAGTTGTCCTGCCAGATGTCCTGCTACCCTTTGACGGGATTGATCAGCCAGTTCGAAGAAAAGCAACCCTCTATCGCGGTATCCTGCGACTTCTGCGTTTGAATGAACCGAGAAATGGTGTTTGGAACGCCTTTGACATTCTTATGCTTTCAAGATGAGAGTGTGGTTCCTTATTGCAACATTGATGGTGGTTGGTGGCCGATAGATAGTGGTTTTGTGTCCCTGAGATCTTTGTGATGCTGCGAGGTTGTGATGACTCAAGGGGGTACGAGTAAAGAAAGAAAGAAAAATTGACAGGGCTACGAATTTAGCGCGAGGCTGGCACTCGCTTAGCTTCCAACCTCCACTGAACTTCATCTCTTCTTCGTCATCCTTGAAGTGCTAACAAAACCCCCTTTGAAAGTTGTACAATTCGAATCATTCCATTCCAGATGAAGCCCCTCGATTTTGTGTTCATTGGATGCTATAACCTAGATACTCGCTCAGTGAAGGCGCCATTTTGGGGACAAGTGTGGTTTAGAACCCCTCACCTGCAGATAGACAAGGTGCCGTCTTCCGCCTCGATAGAGGATGAGTGCGAGTGCTTCCCTAAGTCTTTCATGTTCAATTAATTTCCTCTCTGTTGTTTGAAGGCCAACAAAGGAGCTAAACTACTCTCAAATCATTTGAAGAGCTGTGGTGTCAGTCGGCAGAAATTTAGTGGCAATCAACTGCTGTACCATCTGCAGGGAGTTAGGGGGTGGTGACTTGTTGTTTGCGTTCTGCTGGTACGATGCAGTCTGCATCAAGCAGAGAGACAAAATCGGGAAGTCTGTCTTATTCTTACAGCCTCAAATCAGTAAGCAGTCGATATTTTACACTCTTCCAGCGGGAGTCTGTGACCGCTGACACTACGGGTGAGCCCGAAATTACAGCACAGTCTCCTCAGATTGCCGCATATTTGGTGCAATTGATCTGGCACGCGATGACACACTCTTCAATGCAATCTGGCTGTCATTACTCAAATCCCACCTCACGGGAGGTTTTCCGACTTCACGTCGGCCACCAACACATCTTTCGGCTACAGAAGTAAGTTTTCTTAGAATATGCAAGTTCAGGCGTCTGTTCGAAGTTTTGATAAGTGATCTTGACATGGATAAAAAATATTGGTTATTTTCATTCGTTCTCGTGGTCCTCTTAATGGGCTCTCGCGCAAGTCCCTTTGCATCTTCAAATCCCACTCCTTTTCTCCATTCCTGTTTGTTCCTATATACTAGAGTACATTTCTCACCTACTATAACCTTAAGAGTCATGGTTCTGAATTGTAGAATAATCGCTGCTCCTCTAGCCAATCGTGGGTTTTTAGGGCGGCCCCACGATCGCCAATTTCATCCGCTGCTGTCATAACTGAAGTGCCCCAATCAAAATTAACATATTCTGTGTAGTCCTGATCAAAAGACGCAAGGGCATGGTCTTCCGGTAAATTCCCTTCATCATCTTCTATCTCAAGCAACGATCTATTGGTCTCCGCTAGAAAGCGCACTACCTCAAATCGACCTTCTTCCAGACGGGTTGGGAGTTCATAAAAGCCAGCAGCAGCTAGGTGCAGGGCTGTCCGGCCATGTCTGTCTTGAGCTGATATATCTGAGCCAAGTTCCAGCAGCAATTTGACCATTTCGACGTCTCCGACCTCAGCAGCAACTAACAACGGAGTCTTCCCTTCAGTATCCGAGGTCGAAAGGGACATCCCCCTCAAAAGGAGCTTGTAGACAAGATCGTACTGCTGTGAAGAAGCAGCCATGTGGATCTCCGATGTTTCCTTCTCAGTGGGGAGCGGGGGCTCATGGATATCATAAGCACCAGTTTCGAGAAGTATTTCAACGACACCATGTAGGTTACACATGATAGCACACACTAGTGGTGTTAGAGACTCTGTGTTCCTGTCTCTGCCCACCGCTCCTCGATCTAATAAGTATCCACAGATTATCTCTCTGTTTTTCTCGGAGATAATGGGGTACTGGATTTTGCCGTAACCCGCCGCATAGTGTAACGGAGAAGCTCTTTTGTTGTCTTTGATTTCTGCATCTGATCCATTATCTAATAATAACTCTGTCATCTCAAAGTTCTCCGTGACAACTGCCCAATGCAAGGGCGTGAAACCAACGGCATCTTGTAGCTTGACATCGGATTTCGCTGCAAGCAATAATGTCGCCACGTTGAGGTCGCCATTCTGCGAGGCATAATGCAGAGGTGTCTTTCCGTAATGTCGCTCTCTCGTGGGAATGAGATTGCGAAATGGTGGTTGCTGATCGAGGTTCTCAAAGCGAAAGTTAGGTGTTGCATAAACATCTGCGCCATTTTTGAGTAAAAAGTCTACAATAGGGGTGCATCCAGACTCAGTTGCCTCCAGAAGAGCTTCAGACAGTAAGAGTTTGACCGATATCTTCTCTACGCTGGTGGGATGTAAGTGTGTTCGAGTGTAATATTCGACAAAGGGTAGGCAGCCGCTTCTAGAGGCAATGATGAACATGTGCTCGGGAGTTTGGATCGTGTGAGACCTCCTGCTCATAGCTCGACATATCGACCATTTTGACTGGTCCTCTTTCATCGCTTTGATGCTTTCGTGGGTGTTTCGAATGCGCCGATCAGATGCGACGAAGAAGAATTCCGGTGGCCAAGGCCAGCGCCAGCTCTTGTTTTCAGAAAAGCGTAGTAACTCGGCACATTGGACGGAATGTTGCGACCAGAAATCGCAGGCGTAGTGGCAAAGTGCATTCGCTTGGGGTTTGCGAATCTTGGTTTCATTCTTTAACTCGCTGTGAATGCCTTCCTTAATTTGAACACTGAACAATATCTTGCCATTGAACGAAACCCCAATAGGAAAGCATTCAAGCTTGACGTCTCTCATATCGTCTAGCTGAAGATTCCGAATGAGGGTCGTGAATACTTGGAGATGACTTCGACTGGGGTTAACGTTTATGCAGTCCATCAGGATTGAGTGGCAGAGATGAACGGTTTGGTCTCCTTTGATGGTTTCCTCATATCGTAGAAAGGACGAGCAATGTCCTAAGTAAACATCTATCTCTCTCAGACTTTCTTCGTCAGGCAAGCTGGTCGCCTTTGGGTGTCTGAATAACCAGTGCGCTGTGGCAAGTTCCATGACTGTCAGTGGGCGGAATGCTGTGCTGACAAGCATTAAGATGTGCTCTACATCTGTGCGAAACTCTATATTAATATTCGCAAGCAGTTTGGCGTAGAGCTGGGCCATGCCCGAGGGTAGTTGAGCCACTAGCTTTTCGGCTTTCCAAGGTGGCTTTTTCTTCATTTCTTGCGTGGCAAGCGACACCCAAAGGAACGTACTTTCGCAGCGCGAACTAAGTGCCTTTTCAATTCTTGCGACTCGAGCTTCGCTAAATCCAAGATTCACTAGATCCGCAACTTGCTTCTTAATGTAGAGTTGCACATCGTGGCCTGAAGTAGCCTTATTCAGCTCAAGCTGCAAGACAAAGGGCGTAAATTTCTGCTCTGTGTTTCCAGGCAGAGGCCTCGACGTTACGAGTAATTTGAGCTTTCGTCTAGAGTTTTCATTGCGGTGATGCGAGGCGTGCAACAGTTGATGAAGGAGATCCAGGAAAAGATCGCGGGAGCTTTTTTCACATTCATCGAGCCCGTCAAGGACGCAATAGAATGTATCATGCGAATCGTCATTAATCATAGCGGAGAAGATACGCCAGAGTGTTGTAAAGCTCTCGTCCGAGAAAGGCGGGAGGTCTGAGGATTTCCGCATCAAATAGTCGTCCATAATATGCACGAATAGTTGAGGTTGTTTTCGAAGAAGCTGGTAAATGAGGGTCCGGAGCATCGCAGCGGCTGTGTTTTGACGTGTTCTGATATCCCAGAAGAAATATCCAACCGTTGTCTTTTCCTTTTCCTCAGACATATGTTCCAATTCCTTGGTCATGAACAAGGCGAGCATAGTTTTACCTTGACCAGGCGTCCCAGAAATCCAAAGCAAAGAGGAAGATGGGACTAGCCACTTTATATACGAAACGTGACTCAGAAGCCATGTGCATGTTGACTCGACTCTCGTTTCTTTGTGATGTGCGAGCATCATCCGATAGTCGCCAGGGTTGACTGTGCAGAGAGAATTGAGGCAGTTCAGTTCCTCGCTGGAATATGAGGGCCGCATGGCTAGATTTTGGGTTTAAGTCAGTAATTTTTCTGAGATGGGTCATTATCCCGGGGCAATACACCGCAAGAAATAAGACTTGTGAGCTTCCCGGGGCAAAATCAATGGTTCTACCATAACAAACAACTGAGAAATACCCCAACAAAGTAATTTGGTGGTGAGGTGCCATTTAATCCATATTCTCTTTTCCCAATAACGATTCCAAGAACACGATTATCTTCTGGATACACCGGTCACATTTTCGCCGAGTTTCTGCGAGGGTCATGTAAGATGCGGTCGCGGCCTCAACATCTCCTGTTGCATCCCACTCTTCAAGTCCGATATCTGCAAGCTTCTGATGTACTGTGAAGCGGAAGTACAGGTCAGACCTTGCCATTGATTCGTGAGAATCTTCAAATGCGTTCGCAGCATCGTCTGACGCCGTCACTATCTCTCGAAGTGCTTTGATAATGGAAATGATGTTGCCCTCAAACTTGGGACCTGGAGCGCTTCCAGTACCAATACTGATAACCAAAGCATCATTTATTCTGTTAGGCCATATTATGCTTGCTTCGAAATGGACCATGCTTATTGGATTGTTGCTTTTGATGCCTCCGTCAATGTACTTAACTTTCTTTGAACCAATTTCGATTGGGTCGAAGAATGTTGTCGCAGCGGACGTAGCTCGGCAAGCCTCCCATATTTTGCAGACTGGATATTGTGCATCGTAAATTTTTGTTTCGTAAGACCGCAGAGCATGAGCCTTGGAATCGCTGGCTTGAACTGTGCAAACGAAACTAGATATCTTAAGGTTAGCTAGGCCGCTACGAAGGCAAATACCTCGCAGGTGATGCGTATATACGTACACTTTACAAGCAGGATCATCGTCCTTGAGGGTGGCGTCTTCCGGTAGATGACCCCCTTTAGTGATGATCTCCTTGATGGCTGCTTCTAGCTCTTCTCCACTAAACTTTTCTCCAGCATCCCAAAAGTTCTTTATTCGATGTGGAATATCCACAGGATTATATTTCCGTTGAAATATACGTTTGCCTAAATCTAGATAGGCCTCTTCACACTGATCCAGAGTCATCCGTAATCGGCCAATCATTACAGCAATTAGGCCCCCGGTGCTTGTCCCGCCAATCATGTCGAAAACCTCCCACGGTTGAAGTTTATCTCCCACTTGGCGATCTGCATTGATGCCTTTCATGATGTGCTTTAGAATTGAGATCGAAGACAGGCCTCGAATGCCGCCTCCGTCAAGAGACAGCAGGTGAAGCCGGCGTTGTGATGTCGCCATTGTCGATTGTTCAATTTCTTCCTGGAAAGTGAGCTTCTTGTGGGGAAGATGGGGATTCTATCAGATGCCCACTTCTGAAGGTCTCGTTATTTGACGACCCTTTAGTACTGTGGCCTTCGACGTTGCGTGGAAGTAGCATATTCAGGTGGTTTTTGATAGAATCGAGGCTTTGGCCGTGAGTCGGCTTTTGCAGATTTCGCCTCGGTGAGGCTGACGCGAAACCCACCCAGGACTCTCAGGATCATGAGATTCTTTGTCGTTGATCAGCAAAATCTACAAGCAAACACCAGATCCCCTAGATCATTTATCAGTGTCAAGGTGTCTATTAAGCTTGCGCGAAACTTACACTGGAAGAGAGCAATGTCCTCTGTCAACCATGTTGCTCACCCGCCTTCTTTTAGTCCTTGAACGAAAATATCCGCTCTCACGTGGTTCTTTTGGGAACGTGGCTTGTTGTTCTGGAGGCGCATCGCAGTCATGTAACACACCTTACGAACAAGACACTGCCAACAATTCGACTCTCCCCGATTCCTCGATTATCACATTCCTCTTGGACTCCTTGCAAAACTGTTGATAGCCTTGGTTTGCGCTAAGGTGACTGTTCTATCCGCATCTACTCGTTGGAACTGAGTGTACGCTGGTACACTGTAGTTTATATACTGGAGTATATAGAGTGCTTACCCCGCGTGAGCTGAGAAATCAAGTCGTCAACCTCCAAAAATAGTTCAACACTATTGTCGAGAACTATGGAAGACACGCTGTTTTTCAGGTTGTTCTCGACCCAATGATCAATAGCAAACGATGCGGCTATGAGATCAAGCTTGATCACCCGGGGTCTATTTGATAAGGAACAATCAAATGCGAACTTAGAATCTGATGGCGACAGTTACTAAAGCAATGCTAGTCGCACTCTAAATCAGCACGCACTTTTCGAGAAGAATCAAAATTATGTCAGCTAACAAGAGCTGTCTTTTCACCCTTACTCGCTCTCCTTTGCTACTATATTTTCTGGTGGGGGCAGACCAGTAGAGCTCTAAATTAGCAACGAAATAATTCTCGTTGCTGGAGTTCCAGCTCCCTAGTACTTCGTCTGCAATTGCAACTAAATGGCAATTTCAATATTGTGAGCGCCACACATTGTGTCAAATAATTTAATTAGTTATAATTATCGGCTGGTAATTAAATTCAATTAGTTAAGAAATTAATAATCAAATCATAGTAAAGTACCTAATTAACTAGTCACGTGAGCTTATAAAAGAAGCAAAGAGTTAAGAAGCTATATAAGACTTAAAATAAAGCTCAAATAAGATATTATATAACTTTAACTTAAAGAATATAAGAAGAAGAAATAATTACGTGAGTTAGAAAAAGACGAGAAAAAGAAAAGTTGTAAAGAAAGAATAAAAATTAATAAAAGGGCTTTTAAATATCTTTTTAAATAAAAGAAATACTTTTCTTTTATATATACCTCTTATAAAATATATATTTAAATTAAGGTAATTAGCTTTTAGTTTTAAAAACCCAATTAAATTATATTTAGTTACCTTAATTATTTTTGATATGCTCGTAATATATGAGCTCGAATATAGCGAATACTTTAAAACAAATCAGCTAAACAATATCGTAATATTTAAATACTTTGCAAGTACTATAAGTCAAGATAATCTGCGAAGGTGAGAAGAAAGGCATGAAAAATTTGATCTTGTCATTATAATTTTACCTCAGTGAAGAGTCGGCTCTTTCATGGAAATCCTAGTGTGTCCCTTGATGGAAATCAATCCCAGGTAAATCCTTGATCAACTAGCCTATTCACCAATGACCCGGTCCCCTGAACGAAATGTGTGATTTATGAATAGACTAACCAGTTCATAGAAGTCGACTATACACTAGTTGCCCGGAACACATTTCATGCGCTTGGCATACTCAAATCCCAACCCATTTCTCTATCTCTCTCATTCCTTATCCAGGCGTACATTTTTCTCCTATTAGATAACCGACGGTGTCATGACTCTGTACCACAGTCTTGATCCCCCCTTTTCTACACCCAAGACTCTTCCCTGTCCAGATATCCGTGGTCATAAACGCATCCGAGTCAGTGTCCAAATGCGGAATTTCACCCCACAAGATCTCTCTTGTAGCAGACGTGTCCAAGCCATTTAATGCTAATGTTAGGATTCCTCTCGTTGATTTTCCACTCCAATATTCTGCCGGGTGCGTAGCATTGAAAGTCCAATTAGGGTTCGTCCCCCATTTGTATGGTATTGCAGGAGCGCCATGGACTTGATCCTGACTGAACGACAACAAGTACTTGTTCTTTAAGATGTTGACATGAGTATCAGGCAAAGATTCCAGGGTTGTGCCAATGATCAGAGGGCTTTTCATCGCAGCCCAAAATGCAAAATGTGATCTGGTTTCTGCTAAAGTCAGATTTCCATTTCCGACCTCAAGCATGTCGGCGTCATTATGGCCCCAAAAGTTAACACTATTGAGGAGGAATGAATTCTCGTTCAGGATCTCAGCAACACGCGCCCACTACGGGTTAATACCACCAGAGATCCGCCAGGAACTACCGGTTGCATTTCCCCATTGCTGTACGTTTGCTTGGCCCCATTCGCACAAACTGTACAGTATCGTTCGATTCTGTGCTAGCAATGCGTCGCGCATAATGTTATATCGATGTGAGGTATTGCTCGACGCCCAGTCATACCCAATGGGAGCATCGCTGGCAGATACACCGCATGGTCCGTTCACATACGGTCCATACTTCTGCCATTGATCAGGGACGCAAGCCGTATATGTGTCGATCCAACCATCAGGAACGTAGCAGTTGTCATACTTGAAATAGTCGATTCCCCAGGCCGCAAAGGCTGCGGCATCAAGCTGTTCATGACCAATCTGCGCTGGGTACCCTCCACATGTTTGTGTGCCAGCGCTACCGTAAATGCCGACCTTTAGGCCAAGAGCGTGGATTCGATCGGCGACGCCTTTAATCCCCGATGGAAATTTTGCTGGATCAGGGATGATTTGACCGGTGGAATTATCGCGACCAGTTTTGGCGGCCCAACAATCATCAACTGCAAAGTTATCAGTGGGAAACGTAATAGAATTTGATAGCTTACTATTCACGTATTCATATCCAACGTCTTTGAAACCGAGGGCGATCATTTGATTAGCAGCGGCTATGACTTTTGTCTCATTGATATTGCATCCAAAGGCGTTCCATGAGTTCCAGCCCAAGGCGTGAAGTTTTCCCTGTATGAATCAGCACGATTTCATCTATTCATAAGAGACACTTACAACCCCATCCTCCAGTACTAAAGCTGCGACAGCCCGTACTAAAAGGGCAGCAAGAGAAATAGAAGTGTACATGTCCGTCTGTAGGTCGAAGAAAAGTCTCAGACTGGCTGTTCCTGGAGTATACCAGTGCGTCTACTGGCGCTTCACCATTCTATATATCTTAAACCCTTCAAGCTTTATCTTCGCATCTCGAATCAAGCACGGATAAGTAGCCCGTGGATATTCGCCTTAGAGGAATTTTTCTCCCAAAATCAGTTGGTGGAGTGCTTGACGTCCACTTCCCCGCATTCCCGAAGTCCACCAAGTCTTAGCATTCATGAAGCCAACTTAGAATTTCGTATCATTGAGGGATGTCCGTTTCTATGCAACCAAATGATTCGTTCCTTTTGTAGAAGCTGCGCCACTCCGTCCAATTAACCTACATTTCTCGGACCATTTGCACGAATATTCATAGGTTATTTCTTCAGCGCTGCCACCGGACAATCTCACTGGAGCAGATTTTCCGTCATTAAGAAAGCACTTCGTCGGAAGTACAAGCCCTTGGGAGCCTTTCCCGCTTCGTCTCGTAGGACGATCCTCCGCGAATTAGCAAGCCTTCCCCAGCACTAAAGAATCGTATAGGGCCTGAGGTGTGAAGCTGAGCGCCGAGGTATTCTCAAATCTTTGTACTTCAAAACCTCCGTATAGCAGGATGGTAATTTGCGGCCGGGATGACGGTCCGGCCTCATGCAATGTGGATACTTTAAACTGGATGAACTGAGATATTACGATCGCTTAAAGTTTCTTCGGCATTGAAAAGCAAGATTATTTGCGAAGTGGAGCAGTAGGTCGCAAAGGTGATGAGATGATCGAATAAAAATCCAGTTTCAGTACAAGACCATGTATGGTGAAAGAACGTTACAATGCCATTGGAACTCCAAACTTCACGCGCGTGCTCTTTCACCTCAGGTACCTGCATTTCGTCCATCTTCAACCCAACAGCTGTCCTCAAACGAGCGTTCCTCAAACACCGTGAAACGTCAACAATGTGTTGCCCCTGTGGGCTACATCTTGCTTCCCGTCACAGTAGCCAGTGTGCTCGACCTCCCATCCTTCCCTCTCCCGCTTCCATATTGACTAGGGCTGATGTTAGATGGGCGACCAGCACCAGCGGATTTATACCATGTTGAGAACCGAACTTCAACGTATTCGATCTCCTCTGAATGATTCTCAATGACATAAAGAAAGACATCCTTTCTGCCTGGGCTAATTGTCATTGTCTCTGCGGCGTTGGTGCCAGATATGGTCTTGGTATGGTGCTGCTTGGTATGTGTAGATGAACTGCAGGGGCTCGCAACTGGTGGCGAGTTGCTTGAAGATGTTGTGTAGACTCCATTTCCATTCCCAGAGCCAGAAAGGGTCCTAGTAACAATCGACACATCTCCAGCGGCGTCTATTGTGGTAGGAAACTCGATCTCGGTAATGGTAGCGCCGGCTATGCCGGTGGTGACAACGGTGACGGTTCGAGTGATACTAGTCAATCCAGAGCTCGTGGTATTTAGCCAAGTGCCTTTGCTGCTTGGAAGGCCTTGAATAGTGTAAGATGGCCGGGCGGAGACTCTATCTCGTGCAAGTTTTATTGCTTGGTGTGGTTTTGCAAGCACATGGCTCGCGCAGATGAGGGAGAAAAAAAGAATGATGTTCCGTAACATCTCGAAAAATAAGATTCAGGTTGACCTTAAAACAAAGGACCTGGAGAGAGAAAGGATCCCGGTAGCGATAAAGGTCAGAGATGTAGGAAAGTGATGGGTTTGAGAGATAATTTGTTTGGAAATATTACCCAAGTGACGGGGACGGAGCGTTTCCTTTATAAAATTTTCTCCCACAAAAATAAATACCACAACATATTCCCATGCCTCGGAGCATTACGAACACTCAAGACGCGTACACCGGAGGTCAGTTTTTGGGCTAAAGTTCAGGCAGTGCCTCCAATAACTGAAGCTCGTCTTACGACTTCGACGGCGTCTTCTGCAGGTCACAACAAATCCGTCTCTCTGAAACACCGAAGTCCTCTATTAACAGAAATACACCAACATTACCAATAATACCTCAAGGCAGTATGGAGAATATATAGAACCAACGACCGGAATTACAGGCCCCCGGGCCGCTGTTGGGGGTCTTCAGGGGTCAATGTTGTCGTCGGTTCAGGGGAGATGTGGCGCAGTTCCCTGGCCATGCAGGTAGCCGTCAGATCCTTCGATTCCTTTGATCCCGCATGGCGCCATCCATCCAACAAGATGAAAATATCTAACAGGTTTAGATTAGTTATTAAAAGCAATTTGCGTTAACTTCATGATTTCACGAAAAAGAGTGCTTGCTTCAAGGCAGAAAATTTGCAGAAATGCAAGCAGGGTAAAATTCTAAGCCACAATATTTTTGACCCTCAACACTACAAATATTGAGACACTTTTTTGGTGCTTTGTGCTAAAAATTCTTACGTTATCCAAAATAAATATGGAAATAATTGAATATATTTAGCTCACATTGACACTCAATGCGTCGCTATTTCGGATTTTTGAAGTGTTTGCTATGATCTGGCCAATTAAGACTTGTCAGAATATCACGTGGGACCACCTACCACTTTGCTTGCTGAAACACAGCCTCTTATGCAGTGTCTAGGCCCTTACCAACAACGAGTGGCTCCAGAGCTGGCACAAAAGTTCTCGCCTTCAACACCGTCGGCAGGAAGTCCTTACACATAGTCTTCCCAACCTCGTTGCCCTTGATCGATGTCCTGAAAATATGCTTGATACCCAGACCTTCGGGCGGAGTAGGAAATCTTGACCTAGTGGTCGTCACAAATTTGTCGCTGGTCGATTTGTGCACCACATCAGTACAGACTGCAGTGGCTGCACCTCCAATGCAGTCGAAGACTCCAGCAATCGTCTTCCCCTTGAAAGCAGCCACAAGATCGTCGCAGACAGTTGGGCTATGGTAATCAAAGACTTGACTAGCTTCAAGCACCTTCATCTACTCGAAATCCTTCGGCGAAGCGGTTGTAACGACCCCATACCCAACCGCAATTGAACCGCATTACCCCAGACACTGTCCGCACCACCCCAAACCAATAGCTTCTTCCCCGGATCCTTTCGCTTCAGCTCGGTCAGCATCTGCAAGTTCAAAAACTCGCCCTGAAATAGTTCGCTCGCAGCAGTTGAGTAGCCCAATGGGATAACAGCAGCCTTCTCGAATGTCATATCATCCGGAAGTTCAGATGCCATGTTCGTCTGCACCACCGTGTAGGATTGGAAGCCCATGTGCTGGTTCTGCTTGGTGGCCATTCCCACCCCATGCCCTATAACGCGATTACCAATCTTGAAGCGTGTGACATTGTGTCCTATGGCTGCGACAATGCCCGTGACGTCTTGCCTGAAGATTGTGGGGCAGTTGAGAGGGAACCAGCCACGGGTTTGGATTGTGCCATCGACGAGGTTGATCGCTAGGGTGTGGTTCTCTGTAAAGATTTCATTTCTTCGAGTCCATGTCGGGGCGGAATTGACTTTGAGGGGGTCAGCTTTCAGGGAGGTAATTCAAGCTGCAGGGTTAGATGCTATCTTGATGGTCTTGATGCTCGAGCTGTGCTTTCCGCGAGCGCTTCGATAGACTGCAAAGGAGAAGATGAGCTATAAATTCAAACGTAAACTCTCCAGGTAGCTGGAAGTTGTCAAGAATACATATGTCTACCAGCCCTCGCCTTCTCCTTCTCCAGCAGATTTTCCGAGCTCGTAAGGACCAAACTCCGTTCCGGAGAGAAAGCCATCATTCAGCGCTCAACGTTAACAATTTGAAGCAATATGAGGAGCTCAGGAAAATGTACTTGCAAGTTCTTCCTTCAATCAACGGACAACTCAAAAGTCCGTGACTGAGAATAATAGGAGACCGCGCAACGCCAACCGAAAATGGGAAGATGCATGAGTCGCGACTGGGTGCGAGGATGGGTCTCAACGTCAACGACACCGCTCTTGGGTCTTCTTTGCGTTAAAATTTGGAGATTAAAGTTCTGATAGTCGCGAATCCGATTGAAGAGAAACACATCCTGGAACTCCTGTCAAACTCAGAGCAACAATTATCAGACTTCCTCCGGCTAGCGTTAAGCGCTTCACCTCCCACTTCAAGATCCTCAGGAGCGTCTGCTTCAAGGGGTAGAATCAACAATCGCATCATCTTTCGTCTTGTAGGTAGCGGCTTTGACAAGTCTCGAGCACTATTCGGGCGAGAATGCTAGTTTAGTCATAAACAGATCCAACATTGTCTCAAGTTAGACCTTCTGTAAACCATGACAACAGTTCCTCATAGGTCGCGGCTTGCTCTTCTTGAGTTTCTTGACCTTCGGTGTTGTTCGTGATATAGCCAACAGAGCCGGCGTGAACCTCTCCCTGCATGCCATTGCGGCTTTTTTGACTCTGCGATTTGAGCCGTGTAACAACATCACCGAATTCCATCACAATCCGCGCACAATCTGCAGCGGATTCGTTCCTCTGATCCCCAGCCTTCTGCAGATAGCCCACCAGAATATTGATGCTATCAGTATGCTCCGCCGCATCATTCAGCAGAGAAGCGAGTTCTAATACAATGGCAGCGTTGAAAGGGAAGTGGTAGTCGAAGAGAACGGCGGTATGATTCGTGAGAAGGAGTCGTTGTACCAGTCCTGTAATTTCATGAGCAGCAGCAGCACAGGTTTCGACGTGGGAGGCGTTCCAGGTCTGGCGGTGCTGGTACGTCGGAAGGTATTTTGCTGCGACTGATTGCTTGGCTGCTTGAAAGAGGGAGGGCCGGGTACAAAGGATTATGAGCTGAATTTTGAGTTAGTTGAGAGAAACTGGAAAACGTGAAAAAAAAAAACTTACCTGATTATATATCATGTGAAGAACGAGGCTTGCTCTCTCGCCGGCTTCAATTTCTCCTTGTACTTGCAGTGATGAAGGCAGGTCAGCTTTCCATAAGGAGAGCTTTTGGAGGGCTGTATCTGCTCGAGTGAGAGTCTGGGGATAGTTGAGGCCAGTGCTGGCTATTCCATAGACACTGTTGACTATTTCGTCCATTATAAGTGCCAGTTGAGCATGCGCACGAAGCCCCGTGGCCAATGGGAGGTCGATATCGACCTATAGTTCTCAATCTCAATACCAACTCTGGCGGGTTGGTTAAACGGCACATACCATGTGGACCGGCATATCTACAGTAATTGCCTCTCGAGGCAGCGTGGTCGGTCTCCCCATAAGGCAGCTTAACCACCTTATTACACTTTGTCAGCGCTTATTCCACAGGCGGAGAAGAAATCTTACCGATCCAGAATAAAGGTATTCCAAAATTCCCTCTTCGTTTGCTCCTCCGACCGTCCAGCTTTGTGGAGCCCATGTATGACAGAAATCCGCACAGCAAGTCCAATATAAGTGAAGGCTGCGTCTCTACGATACAATCCAAGTAGATACTGACCCATGAGGCATAACCCACGCATATAAGATAGACTCGTGTCTTCCATCGGATTAATGAGAAAGAACTTCGCACGAGCAAAGAATGTTTCGCCAGGATGTGTTTCCCACGGTAAGCCAAGAGATGGGTCGTATTGGCACGCAAGTGCCATGATAGCATTCAAATTACACAGCGTATCCATGCCTTCTCCCATTTCTGTAATACGAGCTGCTTGCCGTCGCGCCTTCTCTTGAAGCTGTTCCAGATTGCCCCAGTAGTAGATTCCTCCGCATTGAGACAAGCCGCTCCCGTCTCCCGCATAAAATCGAAAAATCGAAACAAGCTTAGATATTTCCTCCGGTTCTGGGAGAAAGAAAGGGTCAATATTTGGAAGCATCAATGGCCTAGAGTCATGGGTGTGATATCGGCCGAGAAGTGATGTGAAAATTTCGTCTTGTAGAGGCAAAGACCAGCCATCCCTTCTCTCGAGCAGCGGAAACACAGTCCCAACAAATTCTCGGAGACGATCGATGAACGCCGCACCTGACGACTCGCCAAGATATCTGGATTGGCCTTCGGCATCCCTCAAGATTCTTCCATCGCCAGCCTCTCCTTGCTCATCGGGAGGAGGACTGCCATTTGAGTGTGCTGGCTCTGTTGTCTGAGCTGACTTGGACCATTTTGCTACCAGCACTTCACGATTGCTTTCTGAAGGAACAGCGTCTGTGAGACAGCGTTCCAAGAGCATGCATCGCGCTTGAAGTTCTTCGTATGTTTCTTTCGGTACAAGGACCCTCTCCTTGGGAGGAGGATACTTGCAAACTCGCGAGCTGGATATGCATCGTGAGCAAGGCTCTTCTCCAGAGCACTTGACTCTCCTGATATTGCAGGCATTGCACCTGTTCAAAGTTAGTGAAGAGTTTCAACTGCGGGTCCCTTAGAAAGGGCTTGATTTACGCTTGGGTGGCTCTCTTGCGTTCCCCTGTTGGAACCTTTCGGCGGCGTGGATTCGGAGGTAACCGAACTCCCTCGGTCTCAGGTGCACTGTTTTGGCTCCTGATTGACATAGTGCGCCCAGTAGGGTCTTGGTACAGAATTTGGGGAATTTCCACAAGTGAAATGTACTTTAATGATGCGAATAAATGGCGATCAGTGGAAGTGGGGTGAGCGATGCGGGGTAACGAGCCTACCCGAGAAAGTCTGTTTTTAGGGCAATTCGCTAATAACTATCCACCCACGGGAATTTTGACAGTTTTACCTTATATCGCAATTATTTAGAATAGGGTCTTTAAACTCGATTTGGTTCCTTTTATCTTATGTGCTCGAGTTAAAAGGCGGTATACTTTTTAGTTATTATATGAATAGAAGGCAAAGTCATTGACTTCGGTTTCGAGAGGACCGGGAATATCGCTAAAAATACAAGACTTTCTCGGGTAGGCTCGTAATCTGATTGGGTGTCCGCTTGCGGGAGTCCCCCCAACACTTGACAATATCACCCCTTCCACCATATCAATTCCCCTCTGCTGAAATGAAAAAAGAGATTCAGAAGTATTTATTTGAGATAACCTATGTCTTCTACCCTATCGATTAAGATCTAGATCAAGTCCATTGAAGTGTTCTTAGATAATTAAGCGAACATGCCACTCTCACCAAGATGTGATTTCCGCTTTGTTGTAACTACGTTCATTGAACTATGTTCATCAAGAACAATGTTCAAATCCTAGATGGCATTTACAAGCCGTACACGAATGTCAATTTCCGATCTCCAAACCTCTTCTCGCTCAATCTCTCCTCCTCAATCTCTGCTTCAGACCACCCTTCAGTTCGTCTTGCTCTCCACTTGTTGACTGCCAACAATGTGTATCGATACGCGAGATATCCAAGGAATGCAGTCGCAACAAATCCCAGTGTGGCGTAGAAAGGTATCAAATAGCGAGGAGCGTATTTTGCTTGGAATAGCTCGGATCCAATGATACCAGCCAAGTTCCCAAAGCCGTTCACGCCGAGTACAAGTGATCGTTTGCCTGGCTCGGGAGTATTTCCACTGAGCCAAGCTGCAGTGAGGGGCGCAGACACGTAGCTTCCAAATGTGAGAATGCAAAGGCCGGCGTAACGACTCTTTTGATGGCTGACGGTGACGGTAATAATCAGACCCACCAAGCAGACCAGCAAGCCCCCAAGGATATGAAAGCCTCGCTCACGTCGGTGATCTGAATGCAGAGCGAAGATGTACAATCCGACAGCACCGCAGACATAAGGCGGAACGGACATTAGGTTTGCCGTGATTGATTTGTAACCAAGACCTTTCACCACCAGCGGCAAGAACACCGAAAATGCTTGTCCTGGGATACTGGCGCATATGTTGAAGAAGAGAATATACCACAGCTTCCAGTCCTTAGCTGTTTCGACAATATCACGTTTCGAGAGGCGTTCAGTCGGCCTCTCAAGGCCATCCTTGCCGTATTGGTGCTGTACATAACGCGCGCCGTCGATTTGTATCCGGTTTGTGCTGAATAGTCTCTGCTCAGGGGTAAGAAACCACGCGGAACCGGGGCCCATCGGCAACCAAAACCAAGAAATAATCGCAAAGAAGCAGGTGAGTGCTCCCTCGATGATGAACAGATACTGCCAATTGTGTAAAGCACCGTCAAGTTGAAATACTCCATAAGCTGGTTGATGTTAGGTCATCTACTTGCGAAGTTCTATTTTCGCACGTACCAATAGCGCCCGAGAAGGCTCCAGCAATTGCATATTGCCCATAGAAAAGAGCTATCCGGACAGCAAGATCAAAACGAGTGTAAAATGTGGAGAGATAAAACACTGCAGTCGGGTAGAAACCAGCTTCGAAAAGGCCAATTAAAAGTCGAACGGCAATGAGTTGAGCTGTGCAGCATAAGTACATGCGGAAGCCATGTTAGAGAATTTGATAACTTACCACGCCCATGAATGAAAGCATGACAGATGGTGAGAACACCCCAACCGAACTGGAGAAGGTTTTAGTATAAATGCACCGATGGCAAGATGTCCTTCATACCATGATGACTGGAATCCAATTTTTGGCACCGATTCGGCGGCCAACGGCTGAGGATATAGGCTGGAAGATAACAAATGTGATAAAGAATAGTGACACGGAGAGATTGAGATCGCTGGATTGAGCTCCGATATCATTGGTGAAGCCTGAAGTGATGTTAATATAATTCCGATTACCCGAGGGGAATTCAAACCTTGCGTTTGAGCATTTCCGACATTCCCTCTGTCCAAACCGTTGAAAAGGTACAACAGGGACATGAATGGCAGAAGGAATATGTCGAATTTTACGTTCAGTGCGCTGCTCATTGCCTTTTCTTCCACAGTAACTGGGAAGTAGCCTGCTGGAACCTCCGCATTGTTGGTTGGATCGGTTGTTGGGAGAAGGTCTGCTGGTTTCTCGAGTTGATCTGAATGAAGAACATCGCTCTTGTGAGCTTCTGTGTGCTTGAATGGAGTCATCTTTGGAGAAACGATAGACGTGTAACGTATGATGAGAAAGGTCAAGCAATGAGGTGATTCAATTTGGGCTGGTGTCCTCAGTATTTATAGACTTTCCAGGCACAGAGCTGATGAGTTCTCCACATGCTATTTCCCCGCAACAATTCCTGGTCCTTGGAGTTGGAAGCGGACCCCAGCTGAGAGGTACGATGGGTACTGTACCCGATTACCGTTTCTTTCCGGTTGGTCAGTCGGCGATTGTTTTCCTCCGTTGTGATAGGCATTCTGTCCAACAGTGAAAAAACTGTCATGAAATCAAGAATCGATTGGCGTGGCGAACGGTTTTTGCCCGGGTGCTGTACCCGAACCCCACTACCCCACCTTACCCCTGACCTCGGGTACAGTACCCTTCCGCCACCACCTTTAACACTTTCTACACCTGTCATGAAGGCGTTCCGATGAGAACGCCACAGCATATTAGTCGCTTCCTTCATCAGTCAATTTTTTTCTTGACAGTTAGAATCTTCTGTTATCTCCTTTTTGGTTCGAAACATACTGAATTAATTCAACTCCCCAGAAAACAACTTGGTCTCTCTAGCAAATCTTGCAATTGTCACGTTCAAAATATCCTAGGTCAAGTTCTTTTCAAGACGAAATAATGGGCAGCATTGAAACAATCACATCAAGTGCTCTTTCACTATCAAGTCAGCAGAGTTTTGACCCACCCAACAAATCCGGTCATCTGAAGACCCTCGATATTGGCCTCGATGGCAACACAACCTCGACCAACCCCTTTGGTGATGTAATTGAACCTCTTCCTGGGATACAACTCTTAAAACGATAGCATGCTTACAACATATTAGATCCTCCAACTGAGTTGTTTTCATCCTCTTCATGGCATCGTCGTGGTCTGTCCCTTCCGACAATTTGACGGCGATCGCTTCTACGATTCCGGGTACGTTCGAGAATACCGGAAGAAATTGCTGGACTATGTTCACTCTGGAAAACGCGGGTTCGGCCTTCATCTCACGGGCACAATTTCTAACCTCAAGTCTGAAACCGTGGCAAACAATATCACCGCCACGTATTCAATAGGCCGAGTTCAGGTGACAACGACTGTCTCTGTTGGTAAAGACCAAAGAGTTGTTCAATATATAATACTGAAATCAACTTCAACACAGAAAGAACAAGTTGATTATACCCTTGCTTTGAATATCAGCGTCAATCGAGCCTCGTATGGTCAACTCACTGAGGGTGGACCAATCCCGATTCCGCCGCCGAGTAACGAGTTCCAACTCGCCGATGGAAGCCAAGCTTGGGCAGTCGTCAACCAAAACCTGGATGCCATGATACAAGGAGATCTCTACTGTGATGATTTGCGAGTCTGTCTGGAGCCTATGAAGAGAAATAACACTGCTCTCGAGCAACCTGTTAGTATGGCGTTCCACGAGACACTCAAAATCAACCCAGGCCAGACACGGACTTTGACCTCAACGTATCTGCTTCAACCAAGATGTGACTTTGCAAAGATTCCCTCGCCTCGGAAAAACCCTGGACCAAACCGAGAGGAAGGATGGAAAATCAAAAATGAGAATATGAGATTGATTATCAAAGGCAACCTGTCGTATATTCTCGGAAACTGTACAATTCCGGTGAGCAGCAGTGCTACCTGCTTGATCACGGACCATGTTGCACTACCTTTGGGTTGGAATCGAGACAACTAGTAAGTCAGATCTCCGATCCGGATGATATCATCGGTAACACGGCTTCAGCTGGCAAGTTCGATATCTCCTTGACGTCTACCAACATATAAATCGACTGCTAGACGCCTCGACTGCTCAAGAGTATCTCTTAAAAATTAGGACCGTTGTCTGCGGGCACCTGAACTGGGTGTTCCGTGTAGCCCAACGTCCGTACGGGTATTGGCACAGATCATATCTCGCTACAGGCGTGCCCAAGGACCGGTCCATCTTTCAACTGGATCAACAGTGTTATCCTATTCTCGAACTGTGCGACTTCCTGCATCATTTTCCTTCTGAAGTGGATTTGGTAAAATCAATCTTGACTGAGGAGACTATTCCATCTATCCTCTCTATCCTCGAGTCGCACCGAGACCCGTCTACTGGTCTTTACTCGACTGAAGAAACGCCTGGCGATGATGCGGTTGAGCATCCATTTCACTTTTCCAGCCATATCCTACTCTGGCACACCTTCTCACGCCTTGCCGAAACCCTGCCAAAACTCAAATTTGTTTCTAGTACCCTCAACCCAGAATGCTTGAAACAGAAAGCGGAACAGCTTCGAACATCAACACTTCGGCACTTCGTCGCTTGTAATCCAGCAACTGGCACAACCATGTTCGCCTATCTGACTGACGGAGCGGGAGTTCACACCTTCTACCACGATGCCAATGACCTCCCTACGCTCTTCATCCCCACCTGGAGGTTTGTGGATCCATCATCTCCTGAGCACGTGCTCTGGACAAGAACCATGGAATTCGGCCTCTCGCCATCGAACACAGATGGATTCTTCCCACAGGGTCCGTATGGAGGACTCGGAAGCGTGCACACTCGCGGTCCATGGCCACTTGGTTTTGCCCAGGAATTCATATTTGCGAGTCTCTTAGGGGATAGGGCGGCGATAGAGGATGCTTGGAGACGGATCCAGGGCAGTATGTTCATGGATGGGCTCTTCAGTGAAGCTGTCAATGCGGAGACCGGGGAATGTACCAGTAAGGCGTGGTTTAGCTGGCCTGGATGTGTCATTAGCAGTGCTTTAATAAAGTTTGAGATCCTTGGAGAGAAGGCATGGGACCACCAAGAATGATTGGTTCGGTACAACAAGATGGGCGGGGTTGGTTGTACCGCATTACATATGCATGAATGACAGCAGGTAGATCGATCATGTTCAATAAATATTGTATATTGCCGGAACTTTGCCAGGCGTTTATTAGGATCTTAAGACCGGGATCTGGGATAAAAGGGGGAAGCTCTCGTGACCTCAAATCCACGTGGCTTCTTCACCAATGTCACCAAAGCCTGCAAAGTGCCGCTTTCCACAATTTTGCGATCTACGGTCTCCGCTCCTACCGCTCCTGCGCTATATATCTTCGAGTTTCATGTTTATTTTGATTTAGAACAATGGTTTGCTAATTTGCTTCTAGGTATGTCACATTTTCCCGCGGCATGAAAAAAAAACGCGCGTTCGTGCATCTTGCATGGACCCTGTTATCGTTGAAATCATACATCGGCCCAGCTTTCCAGCCTTGACCCTTTCTCCCCCCCGGGAACCCTTTCCTCAACCTTGACCTCCAAGTCGGTTTGCTTGCGGATTTGACCTAGCTCAACATTGTAGTCGGATGCAATAATCGCCTTCTGACTATCTGCGTCTGTGTCTGTGCCTGCTCTATCCACGCCATTTCCGCTGCGCAGGTATCCATGTGTAGATCGTTGAACTGCTTTGTTCGAGGTAGTAACGCCATTGGTGTTCTTCGCTGGCGTGGCGCCGTAGCTGAGTAGCTTACTGCGAAGGCCGAGCTTGTAGGAGATCGTGCGAAGGATGGGCTGCATTGCAGGAAAGCAACCAACCCAGAGGCCGACATGACCTTCTAAGTCGGTCCACACACCGATGGTGGCCATCTTATAGGTTCTGTTGACTCTTGGTTAGTTCACCATAGACACATGTTTCGTGTGGAACGGGGCAGGGAGGCTAGACGTACGGATCGATGGCAAAGACTAGTGTCTTGATATACCACAAACGTACTATTCCAGTAATGATCACAAATACGCCGACGCTGAAGATCAGAATAACTTGGATCGCTTTCTTTGTGAACATCATATTCTTCCAGATCATCCAGATTGGGAGAACCATCAGTACCACATCCATGATTATGCCAATGACGGCGTGCGATACCATCATGTTATCGTTGGCTTTAGCGGAGACACAATTGAGGCCCTCTGTTTCGAAAGGTGGCTTCCATAGATCTTTGATCTGACTGATCTTAGCATGGCAAAGGGAAACGAAGGGGAAGACGAACAGGTCGACATTCGCACAGTTTGTACCAAAACGCGAAGTTTGTTTGGATGATAATGATGGCGGCGGTGGCGTAAACAAGGTAAAGGTAAAGCTCTAGAGGTGCATTAGCAGTCTGGAAGTCTGAGAGATGATATGACGAAGATCGCATTGTTTCACGCGGCGTGAAATATCGATCTCTGCCTTTCTGTACTCAATAACTTACTCTCTTTGCCTAGACGAGGGAGGAATGCCACAACCGCCAACCGCATCAACCCAACGGCCCAAAAATATATGAGATTTTGCGTAACCAACAGCTGCAGTCATCCGTGTCAGCAAAGCTAAAGCATCAATGAACACTGGCACGCGCCTCGAAGAATTTGATTACTGCGGGCATTGGAATAAGTTCCAAATGAGCTCCGCTACCGTTCTTCACCTCTACATTCCAGATCAGACTTTGCTAATTCTCGGGTAGATTATCAGACGTGGACGCGCAGTAGAAGACTTACCGGCGATATCTAGAGCAGATTGCGAACAGATGACGGCCTACGTGTGATCAGTCACTTCACATCACAGGCGTTGATATAAATGGAAAGATCCTACCCAAGCTACGGCCGCGAAAATATCATCCAGCCCAGGGTTCTTAGTCATGACCAATCTCACATACAATCGGGTCCAGAGGATAACGGTCGAGATGGCTATCAAAGACGCATTCAAGTCTCTGAGGAGATTGCCTTTGTAGTCGGCAGTTTGCCAGAACTGCGTTCCCTCCGGGTAGGTACTTGTTGTCGCCATGGCAAGATTCAAGAGCCAACAGCTAAAGATAGTGAGGCAGCGTCAGCTACAGTACTGACCTCTTGCCGTGTCCCAGTGGCCTGATCGGTTCCAGCGCTCTGGGGCACATGGCTTCCTTAAGAGTTGGGACGAGGTTCCCCAGAGTCGCTGCACCCTGCTCCCGCCCATCGTACCGCTCGAGTCATGCCTCGAGGAGGCGTTTCGCCCCTATTGGGAAAATTTGCATGCTGCTACTCCGTCCCCTCCTTTCGACCCATGCCTGCCATGCATTTTTAGGTTCTGCAAAAGTTCTCGCTTCGTGCCGAGAGAGCTAGTCTCCGAAGACTGCGAGGCTGGGCGGAGATTCTGTTCATGCAGGTTTGATTAATCGGTGGCGGTCAATAATCACTAGAATGAGAAGCCTCAAAAATCATGATATCGTCATAGTCTCAGCTGGTGGTGGTAGAATAATATCCGCTCTCTATGTTGCTTTATGTTGAATGTTGTGAACTTGTGTCGGCAAACTCGGAAGTGGCGCGAAGATACCCCGCTCACGGCTCGCGTGGGTTGAATACAGCAGCCCCTGAACTAACAACGTTGCCTCCGCAGGACCTGGGTTTGCATCGGCTAATAATCGTGCAGCCATGCTTGCACCAATCTGACCCCTGGTAAGTATATTCGTATGGATCCGCGATACGCTCGAAATTCAGCCATACCGGTTGCTTTTTTCCCGCACCAAAAAATCTAGAATTTTGAGAACCTTACAACGCAACATTGGATCCTAGAAAAAAGTTTAGATAGAGGTACGCCTGACAATTACACAGTTTTTGGCTTTTTATGATTTTTCAGTTGTTTGGAAATTGTGGAAGTTATTATTCGTACGTAAATTACCAAACCCCGCAGGGACATAGGATAGGGGCTTTGGTGCACGTCCTGATGCGTGATAATACCCACCAATCGGGCAATACCCTTTTGAAAAACATCAACCTGCTAAACAAGCGCGAGACGGTACGGGGCATACATCCGCTCGTCTATTTCTCTGATAAAGGGTCTAATGGAAGAGCCACGTCTTCGGCACGAATTTCCACATATGCGCGCGAGTCGGAAAACAGCAAACGCGCTGGTACCAAGTAGTGAGGCCCATTGAAGATGTCAATATTGCCAAATACGAATAGGTCCACTTCCCGCATGGGTTTTATATGAAGAGTGCAGCTGCACTCTCATCCGTCCTCGTGGCAACCACCCCGATACGAACAGCTCCACTTCCCGCATGGTTTTTATATGAAGAGCGCAGCTGCACTTTCATCCGTCCTCGTGGCAGCCACCCGGATAAGTACTCTACAGGGCAGCGTCCACTCGCGTCAGTTTCGACATCATGCATCTTCCTTCCATCATCTCAGCGGCACTTTTGGTGCTCGCACAGGGTGTTGCTGCTGCCCCATCTGCACGGTCCTCGACTCTCGTGCGCAAAGAATGGTAAGTGATTTATTTCTCCCGCCTTCACTTGGTATACATGGCTCATAGTTCCCAGGAGAACCCTCTCGAAGTACCAGCAATTGGCTTACATCAAGGCGTTCAAGTGTCTTCAAAGCAAGCCAGCAAGAACCCAGTCACTCTACCCCGGTGCCTTTACGCGGTACGATGACTATGTTGCATTGCATATTGCCATGACCACGCAGGTTCACTTCGTGGTACGTATTCTCTATTCCTCGCTCTGACAGTTTCTAAGTTTCGGTTAGGGACAATTTCTACCTTGGCACCGACAGCTCCTCTCCATCTTCGAGGATGATCTGAGGGACACTTGCAGCTACAATGGTGCTCTGCCGTAAGTCCACTCCCACCTTAAAACAATATTAAGGGAGAAACTAATTGTGTGTAGGTACTGGGGTATGACCAAGCATTATTCCATAGTCAAGTTGGCATTACTGACTGCTTCATAGACTGGTCAAAGGATGTTACAACCTCAACATCCTTTAGCGACTCGCCAATTTTCGATCCTGTCTATGGTTTTGGAGGTGCGTCTTCTCCTCTTGGTGATTGTTAAAGTTAGCGGCTAATTTCTCTAGGCAACGGAGAATACCTCGTAGACATAAGCAACCTACCAATCACAAGTGCTTTGGAAATTCCGGGCAGAACTGGCGGTGGTAAGGTTCCCTCAACTTCTGTCATATAAATTTAACATTCCGAAGGCTGTATTACCACTGGACCTTGGGCTGGCATCAATATTACCCTGGGCCCCGACTACAGCTTTGCGAACAACCCCCGCTGTCTCCGCCGCGACTTCACTCCTGCATTTGCCCAGGGCGCACTTAACTCCAGCGTCATCGCCTTCACCGAGGCGGCACCGACCTTCTTCCAACTCGACCGACGCATGCAGAATCTAGAGCTTGACCTTGCCGGTGTCCTCACCCACGGCGGGGGTCACTTCGGTGTTGGTGGTATGGTCGGAGAGATGTCGGACATGTACTCGTCCCCGGGAGACCCTCTCTTCTGGCTTCACCACGCCATGCTGGACAACATCTGGGACCAGTGGCAACGTGCCAACTGGGCAACTCGCAAATCCGAAGTCGGCGGACCAGATACTATGTGGGCTTATCCGTACAACTACTTCGGCGATGTCCCGTACAAGAACATCACCACCGCCTTTGTCTTGGCCTATGGGCAACTCAGCCCCAATGTGACCATTAAGCAGATCATGGACACTACCGCCGGTCCTATCAGCAGCTATACTTACGCTTAAAGGGGAGTTTGGTGAATTAGATTAGACAGGGTGTGGATAGACAGACACATACACTCAAGCCCACCAGGCCTAATGTTAATGATAAATCATCCAGCAGTGGAAATAGCATGGAATTAACTCTCATGTTTTCTATCATAACGTGAATGACTGAAGGAATACATCGCCAATCCCGAACGTGAAGCTCCAAGCAGCTAGCTACATATCGATCCATGGAGCAGGAAATATCAAGGGTTCTCTTCCGACACGCAATCCCACAGTTGATAGAACCCAAATTGACGAAAAGCCTGCTAACATCCACTTGAGTCATACAAATAAGCCAGTTGGAGCAGGGCTATGCCGAGTAGACCGATCACATGAAGTTTTGACATCCTCAAAAAATATCGCACACCAACACTCCCGTCACGTTCCAACTGGGTATGACACAATGTCCGACAACTTCATTGTCAGTCGAGAAACATATCCTGTTTGCTGAGGTTTACGGTCTTCTCCTGCTGGCCGTTTGGATTTATACCTCATTGGGATCTTGGCTTCATTGTCGGAGAGCTCAGCTTTAGTGTCTTTGATTTCGGGGACTGTGATACTGGTGGTGAGGCTGTCGTTGAGGTTCGCCGCCGTGGAGACAGCAGCGCCGGAGTTGTTTGAGTCAGATTTGCTCGAGACGGAGTTACTTGGCTCGGAGTCCCCATCATAAGCCAAGTCTGCTTCACGAAGCTGTTCCCATTGCCGAGAGCTTGATTCCTCCACCTCCTTCTGCTCTTCAATCTTCTTCTCCTTTCGACGAGCGCTCTTCAGCTCTTTGATCTTCTCTTGGAGGTTTCCGACGGTGACGGTCTGCATGTGAAGGGTTTTCTGCCTCATATAAATACCATATCCAGCTTCACCATCCAGGACCCATTCGTCCCTGAGTTTCAGGTACTCCTCAGCGGGTGAGAGGCGGCGATCTTTGCCCACTTTCGGGCCTTGATTGGTAGATTTTTGGTCCTCGTTGACGGTGTTGTTGAGCTGAGTCTGCTCGGAAAGTTGTCGTTGGAGGCTCTCATTGTCTCGTTGCAGTCTCTCGTTCTCACGAGCTTTCCCGTTGAGTTCATTCTGTTGTGTAGCAACCATTTGCTGAAGTCCCTCGATCTCGTAATCTTGTTCGTTAAGTCCATTTTCTTGAGTAGAAACTAATTGTTGGAGTCTCTCGTTCTCGTAACCTATTTCGTTGAGCTGATCTTGTTGACCAGTAAATTGTTGAAGAAGCCACTCGATGTAACGAGTACGGCCGCGCCTCGCTCCTTCGAAGCAGGCCGCTCGAACTTCCAGCTGTCCCACGGCTTCTTCTCGGTACAACCCGTGCAAGTCGCGGTATGCTGTCTGGTTCTGTTGTTCCTGTTTAAGCTCAGCGTCGCGAGCTTGGTTTTCAATCTTTTCGAGGCGGCGTGCCCAGTTGGTGTGGTGGTGCCGAGGTTTCGGCTGTTGAGTATGGATGGCTTCTTGGAGGCGGCGGTGCGCTATTTGGGCAGCGGTAGCGTTGATCTTTATGACGCTTTCGGGTTGTGACTGTTGACGAGCGTGCTCCTTTTGGAGATTGTCATACATTTCGTTAAGCGGAATTTCATCCATAATGACTTGGGGAAGGGGATGTTTAACATTGATATCTTTCTCTTCTTGCAGGCGACGTCGATTGATCTCTCGTTCTTCCAACGAGCGGCGGTATGCCAAGTAAGAGGGATTAAAGCTGGTGAAGCCAATAAAGCCCGAAGGTGGTAGGGGCTGTCGAAGGGTAATAATAGCTTCATCCTGGAAGCGGCGATGCGCCATTTGGCGAGCGGTGGAGTAAATCTGAAGTGTATTCATATTGATTGATGACTTAGATTAGGATTTCTTGTTGTTGACAATGAAGAAATCCTCGCTAAGTCTGTTGTGGAGGTCGTGAATTAATATCGCGTAATGTCTTGATTGTAGGTTGTTAGTGGAGAGGGAAATGTTTCAGATCAGAATCTTTGAGAGGATATATCCTCGGATGACAGTTCGGATTCAAACTATGGTTCAGGTCGCGGTATCTGCAATTGGAATCTGGTCTGCTTAGCCCATCCCAGGACCTTCTAGCTCAGAGGAAGAATAGCTAGCTGAGATACTAGCTAGTTGATTTTGAAAGAGTTGTGTTCCTTGGGGCAGGCATGATTCCGTTCCCGCAAAATCGTGGTATCGTAAATGTACTGTCCCATGTTCCCGTGTTAGCTAGAGTTAGCGCGCCAGAATCTCTCGAACAATGAAGCCAGTCTCGCTCGATGCAAGAGTCATCCAGACACCCCAAAAATCCTCAAAATGATCTGTAACATACCTTCAGATTCTTGAAACCTTTTCCAGGTTTTTAGTGATATTGCATAGATCCTAGTCATGGCATCTAGAAGTGTTGTTGCAACGCTTTGGATTAAAGGGGGAGGGCTCGCTAAAGGACGGCCCGAGACGCGAACGAAAGCCGCTCCTCTTCATCCATGGATTGAGCCTCTTCTGGTGCTTTCGATTCTAGCTCGTATCCCAACGAAATGTAAGGAGACGGGCCTGATGACCACAGACTAGTTTTCCCAGTCTCAGAAGCAAGGTGGGGTACACCGGCAAAATGTTCGTGCTCGAAGGTCGAAAAAGTCTAATAAGGCTCCACGAATTCATATCGGCAGAAAAGCAAACCAGGACCCTAAATGATGGGGTTGTCCCGCCATTCTTGCTGTGGGGGCGCCGCCTTGGGTTGGAGCGCGGGGGATGTCGGCGGTTGAATTGATGTCAGAAGGCCAACACATTTTTTATGTTTTGAGGACCGAGAACAAAATTGTGGGCAGTAATTGAGCATTCATTCATTATATTTCGTGGGGCTGATGTGCAAGGGGCGTCAGGGATGTGGTTCTTTGCAGCCATTCCCGGATGGCGTTGACAAGGTACTTCGCCGAATCCGATGGCTTGCATGAGTGGCGAGAGGTGCCGCCTTTTTGTGTAACATTCTCGACGACATCCCTCTCCAAAAAGCAGTTGTTTTCGGTTGCTTGAAGTGAGTAAGTGCCAATTTATTAAGCAGAAACTATCTTCTTCTTTCTTGGTCGCTGCTGCAAATGCTGCCACCTCAACGCACTAAACCCAATCACAGCATTAACGCTTTATCCCTCTCCCTCATATTCTCCAATAACAGGATATCTCCCTCTGCCCCTATTCCATCCATTCTTAGAGCTGTATCCTCAGCTCTGAACCTCAATTCCAGTTTATCCATCCCAGTTGTGACTTTCGCCAAGGGACTAAGAATCGAACTGCGAGTCTGACGCTTCGACATCTCGACAAGAGCAGAGAATGGCTTGTCGAAGGATCGGCGAGGGAGAAGGTGGCGGATTGAGGGAACGAAGCGGATGCCGTACGTGGAGATTATGAAGCGGCCGGGGGTGTGCAGGTAGGTGCAGCCGAAACTTAGAATATCTCTATTCTCTTGAAGAGTACTCTGCGCGCTGTGAAAAGATTCGTCGGTATCGCTGTCGTATTCTTGGGCCGGGGAATCCTGCCCGGTGATGTCGTCCCTGTCATGAGCGATGATGACTTCCTTGGCATGTGCAGCACATTCCTGAAGATATTGAAAACACCATTCTGCATGTGTGGGGACATCCCACAACGCCCATTTCCAGATTGAGACGAGGAGACGGTACTTTGGATAGACGGAGCTGATCGGCCAGCAGAAGAAGAAATTGAGTCCAACGGTGAACCAGAATACCTTCATCGCGAATCTTGAGTCTGTGAAAGCGGTGATGAGGAACAAGGCCCCGAAGAGACAGAGAGATGCGATGGTTGCTGGCGGAGAGCGGAAGTGGTAGAAGTTGTAGGCCGCTTCGAGGAGATTGGCGAGGTCTGCAATTTGGACTTGAATAAAAGGTCCCAATTCGTCCATCAATGGTCCCAGCCACTCGTCAGACCCATGTTTGTCCATCAGCTCACCAATTTTCAAGGCTGTTGCGCCTCGGTCAATACTTCGTTCAATTCCTTCCCGAAGTTCTTTAAGAGACGTTGGATAGTAATAGTTCATGGCTACTGAGTAGAAAACGTAGCCCCACTTAGTCCGTTAGCTTCTGATATTTGTTCTAGAGAGATGAAGCACTTACGAAAAATGTCACGATGTGTGATACATACCAAAGAAAGAAATATAACGCCATCCATTTTCCAGTCCTGATAGGATCTTGCCATCTGTATATACTACGAACATCCGAAAGAAAAGTTTGTAATGGCGCGCTGACCATGATAAATCTCTCAATATGTCTGCGAAGGGTATCTATGTCGAAAGGAAGTTGGTCAAAATCGTCTATATATTGCGCCGTGAAATTGTGGGAACCGTTTAACAGTTTCTGTTTGACATCAGTAAATTGGACCTGTCTTGAAGCTGTGGACTTACATATGCAAACCATTTTCCCCAATTGAACTCCGTAAATCCAAAATCATCCTGTTGCTCGAAGAAGCTGTCCTCCGGAAACAATGGTGGTGGTACAGCATCAACGACTCGTACTCTTTGAACATGCCTGGCTGTCATCCATGCAACTCTCGTGCTCAGCCGTGCTCTCTCCGGCTCTGCGATATGCTCCTCGCAATGATCAATATCCCTATCCCTCTGCGTGGCTTCCTCCGAATCCCCTGTTCCATCTCTCGAGACTTCTGCTCTCTCCAAATCATCGTGCGCCTCCAAGAAGTCGAGATCAGCCTTCCAGGAAAGGTAGGGTCGACTCTTGGCCAATGTATGCGCAGTCTTTTTCGTTGCCCGTGATTTGATTGCTGCCTTTGGATTGATAATTGCCTCGACTGTGCCCTGTACCGCAGATATTGCCTTTGCGGAGAGACCTGCTTGCCCTATTCGCTGTCTGTTGAGGAACTTGGTGGGGTCGAAGGCGGGGCTGTTGTTCAATTCCTCTACTTCGGCTTCGTAAGGGGACGTTTCGGTATCGTCTTTGGAGGAGTCGAGATGTAGGACTCTTTTCGTCTTGTCTTCTGCCTTCTCCTTGATCTCCAATAGCTTCCCGAGCTTGGAGTTGGCTTCGCCATTGGGAGTCGGGCTTGCGGTGTTGGCAGAGTCATGGCGCATCGTTTTCGCTGAACGCTCCGCTGCTCGCAGTCCCTGGTGAAGGAGAGATCAAGAATACCTTTCGATGCAATGCTTCGGACTCATGTATGCGATAGCAGCTCAACTCGTCTCGGGCTTCCAACGGCAGCTCCGAAGGTTATCCCCGGAACTCGCCATCCTACGTGGGCGGCGGGAACACATCATAGGTTGCCAATGGCCTTCCCGAAGCTGCACTCAATGTCGATTCGAAGCCAAGAGACCAGCTGTAGCTAATTGCTAGCTCATTGCGTGTCGGATGTCACCAAGAAGGTCCAGACGTGAAGTGGGAAGGCGGGACGTTGGGAGGTGCTGAGTTGTGGAGACGGGTGGCGAAGGTGTGGCCGAACCTTGAGTCGATCCCAAATCCATTTTTCCCACGCAAACCTTCTTCCAACATCCATTGCTCCCCAAGCTTCAATGCACCAACACCGACACCAGCGAGCTTGATGAGGCCGTTATGTCTTCTCATCAGGCGTTCCAATCCTTCAATTCTGCGTCATGTTCAACGCCGGCAGCTGCTGACGCTCGCGATCGAGACCTCCTGCGATGACACGAGCGTCGCTGTGCTTGAGAAGCACGAGAATAACTCCGCGACTCTGCACTTCCACTCGAAGATCACATCTGATAATCGAATATATGGAGGAGTACATCCCATAGCATCCCATGAGTCACACCAGAAGACCCTCGCGATCCTCGTCGGTCAAGCGCTGCGCAGCTTGCCGAATGAAAAGAAAGCATCTGCACCTGTCACAAGTGTTCTGTTTCTCAATGGGAGGGATGGCATGGAAACCCGAAAGAAGCCGGACTTCGTTACGGTCACTCGAGGCCCGGGTATGCGGTCGAGCTTGAATACGGGGTTGGATACTGCGAAGGGACTGGCGGTTGCATGGCAGATCCCATTATTAGGGGTCAACCACATGCAAGCCCATGCTCTGACGCCGCGCCTCGTCTCTGCTCTCGATGCTGCAATATCTAGAAGTTTTGATACGGCTGGGAACGATCCAGCTTTCCCTTTTCTCACATTGCTGGTTTCTGGCGGACATACAATGCTTGTCCATTCACGGTCTCTGTGCGACCACGAAATCTTAGCAGACACAACGGACATGGCAGTTGGTGATATGATAGATAAGACTGCACGAGAAGTTCTACCACGGACATATCTTGAGTCTGCATCTGATGTCATGTATGGGAAATTGCTGGAATCATTCGCGTTTCCAAAGGAGAAACCACTTCACGAGTATGTCCCACCATCATCCTTCACAAGACAACGAGTCTGCCGGCTGCTAGACTACGAGTGGACAATAAACCCTCCATACTGCGCACCTGGACCAGAAGGGTCGATCAAGTATGCCGATGCATTTACATTCTCTGGAATTGGCAGCTCGGTGAAGAGCATTATGAGTCGACTCCCAGAAATGGACGACACAGGACGCCGCGAACTTGCACGGGAAACAATGGCTTTAGCATTCGAGCACTTGGCTTCCCGTGTACTTTTCGCTCTCCAACGGCCTGACATTCAAAGCATCCAGACACTGGTTGTATCCGGTGGTGTAGCAAGTAATCAGTTTCTGAAAACGATTCTGAGGGAGAACTTGAATGCCAAGGGCTGCAGGGAAATGCAATTGGTCTTCCCTCCACCAAAGTTCTGCACGGATAACGCAGCCATGATTGCTTGGACCGGGATTGAGATGTACGAGGCACGGTGGCGGACATCCTTTGACGCGATAGCTATCAAGAAATGGTCAATTGATCCCAAGGCTGCGGATGGCGGTATCTTGGGCGTTGATGGCTGGGATTCGGCGGCTGTTGAGAATAAGTAATAATGATACCACTCAAGCGCATTATTGGCCGGATTTCGAAATCTGCGGGCATGTGAAACCGCCTATGCTCAGCACTAGCAATGATCTGACCCTGTACGAGAATACAACTTTACTATTCAGGTAACCTTGTAGCTGATACTCAGCTTACTTACAACATGACATAATACGTAATTTCCTTTTGCTCATCGCGGGGCGGAGGAAACTGCGTGTTTCCATGTACTCTTATGTTCACACGTTACTCCTTCATCCTCTTGATGTTTTGTTTTGACTTACAACTCCCTGAATTTGTTATTCAACTGGCCATCTTGCAATCATACTTTTCACTTTCTATACCGCCAATCACAGCCTCAGACAATCAAAAGCATTTTCAATCACCTTTTCCGCCAACAGTGGCTCCTAACTCATCTCTCCCTTGGTTCATATCTTCCCCAAACCTCCATCAATTCCTCAATCAGTCACTACTTGTAACCTCAGATCTCCCCCGACACAAATGTCTTCATCTACCACTGCCAACTCCGAAATCTCTCCCTTTCTCATCCTCCTTCCTCGGGAAACCCGTCTACAAATATACTCAGAGCTTCTCAGCTTCCATACCATCCCCCTCTACTTGGCCAACACCAGCGGCTCCCTCGCCATCCCCCGCGACCTTCTCGACCTGAACCTCCTCTCTCTACCTCTAACATGCCATCAAATGTACATCCCCTCCTCCCGAAACTACCATATGCTTTTAGCCAGCTCACATGTTCACAGCTACAATGAAACTATCAAAATCTTATACTCCACCAACACCTACACCCTCAAGACCCCCACCGCCCTCCACTTATTCTCTCGTCTCTCCCAGCCAGCTTTCCTCCTTCGCAACTTGACCTTCACATTACCGCTCCCTCACCTCCTATACTTCTGCGACCTCCCTCACGCTCTTGCCGCTTCTGCCACAGATGATTCAAAAGAGCCTTTGAAACGCCAGGACATCGCATGGATTGAAAACTGGGAGATTTTGAATGGTATGAAGGGATTGAAGAAGTTGAGAGTGGAGCTCGATGTCCCAGTGTTCTGGAGACATAGCTGGAGGGCAAGAGAAGGTGAGATGTTAGCCTGGCTGAAAAAGTCGGGCTTAGCTGTTCAAGATTTCACACTTGCCGTGCTTTGGGATGAGCCGAAAGGGGAAGAGGGAGGGAGGGAGAGGTTTGGTGAGGGGAAGAGGTGGAAAGTGGAGAGAATAGAGAGGAAGGGCGAAGAAGGCAATATTTGGGAGAGGGACTGGGGGCACCTTGTTGATTTGGGGATGAGTGGGTGATTTTTATCCCGAAGATGAGGAGAGGAGCTGATGCGGGCCAGGATCAGCAAATGTGGGGTCGTGGGATGGGTGTGAATATTTTCTTTGAGGGTGTAAGACGAGACCTGACCAACTTTGTTTCATGTCACTGTTCTGACCATCTGAGACGATTTTTATCCCAGTGCCTGGGATGTTTAGGATGAGGCTGATTCCCCTCGTGTTCTTTCCTATATCAGTTAAGACGCCCCATTTTGCTATGTATGGTTTACACCTCAAGCCAGCCGCTCATATCACGAATGGAAGGTCCGCAGTCACGAGAACCCGAACACAAACTCACGGAATACGACCCTCGGAGGCCCTGACAAGCCCGCGAAGCGTAGTAAATTAACCTTGGCGGCTGCAATCCTTACTGATGGCGAGTGGCTTCGAAGCGACCGAGTCACACGCATGCACACATGGTCGAAGCCCAGCCTCATTTTCATCCTTGGTCGATGGTAGGGCAACCACAAGCACTTGCGACCTCCTGGTGGACTCTCTCTATCGCTCTTCCAATCTCATCACTTCGGGCTATCGTCCCTCGCCTCCACTTTCATAGATCCCGTCAGTGCTCTTGGATTTTGCCGCAGGCGTTGTCCAGCTCATAGACTTCGGCACGCGCCTGTTGTCTGATAAAACAGCGAAAATCTATAGATTTGGAACGAGCCCTGGATACGTGGATCTAGAACTTGTTGCGGCAGCCTTGAGCAAGGTCACCGCAGCGCTTGATGTTGATGTCCACAAGGCCTCTATTGGTGGGAAGGAGCTTTCGGCAAACGAAAACGACGTCCAGCAACTTCGCCATGAATGCCTCAACATAGCACAGCGATTTTCCGGTTCTCTTAGTTCTCTAAGTCGGCTCCTTTTTTGCGCAGATGGGTATGGTTAGTTCGTGAGTGATTTCTGATCTGTTTTGATGGATCGGGGAGAAGGAGAGGTGGAGATGGGAACGGAACTGAGACTGATTCCAATAGGAGAGTGAGGGATCAGGAAGCTAAGTCGAGGAATAGGGAGGAGAGAGAGGGCCAAAGGCAGCCTCCTGCATGGCAGTAGCCGGAATAAGAAGTGGGAAAAGCTTTCGCCAGGCCCTTCAAACTCTCTGGACCGAGGATGACATTGAATCACTGCGCAAGCGATTAGATGGATATCGACAACATCTAATTGTCAACATATTAGTCCTTTTAAGTTGGTATATTGTTTTTGGCGTCGCGTACACTGTTTCTAATCAATTACTAGAATCCAAGATGACGCAGCCACGAGCCAACAAGCCCAAATTGTGGAGAAACTTGACAGAATCGATCGCACAATCGATCGCAGTATTCGCGTGTTAGGCTCAGACTTCCTTCAAGGAATAGAAGAAAGTTTTCGATGGGAAGCAGATATATCGAAAGCTATAAGTGACGATTCATCGTATCGGCATTAAAGGAGAGCCGTGATGCATGACGCTCAGTGTCCATGGCCATCGAAGATTCTAACCGACTCCGCTTCGTGTCCTTAAAATTCCTTCAAAACATTTGGTTTCCTGAAATTGAAGTCAGACGGGAAGGAATTGCGAATACCTACACAAAAACTTTGGAATGCATATACCGAGATCCAGTTCCTGCAAGCAACCCGTGGGCAAATTTTGCCGAGTGGCTGGAAGGCCGTTCCGAATCCAGTCTGTACTGGATCACTGGCAATTTGGCAAAGCTGGAACGGGCAAATCTACTCTAATGAAGTTCCTGTACAATAACCCTTTCACTGAGTGTTCACTTCAAAGATGAGAACCATACCACCTCCCTATTGTTGCTTCAGCGTTCTTCTTTTGGAACTCTAGTTCTGAGATACAAATGTCGCGAATAGGCCTTTTACGCACTCTTCTTTACGAAGCTCTCAGTAAACGTCAAGACCTCATTCATATCGTGGCCCCAAAGAGATGGGATGCATGCCGCCTGTTTGGAAACGATCCATATCCATGGTCACAGACCTCCTGTTAGAGGCTTTGGCGACCCCTGTACGGGAAGGCGGCAAGACTGCACAGCTCTGCTTTTTCATTGATGGACTCGATGAATTTGAGGGAAGCTTCGAAGACTGCCAAAATCTGATCGACTCGTTAATGCCCGACAGTGAAAATTTGTATTTCCAGTCGCCCTTGGCCTATCTTCCAGGATTCATTCGAGAAAAAAACCCCCCCAGCCTGCTTCTGCAATGCTTTACCTATGCCGATATGTACCTCTATGTCAAGACCAAACTGGAGCAGAATGTTGGTTTCGCTGAACTTTCTCACAGAGACTTGACATTCTGCTCAGACTTAGTGGGTGGCATTGTACAAAAGTCTGCTGGTATGTGGCTGTGGGTATACTTTGTCATGAGATCATTACTTGAGGCCTTTACATATGGTGTCAGGACATCACATCTCCGCGAGATTTTGGATAGTCTTCCAGCAGAGCTTGCAGATCTCTTCCAGAAGATGTTGTCCAGACTAAAACCTAAGTATCTGGAACAGGTATCGCAGATATTTCAGATATTCCGTGTCGCGCCTGCTCCACCCTCTCTCCACCTATTATCAATTGTGGATGAGGAAGATGATCCAAATATCGCCTTACAGCTCGAGTGCAAACCTCTGGATCCCCTAGAAGAGCAGACTTGACTAGGGTCAATAGACTGTCCCTAAACAAACTCCAAAGGGCTGCTGGAAATTAAGGACAGAGGCATACACCCCAACGACACGTTAGATTTACTCGATTTCAGCCTCCAAAATCCGCCACCACCAACAACTGTGGCTGATCTCCGCGATCCTAAGGTCATGTATTTGCACCGCACGGGAAAGAACTACTTTCAGAAAGACCAAGTCTGGAAAGATCTGGTCTCCCTGACCATGCCCCCTTTCAACGCACACGCTTCTCTAAGCCGAGGCTACCTTATGAGCCTCCAAACAACGGATGAGGACAAGTTGGGAATTCGCTTGCAGAAGCACCGGACAAATAATTCAAACCTCCTCACCAAGAATATCGAGAGTTATCTCCCAAATGTCAGTCGAGGAGAGTTTTGGGGCCTTGTCGTTTCTTGCCTGGGCTCTGCCGTGCGCGCCGAAGGTGCCGGCGCCCCGCCCGATGAAATGATTTCCTTGTTAGAGGAGTTTGGACCGAACAGGAGCCGGGCTTGTAGCAAGATCGGTTCGCCAGAAGACTATCAGTATGATGAAAATACAGCACGACAGCTATTGCACTCCGAAAGCACTGTTCCGGATTGGACAATGATGTAGCCCGGGCACAATTTGAAAAACTCATTCCTGCGCTTGGCCGTCGAATTTGGACTGCTGCACTATTTTGAAGCCCAGCTGGAGCGAGGTGTTCCCGTAGAGACGGGTACAGGCTCCTTTAAGGACGCTACTGCATCTATTATTTTTTCCCCGCAAAATCAAAATTACCATATTTTAAAAATATGAGATTATTAATAATCTAAGTAATTCCTATAGTAGAATATAATTAAAATACTTGTTCGGCCGGGCTCACCTGGTTCTCGCTTAGCACGCTTACCAGGTAAGGGAGGGCAATACGTAAAAACTAGTAATACGCAAATTTTTCGCTATATATATAGAACTATAGAGTTTTAGCCTACCACAACTCCTATTTTCCCCATAAATCGTAATTAGTAGCCTTTATTATCCAATTAATTATATCCCAGTAATTAGCTTTAAACCTTTATATTATTTTTTTATACTTATATCTCTAAGAATTATTTAGCCTAATATGCCTTATATTAATTACCCGAGCTTTATTCTTATTATTTGCCTTAATATTCTTTCTTTCTTACTTTATAGTAATCCTCCCATATTTCTAAGTAATCTCACTAGTTTCTTCTTTTTTATAAGGCCTAGATCTAATATCTTTTATTTAGTAAAAGTATTAAATAAAATTAATTTCTTTAATATTGCCTTTATTTTCTCTTATATATATAAAATTAAAGAAATAATAAGTATACTATTTCTTAATTATATTATATAATTTTTAATATAATTAATATCTTATTTTTATATATATCTTATTAATAATATAGGCCAATTTGCCTAGTTTTTATAAGTAGAAATACGAGATAATAAAATAATAAAATCAGGACAAAAAGAAAGTAAAATTAATAAAAAATATTATAGAAAAGGAATTAAAGTTTATAAATATTTTAAAAGTTTTTTATATTTCTTTATTTTTTATAGAACTTTAAATAAATTAAGAGATATTAATCTGGTTTTCTTAAAAAAAGAAATTATAATATATTAGTTCTTAAATTTTTTATTTTGAAATCTCTAGAAAATTATAAAGAAATTTATCTTATTAAACTTTTTTATATTATTAAAAATCTCTTAATATAGCTTCTTTTAAAACTAGTATTTTAAAGATTAAAAAATAATAATATTAAATAATTAAAAAAAATGAATTATATATATAAATAATTTATAAAATCAAATATAATTCTTTTAATAAAGATATGAAAATTTATTAAATAAATAAAAATTATATTTATTAAAAAATCAAGATTTTATAAGTATTTATTTATAAAGAAAACTAATATTTAATAAAGTATTTAAAATATTATAAATTTAGGTAATTATTAGTAATATAGCTATAGTTATTAATAGTTATTATATAAAAGTAACTAGAAGTAATAAGATATAAATAATAGGTAATAATTATATAATCTTATATTATATAAGTAATTCAACTAGTAACTAGTATAAGAGAGAAATTATAATAAGATAAAAACCTATATAAAGTATACCAGAGTATAAAACGTGACTTAATAATAAAATAATAAGATTAAAAGCATAAATAGTAAAGTATAAATAGTATATAGTATATAAAAGCTTAATTAATTAAATATTAAGGAGGAATTATTCTCTAGAACTATAAAAAAACTAGCTTTCTTATATAATTCCTATAAGTTATATATAAAAGGCTATAGCCTTTACTATATAACTAAAACTACTAAAACCGCCAAAATAATATAATATTTTTGGAGAATATAGCTTGCTATACTATACTAGTCTCTATTAGGCTTAGTAGATTTAGGGATTATATATTAATACTATAATACTATAATTCTTACTTTTATATAATAATAACTTTACTAATTTAATATACTAATATTTTATATATATTATATAATAGTATTATATATTACTAGTAAACTAATACTAATTAGTTAGTATTTATAAATTAGAGAAAACCCTAGCTAATTAAAAAAGTATTTAATATCCTAAAACAAATAGTTTATTTCTAGTTAAAAAAGAAATTTATTATTAATTTCAGAAAAGTATTTAATAACCTAAAAAGAAAATACTAGCTTTTATTAATTAATAAATAATTCGCTATTTAACTATTTATTTATGTATTTAACCTTTATTATTCTTTAAAATTAACTTCTTTTAGTTCCAAGATTACTTTTTTAAAAACTATCTTTTTTATTTATATAATACCCGAATTTATAGAATTCTTTTTTTAGAATATATATACTTATATATCCTTAAAGCTCTTTAATTATAATTTCGATTTTGCTATTAAGTTAAGCTCCTCGAGCTTTTGATTCTTCCGAAATTATAATATTTTACTTCTTAAATTTCTTATTATAAATAAAATATTTATTTTAATATTCTATTCTTAATATTCTTATTATTAAACTCTTTTTATAAATCTATTATAAACTATCTTATTTTTAAATACTTCTTGCTATAAATCATATATATATATTAAAAAAAGACTAAACTTGGCTTAATATAAAAAAAATAAAAAAAAGAAGCTAATTAAAAAATAGGAAAATAGAATTAATATTATTAATATTATAAAAATAAATCTTCGGGAATATCTAAAAACTAAGCTATATTAATATATTTTATATAGAACTTTTAATAAGAACTTATAGGATCTATTTAAGAATAACTTTAAGGATTTTAATAATATAACTTTTAGTTAATATAATTATATTAAACTATAAGTCTTTTAAAAACACTTTTAATATAATAATATTTATATTAAATAAAACTATATATATCTTATTATAATATAATTCCTATTTAATATTATTTAAAAAGAAATAATATATATTTAATATAAAGCTAATATTATTATTAGTTTACTAGTAATATATAATACTATTATATAGGCGTGAAAATACTAGTTATATTAGTTACTAAAGTTATTATTATTTAGAAGTAAGAATTATAGTATTATAATATTTATTATAATAAAATATTATTATTATATTATAATAATAATATATAAATAAATAAGAGAAAAGAGAGATATAATACGAGTAGCTAAAGCTTAAATATAGGAATGTAGTCACGTGAGCCTATACGTAACTACTAGTACATAGTTACTATATAATAATATTAATATATAATTCCTAAATCTGCTAAGCCTAAAGAGGTCTAGTTTACTAGTTAAGTTACTAATAGAATACGAGGTTATATAATTATATCCCGTATCTTATATCCTATTACCTATATTTTATTACCTATATTTTATATCTCGTATTCCGTAATTATATATATAACTTCTAAAAGAATAATTATACTAATACTAGAAATTCTTTAAAAACGCAAAAAATAGTATTTCTTTCTAATTATATATAAATTCCCTAATCTGGCCTAGTACTAGATTTCCTAAATACTTTATATATTTATATTATTTCTAAGGTTTTAGTTATATACTAAAGGCTATAGCCTTTTATATATAACTTTCCCTCTTATAATATTCTCTAATCTCATATATCTATTTTCTATTCTATTTATACTCGACCTATTTCTCTATATCTAATTATATAATATTCGTATTAATTAGATACTTAAGGGTATTTATTAGCTTTAATTTCGTTATGAAATTAGCAGAATTTAATTCTTTCTTAATTTATTTAACTTCCGTAATCTCTCGTTATTTATATATCTAGTAAAGGCATATTATATTAATTATTAAATACTTTATTAAGTAATTCCTAATTTAATAAGATATTTATATAATAACTTCGAATTTATATAGATTACTAGTAATAGTTCTATTTCTAGTACTTTATTAATTATATATTTAACTAAAATACTTATATTAAAACTATAAGCTATATTATAGAGTTCTAAAGTTAGAATACTTCTAGTAACTTTCTTATATTTAGTAAAAAACTAGTAAATAATATTAGTATATCTAGTTCTATTTACTAGAACTAGAATATATCTAATTTAGGAAAAGAGATCTCTATTATTTATAAATAAAGTATTTATAAAAATAATTAAATATAAAAACTTCTTTATTAGCTTTATAAATCTTAGTTCTCTAGTAATATTCTTAATTTGCTATTAAATATATTTATTAAATACCTTTATATTAGTTTCCGAAAGTTTAATAGCCTAAACTATAATTAATAAATTATATAAAGCTTCTAGTTAATAGACTAATATAATATATACTTTTCTAGTATATTAGGTAATATATTAGTCTTTAATAAAGAGATCTTAATAAATAGTATCTTTATTACTTATAATAGTAGTATTTTTTATAGAAATAGTTTAAAGGTTTTTATATTAGTATTCTTATATAAGAGTAATTCTAGTAATATTTATATAGATAATACTTTTATTAAACTTGAGATTATAATTAATAGTAAGATATTTATATTTCTTAGCTAAGAACTTAGTTTCTTAGAGCTTTAGTTACTTTATTTTTATAAAATTATTATTTCTAATAAATAGGGTATTATTAGTTTAAAGGCTAATAATTCTAAAAAATTACTTATTATAGAAAAGGCAA